AACACATTCGAACAGATAGCCCGATCCACTAACAGGAAACTCCATCCTCCATCACATACCAAGCCGCTGAAACCGTGAGGAAAGTTCTGAAACATCTGGATGACATGTCAGCATACATGCAATGAGATCAGAGTGTTCAAAAGCATTCCACTAACTCGCAGAAGCCTCATCAGCCACCCTATCCGAATGCCGTATGGTGCCTGTAAAACGCCCTGTACCGCCGGCAAGCATGCCATCAAACTCAGCGGCACGAGCTGCATCAGCGTCTTCCCAGCCAGTCCGCAAGTTCCAGCCAGCGTCTAGTGCAGCTAGCTCAGAAGGGTCAATCTCTTGCACAACATCACCTAGGTGGCTCCACTTCGAGCTCAGCATAGCAGGCGCAAGAGCGACGATACGCTTGCTGAGCATCTGGTTGCGCCAGTGAGCAGCCATGCCGAGAGGATCGACATCAGCTTGGTCGAAGGATGTGTTAGAGAGCTTTGCATAACCGCATGAAACGAACTCGATTGTTCGCAGTGAAGTCGTGCGCTTACTGTCGGCCTTGGAATGCTCAGACCCAAAGTCGGAGAGATTGGTGCCGGGTGAGATTTGATCAATGATATCCATCCAGGAGCCTTCGCGGGGCTGTGCCTTGAGTACAGACTGGGCGTCGCCAGGAATTGGATTGTTTGCTAACGCAGGAATAGGCTGAGGCTGCTGTCCTAGAACCAACTGCGTGTGCAATTGATGAACCTGTTGAGCCAGCTGGGCCACAGTGCCGAAATTGATGTGCTGCTGAGCGAGTGCTTGAACCTGCTGGTTTGGCTGCGCCTGTGGCTGCACCGGAGCTTGGGGCGGGACTTGGGGTTGAACTTGGGGTTGAACTTGGGGTTGAACTTGGGGTTGAACTTGGGGTTGAGTTTGAGCTGGTGCTTGTCCTTGGCCTTGAGCTTGAGCTTCATTATGAGGGTGTTGTCCAGGGTTGTTGGGCACCTGTCCGATCTGCTGTTGCAGTTGGTTATGTAATGCCGCTATATTGTTGTTCTGAAGAACTCCAGCGTGGGTCTGCAGGTGTTGAAGTTGCGTTTGAAGCGTCTGGATATAAGCTTGAAGGAACTGCTGCTGATTTGGCACTAATTGCGGACCCTGGGCACCAACTGCGCCAAACAGTGCGCCTGCCGGAAGATGAGGCGGCATTATGTTGTGGAATACCGCTGGTTGCGCGACTACATTATGTGGGTTGGCGTTGGGACGCAGGATGCCCGTAAGCGATAAAGAATCAAATACCAAAGTCTGCAGCTTGTGCCGATCATGCATCTTGACGAACTCGCGCATAGCTGATGGCGTAATCCAGCAATTTTTCAGCACGAGTTGTTCCACATGAGGAAACTGAAGCAAACCTGCCTTCACAAGAGCTGCATCAGTCGCAACCAGCACCGTGGGGTGGATAGAAGGAGGATTCTCTGAACGACCTCGCAGATCCATTACGGGAGCAGGAAATAGCAGTTTGTTCCTCGCGTAGAGTCCCTCAGCATGTTCGCCTCCAGTAACAAAACCAACTTTCAGATGACGGATATTCGCTCGACAAGCAACATGATCGCGGAGTAGGTCGAATAGTACACCATGGCTCTGCGTAGGGCTAATCTTTGGCGCGTCAACGAAGCCGGCCTCGTCCTTCTGCACAGTCCGCCAGCATGGGATCACCATGATAGTGACGTTGTGTAGTTTTGGTAGTGCGTCCCAGAAGTCCGCACGATTTAGCATTGGCAGGTAACGATCGGAAAGCCCGGAAATGTTCAGCGTATGTACGTTTTCGAACGTAGTCGGGTTGTCAATGACAGAAAGCATGTACGAAGACATGAAGGCTCGTTGGGCCCACTCAGTCTCTAACAACCATTCTTTTTGCGCTTTGGTAAGGTTGGCGGGTATGACAGGGTTCACAAGGTGCGCCCCCTCGGATGGCATTTTACTCGATGAGAATAGAATACCTGTACCTGAAGGTGGTGGGGTTGACACAAAGCGCTCCAAAACATACGGGTCGTCGAAGCTACTAGGGATAGGGACATCGCCGGTTTCATAAGGAGTTGCAGCATAGAGAAGCTGAGGATCCAAGTAGGGCATTTGTGGTTGCTCATCTGCTAGATTGCTGGCTTCCTTCAGCTCGGAAAGAGGAAGCTGTCCATCCATTCTATATAGTGTAGCCAGTCTGACATCGCTACCAGCGTCCTGGTGGCATGCTTCAATGTGATTCCAAAGTTCCTGTTGGGCTTGGGCTCGACGATCTGGGATAGCCTTGGCAGTGCCGAAGACTCGAGACGACTTATGCAAGACACGTGCTCGAATAGATCTGTCCGGTCCGTTCAGCCATCCTAAACCGCTATCAATGGAAAGCGCCAGCTCCCTGACATTAGGAAGCTCGGAGAATGCTGTTTTCATCCGCGGTGTTTCGTCAGCGGCATTTTCGAGTCCAGCGACAGTATCGAAGCGACGATACTCTTCGTGTGGCCAGTCATAGTTACCCCAGAAGCTTGTCTTTTTCTCCGTCAGTGACTTGACGGGCGGCATGGAAAGCGATTCTTCGTTGACTTCAAAGCTCATGCCAAACTTCCTAATATGTGTACCGAAGCCGCGGAAGACGTCGAGGCCATGGCCGTTGTACACTTCATCGCCGTTTGCGTTTTTCCATAAGTAGCCGGGTTGCTCGATTCTTGCGCGCCTTTTGCCCTTGAAGTCAGGCTTGTGCTCTTGTGCTAGCATGCCGTAGATCTCGGTATTGAATGGAACAACCACTGTCTGGAAGATGACCTGCGAGACCGTCTGGTTCATCTCGCGGCTTACAAGACGTAGGGACTTTATGTCGTCGCGGTTGAGGTGATCCGCGATCATCTCTACAAGCTCAACTGGCAGCTTCCATTCCGGGCGCCCGACCGAAGGATTAGGAAGAGTGTCATGCGACTCCTCATTCTTCGCAGCTGTTACTGCCTTCTTCCCATTCTTCTTGGAGGGGGGATGCTTTGGATCCTGGTCAGATGCGAGCTGTTTGCTTTGGTCGAGCAGAAAGTATTTGGCGGGTAGTTTTGCCGAACTACGGCATTCGGGCCAAATGTCGTTCGCTTGAGGGTTTGGGCTGATGCTATTGTATAGCATGGCAGCAACAGCACCCCTGAAGTTCAGGACGCGTGTTATGGCCTTCTCTTCTGGGCCCTCATAGCTGTCGCGCGAGCGTTTCGAAGGTCCGGACATATTGTGGCGATGTGAGTTGAAGTGATGGTGGGGATTGTTGGCGAGTGACGAGAGGCCTTCAGAGGGAGCTGGTGCATGCAATGGAAGTGAGTCTGCTTGGTCGTCCCAGTCGCCGTCAGTGAAGTGAATGCGCCGGGAGTGGGCACCGGAATCACTTTCACGATAGTACATGCCCGAATCCTCTTCTCCAAACCTCTCGGCGTCTTCCAACAGGTCCAAGTGCAAGGCAATCGCAAGCTCGTGGTCATACGGATCCTCCGAGGTTGAGCCTTCGCCTTCGCCTTCGCCTTCTTGTGCCTGAGGTGTAGGGTTGTACAGCGAGTGAGCGAAAGGAGGATGTCTTCGCCGTCCACGCGGGGCGAAGCTTGGTCTGTTTGCGCGGCCGCGTGAGGAGGAGCCTCGGTAAGATGTCGCTCCTGGGTTTGCGAAGTATTGATGAATGAGAGGTTGGTAAATGTTGGGTGGGTTGTCTGCGGCTTCCGGACGCGGGGAGGGTGACGGGCTAGCAAAGAGGGTCGCGGGCTATTGCACGTCAGTATATGGCAGGAATGAAGGGATGATGATGGCCCCATGCCTGCCAAAAGCAGATATTGCTGCCGGCATGCATGTGCCGTGTGCCATACCGGCGGAAGGTGCGTGTGAGGTTTGACGTACCTGGCTAAGAGCGTTTGTTTGGGTTCCGCTACTCTCACCTTCCATGTCCTCGGGCGCGGCTTCGTTCGAGCGCAATGCCCACCAAGGCGTCAGCCTTTGGGTCCTATTGCGCCTTCCTTCGTTGTCCGCCATGATCGCGTGACTGAATCAGACCGCTCCTTGGTCGATCTATAATGTCTCGGGACTCCAGGTAGCTTCCGAAGGGCACCCGGCGCAGCGGTAATACAACACTGCGCGCATTGAGCCGCGACGGCAGGCTATGGCGTATCGGCGAATGATCCTGTGCCTGAGTGTCTGTCAGTGAGATGGCACACAGAGATCAGTATGCATGTTGCGATGGGGTGAAGTTCGGCACGGCATGCGGTGGTGTTGCATGCTGCAATCACAAGCCCAAGCCCAAGAAGTTGTTTGTGCTGGAGCCGCAAACGCGCCCCGCCGAGTCCATGCACGATGTCATCCCGCTCTGCGAACCATCCCCAGATCTCCGCATTTGCGCCACGCCCATCATTACCCCTGGCAGCGACATCCTCTCAGCGCTCCCCATGCTATAGTATCTATACCGCTTTATAGCTCTTCTCAGTGTCGCGCCGTGCTGTTTACTGTGGTTAGCCCCGTCTTCCGCTCCTGCCCTGTGCCTCCACCTCATACTAGAAGAAACTGAACAGGTCTGCAGACTACAGTAAGATGAAAAACATGTAGAGTAGGTGACTTAACGTTGATGCAGGCTCCAGGGTGTTCAGTCTTTCCCTAGGTTGACGTGCTTCAGCGGGCGTAGATCGAGGCGCACGCCCCGGCATCTATCTGTCAAATGCCAACTATCCCATTAGAGGGAATCCGTGCCTGAGAAGGCTAGAGAATTGGACTCTGTTCTGATCACCGTATACCAAAGTACCATCCCAATTAACAGCCCGACCCAGGACCAGACCGCAGTCTGAGTCAAAGGCGCACTTGTTTCTGATCAGGCGTGCTGTCGCCAGCCTCACAGACCACGTTCGGAGCGCGGAAATCCGCACCCCAAGGCTGCAGCATAAAGAACACGACCCCACCAGAGATACGCCCCGCACGTTCCCAACTACCAGTCTCCTTACCAGTATCCTAATTGTCATTCGCAATCGATTGATAACATGACCTCTTCCAATGGCCATTCACCGCTTCTGGCTTTCCCTCGCGAGTTGCGCGACGAGGTCCTTGGCTACCTGACCCTCCCGCAGTACGTCTATACATCAAATTCGAAGAAGGAAACTCAAAACCGGTACAAGTTACGTCAAACTTCCGTAGATACCTACGTCGATACACGCATTTATCTCCCTTCTCGTCCCCCTCCAAACATCCTAGCAACGTGTCGCCAGCTGCGAGAAGAGTGTCTGGAATACCATTGTCGTATGTCAACAATGGTCTCAACACCAACAGACCCAGAGAAGCGACCCCTGAGTAATGAGTTGGCTGAAAGGCTCGGAGACGAGTTTGCTGAAGAAGCAGAGCGTGCCTGCGACGATGATACCCTCCGTATCACGTTGGAGGTCCAGCGCCAGCTGCGCGGAGCTCACGGTTACTACATTCCAACACGCGAGGACATGTCGCCTCGTTTCCTTGCACTGCTGCCGATGGTCGGCAAGGTTAGAAAACTTAGGCTTATTATGTGGCCTGGATACGACTGGTGGAATGGTGGTCCGCAGGTGTTCGTCGACAAACGCGGGAATACTCGCGTCAACCCTGGTGAGGCAGCGAAGCCCAATGCTGCCTCGGTCACCATCAGCAGGGTGCTCCAGTACTTCCCTCATGTTGAAGAACTCAGTGTGGATGTTCTCATGCAGGCATACGACGGTGGTAGATGGGATCTGCCGGACAAGAAGTGGGAAAATGTCCAGCCTTGGCTGGATGCACCCGTTACGCCTACAGTGGGAGAGACGGTTAAAAAAGTTACGAGGAAGCTGATCGGCTTCTGGAAAACGTCAGATCCTGAGCCCTTTTACGTCCAACATGAGATCCGTCAATCGGGTAGTACTTGGAAGGTCGATAGGAAAGGCGATATGGGCACCGTGAGTCGCTTTCGAGCCATGCCCGTTTGCCCGTTGCTTACAATTCCAGCCGACCATGAAGTCCTTTTGCGATACCGGTAATGAAGCCGACATGGACTTTCTCAGATCGCTCGTAATCGAAGGATCGTTCGTGCGAAATGATTAGAAAATACCAAGTTGACGTCAGGTCCAGACCGCATGAGCGTCGGAAAATTACCGTGGCACTGTTCTCTAGTCCCGCCGACGTTTATATTGCCCTCATCAAGCATCGGCCAAATGTTTCAGACGAACGGAATGAGTTGTGGAGAACCCCGACTTGACGGGCAGGGGTCCACACGCGCGGAGCATTCCCGACGCATCGCAAAATCGCTGCACATCACGAAGAACATCGTCTCTGAAGACCTAGCTGCTGATCAGCTTCTGATGTTCTTCCGTCAACTCCATCAATGCTAAACTAACTGTCGAATCCACCAATGTGGCAGGTAGCCCTCCCACCGTTCTCGGATGATCGACAAGTCTATGGCCTGACCATGGGACACCCATGAGAGGAGTAGCGCCTTATTCGGGAATAGCTTGCTTGACACGTTCATACCTTCGAAACAACGGAGGTAGACTGCGAACACAGATGTTCCGTGAGCACGTTCTCCTCTTTTTATTTCTTAGCTCGTACGTTAATCGATGTTGTACTTAAAGTGGGTTGAAGCCTTCTCCCAGTAGCCAAGCCTCACCTCACCATCCAGATCGACTATTACACTCATTTCCACTACTACCATCACTCAATATGAAGTTCAGCGCACTCCTCATCGCCAGCACGGCATCTCTGGCGCTCGCCGTACCTACCGCTACCATCCAGAAGCGTGCAGACTACTGCGGCCAATGGGACAGTGCCGTAACAGGTGACTACACCGTTTACAACAATCTCTGGGGCCAAGCCGACGCTACATCCGGTTCTCAATGCACCGGCGTTGACGGCCTCAGCGGCAGGACTCTCAAGTGGCACACTTCATGGTCCTGGGCTGGCGGGTACGTCCTTCTCTCTCTCTGACACAAAACTCATACTAACATCCCCTCCAGTCCTGGACACGTCAAGTCTTACGCCAACGTCGTAACAAAAATCACCCAAAAAGCCCTCTCATCCATCAAATCCATCCCTTCAGTCTGGAAATGGTCCTACGCCGGCGACGACATCATCGCAAACGTCTCCTACGACCTCTTCACCTCCTCCAAAGCTGGCGGTGACCCAGAGTACGAAATCATGATCTGGGTCGGTGCTCTCGGAGGCGCTGGTCCCATCTCCGCCACAGGCAGCCCCATTGCTACCGTCACACTGGCTGGCAATAGCTGGAAGTTGTACAACGGCAAGAACGGCCAGATGAATGTGTTTAGCTTTGTTGCCGAGAAGCAGATTAACAGCTTCAATGGCGATTTGATGGCGTTTGTCAAGGAGGTCACTGGCAAGCACGGCATGCCTACTAGCCAGATCTTGACCAGTGTTGGAGCTGGAACTGAACCTTTCTCTGGTAGCAAGGCGAAGCTTACTGTTACTGAGTACAGCTTGAGCATGAGCTAGATGCGATCTGCTCTTGGTTTGTTGGAGGTTGTGTAGATGCACATTGGCGTCTCTTCTTGTACATACTTATGTCTTGTTCTGTACATACTTCTCTTGCGCACCGCACATACAGTATCCAAGACAAATCTTTGGCTTATCACATTTCGTTCTCTTGCGATATCTGCACGTGTTGCTTAAGAAGGAGGACGTAATCGCAAGTCGCTCTTTCTCGTCTCGCTTACAAGGACCGACGTTCCTGCTCCACGTTACACGAGGCAGCCACCGTTAACATTGTCTAACCTAACCTGGTGTTCAATGCGACTCAAGGCGTCACTGGAGGCCTAACATGTAAGCATCAAGAAGCCTTAACAAGCTCCTCAGCCAAGCAGCAAGTGGAGATGAAAAGTCCATGTCAACGCTCATCGTCAGCCCTTGTTCATCTACATTATAGCGACCTACACTAAAGAGCAAGAGAGGGATGGCACCAAAAATCGCAATCATTGGCGCAGGCCCCGGCGGCTGCATGCTCGCACGCCTATTACTCACCCAGTGCAACTGCAGCACCACCATCTTCGAGGCAGAAGCCTCCGTCAATTACCGGTCACAAGGCGGCACCTTGGACTTGCGCGCCAGTACAGGTCTTGCTGCAGTCAAATTGGCCGGTCTGTGGGACCAGTTCGAAAAGCATGCTCGCTACGACGGTGAGAGTCTGCTGGTTACCGATAAACACTTGACGACATGGTTGAGAAGAGGTGGACGCAAGACAGCAGACGGAAAGCTGAGATCAGGAGATGCGCCTGAGATTGATCGTTCAGATCTGAGAAAGATGCTGATGGAGAGCCTACCTCACGACACCGTTCGCTGGGGCTACAAGCTCTCGCGCGTCGAAGAAAGCAGTACAGGACTAAGCCTGCGTTTCGCGAACGGCGAGGTGCTAGATGGCTTCGACTTGATCGTAGGTTGCGATGGTGCTTTCAGCAAGACACGCAACCTCTTGACGTCAGAAAAGCCGTATTACACTGGCCTAGGCGGCTGGACAATGTACATACCCGACGCGGAAAACACAGTACCAGACGTATACAAGTTTGTCAACAGAGGCAGCGTCTTCGTCTATGCAGGCGACAAATCTCTGGCCATACAACAACTCTCTGACTCCTCCATCTACGTCTCCTACTACGGTCAGCACCCAGAAGACTTTACGCAAACGTGCGGTTTCGACGCTCAAAACGACGTCGAATCAGCGAAATCGTTTCTGAGAAAAGCTCTGCACGATTGGGCACCGCAGCTCCGCGACACAGTAGAAAAAGCAGAAGCGGGACTCGTGTGGAGAAACTTGTACCAACTCCCAGTAGGCTTCACCTGGCCACATCGACACGGTGTCACCCTCTTGGGCGACGCAGCGCATGTCATGACGCCGTTTGCGGGTATTGGTGTTAACACGGCGTTCTATGATGCCATGGTTCTCACCGAGCAGATCGTCGCGTACAGCTCATCTAGCTCCGCCGGCGAGGGCGTTAATCAGGTGGAGGCACTGGGTCAGTATATCGAGAAGTATGAGAAAGAGATGTTCAGGCATGCACATGCTGCGCAACGACGTACGGAGGGCGCGAAGAATGCTATGCTGTTTACTCCTGGGGCGCCGCGCACGAGTATTGAGACGTGGATTCTTTGGCAGGTGGAGGATCAGGTGCCTAGGTGGGGTAAGCCGTTTGTTGCGGTGGTGGTTTATGTGGTGTATTGGGTTTATAAGCTCCTTGTGTAGAATTTGACAGCAAGCTAAAAGGTGCATGCTCTTCTTGTTGGTGTTGGTCTTATCTGCACGAGCATAGGAGTTATGAAGGAAGGCGCGGTATTACTTCGAAGCATGCTGGCTCCCTGCTCCGAAACGAAACCTCGCGGAGCTTTCTACTCCGACCTTCGACACCGCTTCGATGTTCCGCATCCCGACTATCACTTATCGAAACGTTACCTCGGTAGACACCATTTTTTATCGTTTCTGATCTACAGATGCACCTGCTTCATCCATCCAAGTCGACCCGGCGAAGTATTGTTGGACCTTTCTCACTCTAGTGCAAGCTACCCGCTCCGGCTCATAGTGGCCAATAGGCGCACAGGACCCAGACATGTGCGTCGCGCCGTACTGCATCTCAACTATAGCCCGTGAACGCAGCAAATCAGGACTGCTGTATTTCTGCTGATGACGACTAACTACTAGGTTGCATCTTCAACTTTCCTACATTGCGATGTTCGCCCCGCTACCGTTAATCCCACCAGCCCGTGTCAACGCTACCGACATGGCAGCATGCTGGCTCCACGAGCTGTGATTGGGATGTTGCATTCCGTGAACGTCTGTTCCTGCAGGCATGACGCAGTAGAGACGCAAAAACGTCCAGGCGTAGCTTGCCTGGAGTCCTGAAGCTTGAAAATGGCTCAATCTTCTGGAAGAGTACAAAAAGGCCCGGAGAGCCGGTAGATTTGGGTTTGCAAGTTTGATCGGCGTCCTCCAGCAGCCGTTTGTCAATATGAAGCTTCAGTACCTTTCGTTGCTGCCATTGGCATCTATCGCCAGCGCTAGCTGGTCGAAGAACCTTAACTACCGCTCGCCTTCGGAGCACCACCCTGCCCTGGGTGTTTCAATCCACAAGGTAGTCAAGAGGAACGACCCAGCAAGTAGCTATGCCGCCTCCAGCTTGAACTTCACCCATGGCGTCGCTTCAGGCGACCCGTACCCCAACAGCGTCATCCTTTGGACCCGCGTCGCTCCTCAAAGCGACAACTCGCAGTCCAATGTTACCGTCAGCGGCTACGCACCTCTCTTTGACCACGACAACGAGAAGTACGTTCAAATTTCCAAGGCGCCGGTATGCGTAGAATACAAAGTCTACGATAACAAGAACTGCTCCACGGTCGTCGACTCCGGAAAGGTGTTCACAAGCTCCGATGTAGACTTTACTGTCAAGGTCGAGGCCAAGAACTTGAAGCCGTACACCAACTACTACTACCAGTTCAACGTGTGCGGTTCAGAGAACAAGAGCCCGCTTGGACGTACAAAGACCACTCCAAATGCGGATGACGACATCACCGATGTTAGCATCGCTGTGTACAGCTGTGCAAACTACCCATTTGGTTTCTTCAACGCCTACGGAAACACTGTTCGCAAGGTGTGTGATGAAGAGTGGTCATATTCCCTACTGAGCTAATCGTTGAACCAGGACTCTGTTGATTACGTCGTTCATCTCGGTGATTATATCTACGAGTACAAGAATGGTGATTACGGCTGGGGCAACTCGCTCGGCCGCATTCCTCAGCCAGATCGCGAGATCTTTACTCTTTACGACTACCGAAAGAGGCTTGCGACTTACCGTACCGACCTCGATCTCATTGCTAGCCACGAGCAATTTCCTTGGATTCCTGTTTGGGATGATCACGAGGTTGCTGACAACACTTACCGCGACGGCATGTCCGAGCTGAACAACACCGAAGACTCTTTTCTCCGCGATGGTGGCGTCTCAGTCGACCAGCGCAAGATGAACGCTGTTCGTGCCTACTTCGAATGGATGCCCATCCGCCAGGTGGACATGGATGACAACCTCAGGATCTGGCGTTCTTTCTCCATCGGAAAGCTTGTCGACTTGATGATGCTCGACACCCGTCAATACGATCGCTCCATCACCGATCTCTACTGGAACACAGACTACGTTCACGACATCTCCAACGATGCCGGCCGCTCCCTGATGGGTTCCCGTCAAGAGAACTGGTTCTACCGCAGCCTTTCCGAGTCCAATGAGCGTGGCACAACATGGCGTGTCGTCGGATCTCAAATCGTCTTCTCGCGCGTCAACCAGTCCGCTGCGTATGGAGAAGATAACCCGTTGAACTACGATGCATGGGACGGCTACCAGTCGAACAAGAACCGCACGCTTAACCACTTGTACAGCAACAACATCAACAACAACATCTTCCTCGCCGGTGATAGTCACGCCTCATGGGTCAGCGACCTCATCTGGCTCGACGAGAAGGACTACGACTCCAGCACCGGCGCAGGCAGCATCGGTGTCGAATTTGCTGGCTCAGCAGTCACTTCTCCTTGCCCCTATGGCGCCAACATCACGCTCGCAACCGCCAACAACTACTCCTCCATCATCCAGTCCTCCAACGCTGAACTCCAATGGCAGGACCTTTACTACCGTGGCTACTTTGAGCTGCACTTCACCCACGACGAGATGACCGCTAACTACTTTGGTCTGCCGACTGTTGTTACGCGCAATGGCTGGGAGATTCCCATCGCTAACTTTACGGTCAAGAGTGGAGAGAACAGGCTGCAGAGGCCTGTTGCGGGTGGTATGGTTGAGAGCGGAAGTTTGAAGGGTGGGAAGACGATGCAGACGAACCTGACTATTGATACCAATAATGGAACTTGGTTTGTCAGTCAGGCAAATTTGGAGGTCTTGTAAATATAGAAGTCATTTCACGACTGCGGTTACACCAGAAACAACCTCGAAGCTATCGCAATCATACCATATATCAATGTACAATCTCAATAACAAGCCCGAATCAAGAGCAGGCCTGAGTGTGAGTTAAAGGCGCACTCTGTTGTCGTCAAAATTCAACGATCAAGGCAACTGTGAGGGTAGCTGAGGGTGCGTGCCCGCTAATGCAAGCCGTCATGCGTGTAGCCACAACGTTTCAGCCTTGGCTGCCACAGTGCATCGATAGCATATTACTGGACATCAAGGTTACAATTCTTTTGAGAGGCTGAGCCGTCGATGTACGTGAACGATTGTAGTGGCGTGTGCCTCCATTGGACTCGTGACTATCTTCTGTCAGCCTATTCAGGTACCTCATCTCCGCCTTGAACGTCTGTACCAGCCATCTCTACACACCCGAAGCATCAATCCAGGAAGTGCCGTGTTACTGCTGAGTATTGTAGAAGCCGCCCGCAAACCTTGGTGCGGTATTGGCTGACGCCTACGCTGGACAATTTCCCGATGTCAGGCTGTAAGCGCCTTTAGTAAGAAGGCAAGAAGGCAAACGGATAGGAAGTGGCTGTTTGCTTTCTTTCCTAGCATTCGGGTTTCTCAGTACTCAAAAAGTCTGGTGGTATAAGAGTGACAGTCGTGATGGCCTTCAATCAGGCCAACCACTTTCATACTACACTCGCTTTCTACACTCGTTATCATTACCGCAATCATGCTGTTCAGCAAGAACATCACCCTCTCGGCCATAGCCACTTTGCTTTCACTGGCGCAACTCGGGCGCGCGGACAACTGCACCGATGCTCCCAGAGTACCTGGGACATTCATTGGGGTTGGGTTCTCCGACGACAAGAAGAACCTGTACAATTGTGATACCAAATGGATCGTATGTCATGGGCCATTTTCATGCTATTCTATCTCCTCCCCTAATACTCTACTAGGAAGGTCTCGTTGTCACTGGCATGGAAGTTTGGTCTTCTCAGTGGCAAGTCAAGGGTATCCGCCTGACCTATTCCGATGGCACCCAGTCCCCGATCCGCGGAAGAACAGACAACTTGAACCAGTGGGGTTCTAAGATCAGTGGAAAGAGTGGCCCTCCTCCTGACAATGGCTACGGATGGGACAGGATCGAGTGGGGTGCTGGAGAGATCGACAAAGTCAGACTTTGGGTCAACTACAACAACGGCGATGGTCCAAATGCTGTGGGGAGAGTTCAGATCTGGCCTAATGGTGCAGACAATGATCAGAAGAGAATTCTCGATGTCGGCAGTGATGTTGGTGGCGATGGTGGTGGTATACTTGTCGACAACCTCGGGAGCGGCGTATTGATTGGGATGCGCACTCAGTCTGGAGACTTCCTGGACAGCCTGGAGTTTGTGTTCATGGACGGCAAGGTCGAGAGCGCGGAGATCGTGCATATCGAGTGGCCCGAAAGTATTGACGATCTCAATAAGAAACACGGGTAAGCTCACGCGATACTTGTTGGGCCTTTGGAGCTAATGATGCTACAGTACTATCACAGAAGAGAGCGCAGGAGGTGGCTGGATTCAGAATTCGAATCGAGTGGGCGGTCAATTGCAAGATTGGGATTTCGGCAGTGGGATTTCCAAAACACAAACCCGGACCATTACCCAGCAGACCACTGAGATTATGGGAGGCAGCGTTTCCGTCTCAGTTTCCGCCTCGATTCAATTCCCTGTCATCGGAGTCAGCGTTACGGTTGGCGGTGAAGCTCATTGGGAGAGCCAGAGCATGAAGTCAACTGCCGTCAGCGACACCACCACCTACCCAATGACAGTTACGCAAAAGAGTTCCACCAATGGACCACTATATCCACAGCATGCAATCCATTGCACTGTGCTTACCTCCACCAGCAACTACAATACCGAGTACACGTCGACTGTCCGTGCGACCATGTCGAACGGCAAAACGTTCGATATCAACCAACGCGGAAAGCTGGTTTCTGTCCTTTACACGGAGGGGAGGTCAAAGTGCTACACGGTGAAGATCAATGATATACCATCAGATGCAGATGTCAACGAGGGCGACAATATCCCTGGATCAGAGTCTCCGAGCTACTCGCCTAGCTCTTCAGCTTCGTCGCCGAGCTCTTTGCCTGTCTCCGCGGCTCCATCACCAAGGACACCCGCTCCACCTGCAGTTCCGAAGCGCGCAATCGCTTTCCAGGGGTAGCAGTCTCAATGTCTTCGAGCTTGGCGCGTGTATTGATCCATAGTCCTTAGCTGTCTATGTTTCTGCTTTTTACAAAGCTCTGCTAGTATCTTGTTTGTCTTGTGTCAGGTTTCCTTGGGTAATGCGGAAGGATGAGAAGAGTTGAGAGATATGATTTGAGAGTTTTCGGTTTGTCTACGTAGCTACAGTCTTACGCTGGTCTTAATCTTCTATTGACATTAACATGCTTTTCTTCAACTATTGGCGTTGTGATTGACTTGAACTGTTTCCTTCTTCAAACCAGCAGTCCTTTTCTACATCTTTTTACTTTGGTCTTCAGCCAAGCAAGCTCTTGGCGTACCACATCTAGCGCTGGCATTCTTCTCACCTAACCCCATGACTTTCATATAGTAGACTACTAGCCCTGTAAACTCCCAGGTGTCGTTTTCTTCGAAGAGTATGTAGTAGTAGGACAGGGATTATTAGCGAAGGTCGGTTGATCGTGTGAAGGTTTGCTCTGATCGTTGATTGCGCACGTAACAGGACGCCAGTACGGCTGAGCAGCGTTGTCTGGGCATTTGAGCCGTCGTATTACTAGAGATCCGGTCCCCGGCTTGTCAATTCGGTAGTGCGCGGAAATTCTGATGAGGAAAGCGGAGAAGAAGCCGCCATCGGGTGGGTCTTGGCAAGTGCCCGACTGGTGATGTCATTCTGTCAGCTCGGAAAATAATGGGCCTTCCTCATCCTCGACAGCGCAACTAAAGTCCGACGGGTTACAAGACGTGTGCAGCACAACAACCAATCGAGACTACAAATTCAGTTCTCACAAGGTTGGACAAGTCAATGATGAGTGGCATCCTTCCGGGCCTCCCACGGCACTGCAGCCAAGAGTACCCAAGAAAGCTCACTAAACTTCTCCGCTGCGGACACCAACGTCAACATCAATCGAGACCCTAGAATCTTGTTCAATTTTCTGGGGAAACAATAGCGCCTTACATGTACGTTTGGTCGACATTAAGAACAACGTGGACAAGCGCCTTGGGCACGTAGTCCCTTTTTGTCAGCACAGCCACGCGGGTAGGTAGATCATGGCTCAAAAAGGAATACTTGGTGAAAGAGTAAGCCCGATCAGGAGCTGGGGTAAGGCTACGGATCTTACTCTATCCGCACCAAGACAGCTAGGCGATATCTTGGGGGCGATCGTGGGCTTGATGGATGCAAGCTCGCCTTGCAAAAGTATGGGATCTTCCGTTACCAAGACTGTGGACGGCGTCTTCTACGGCACGTTTGAGCGCTGTGCTTATTGGGCACACATGCTGGGTTTCTAGCGGGCTCAGCTCTCGTTGGCCAGATCCATACAGACGGCAGCTTCGCATCGGGGTTCACTCCTTCCGTCTAGGTATCCTGTCAGCAAACTGGAGATACCAAGACCACTACCCATACCGTGGGTGACGCCTTTTCATCGCATGTACGGGCTCGGCCATGGCGGAACTGATCTCAAATCATACTGTCGACTTGGCAGAAATCACGTTGAAGATTTCACCAAGACACCAGTGTCCATATCCAAGAGCCTTTACCACCGATCCATGCCTGTAGTGCTTCGTCCACCGATGTCATCGGACCAGGGCAAGAGGGAAATGAATTTGAGTTCTGCTGCAGAAGTGGAGAGCCGTATGTGTATAAAGGACCGGACAGGATGGCTTCCTTTATTTCTCATCAGCAACTCACAACCTCCTCACCTCATTCACAAACTATCCTGCAGCTTCCGCTACTCGCACAACACCCAACATGCATTTCACCACCCCCGCTCTACTCGCACTCATCTCCACTCCCCTTGCCTTCGCCGCTCCCACTGTTGGCAAGCACGACTACAAGACCGAGTGCAAGAAGGACTGGGACGCCAAATGGAACGCTAAGGACAACAGCTGGAAGAAGAACGAGAAGCTCTTTTACTTCGACGCCGAGTACGTCGTCAAGGCCACACCCGACCAGGTCATCGCAACCACCGGCGCACCTGCTCCCGGTCAGCCCGGCGCCAAGGGTCTCTTCAAATACGGTATCAACATTGCCGAGAACACCATCTGCTACAATATCACTCTCAGCGGTGTGACTGGAGAATACTTCTCCGCTGCGCTCACTGCGACGCACATCCACGAAGCTGAGAAGGGCAAATCCGGACCACCCAGACTTGTAAGCTTGCCCCTTTTTCTTCATGTATTTCACGTACTTGGATTGCCTACTAACACTCATCGCACAGGCCTTCCCCAACCCTTCCGGTCCCGATGAGCGCCGCACATCCGTTGGCTGCCTCAAGGGTCCATTCACCACTGGCATTATCAACCAGACGACCATGAAGGACACGGGTGATGGCTTCCATGTGAAGCAGATTGTAGCCAACCCCAAGGGCTTCTTCACTGACTCGCACACTGCGCAATTTTCTGCTGGTGCTGTTAGGGGTCAGCTTGGATACTAATCCATGTTCCGAGGCTGCATTGGGGAGAAGAAGTAATTCTTGTGGATGATACCTAATAATTTGGTAGTTTCTAATGTCTAAGAAATCAATGCATTTTCTTTACAAAGTTTTCATGGTGCGACTTTTCCGTGACGGTTTTCGTGCTTGAGGATTGCAAAGGGTCATGGTTGCAACTTCGGTAGTTGTGTACCGTGGTTAACACGTCACGATACCTGAACAATTACTAGGCAGCAGCGCAACCAAGAGTGACTGAAAGGATGTGCAAAGTCACATTCGGTAGAAGAGCTCTTCGTCGCACATTTCTTGCATTCATAAAAGGCTACGTCTAGGAAGCATGGCCCACTCCTCACCTTACACTTCACCAACGTTATCAGTGAGCACTCCACCTCTGCTACTGTATACTGCTAACACAGAAGAAAAGACTTAGGGTTTACACTCGGGCGATAAACTCTAGCATCCCACCATATACGCCTCCGCCTCCACGTCTGCCACCACCACCACCTCCTCTTCCACCCCTCCGTTCTCTACTCCCCACGCAAATCGTGCCAGCGCCACCTCCTCCACCTCTACGGCCTACTCCTACTCCTCTATCACGCCCCTCTCCCGCTCCGTCTCATACTATCCCTCGACCCAAGAGCCCATCTGAGTCTCCGCCTATGCCTCCGCCGCTGCCTCCCTTCCTTCTAGCCCAGTTTTGCGGTAGCGCACCTCAGGACCTCTTCTTTCCGAGCTGCGCACCCTGAAGAACATTCACTCACCACACAAGTTATACGGAAGATACGCCATCAACCGACACAGCCGAAAGGTCAGCAGAGAGTCTTGGTGTAGCCCAGTGGTTTGCCGCACGCCTTTTCCCTGCTTTACAGCAGCAAAAGAAAGACGGAGAAGCGCGGCGGGAGCGGATTAAAGACATGTCACGACGTCTCAATCAACTTAAGGCTCGAGTAGACAAGAACAAGCGTTAGAGACAGGCTCGGCCGGCTATAGCTCGTGGTCTTACTCTCCCCTCAGAATGAAATCGGAAAATCGACTGTGGTAAAGCAACAATTTCTCTGCATCGATAAGACTCAACTCAGTCCATACTGTGAATAGAAATGATGCCCCCCTCACCTCAATCTGGTCATGTGCTTGTCGCTAGGGTCTTGCTTGAGTTCAAGTGCCTCTCGCTTCGTAGTCCTCGTTCGTATATCACAGTGAAGGTGAATAAGGCGCCCAGGCGCTCTCTCCTTTCTGGGCCATGCTCTTGCGTGTGTCACGTATAGTGCACCTCCCTCTCCCCTTGACCGACGCCCATCTTTCCAGCGCACTCAGTATGCTCGCGATCCAAGACCCCTCGATTCCGACACCTGACAAATGTCACATCGACAGATGCGCCGTCAAAATCCTGATACAGACAGCCGAGGGCCTGGACAATCAGAGTCTGTGTTCATTGGCGCGCGTCTCGAAACGCTTCCGGAAGCCGCGCAGGATGTCCTATACCGCTTCGCCGACCTTCGGCCAGAAGAGGAGGATTGGGAGGAAGATTCCATGGACAATCAGCGTTCCACGAAATCTGGTATTGCCATGTTTCTCCAGACTATCAAACAAAAGCCTCATCTGGCGACTAAAGTTAGGGACTTGTGGTTTATGTCACTTTAAAAATCTGTCACATACCCGCAACTATTGTATGTCAAAACATCGATCTTATCCCCAGGCACCAGGTTCAGGAGTCGTGTATTTAAAGTCGAAGAGAAGAAGCTCGCTTGCGACCTTCTCGGCCGCCTGACCGAGTTGCGTTCCTTGACCATCACCGCTCCGGACGAGTATCTCTGTTCTCACGAGTTTGGCCGTTCTAGTCATAAAAAGAGCAAAGTCACCAAGGGTATCTTTGAACAACTCCCGATGCATCTGGAGGAGCTTGTGGGCCTACCCTGCTTCTCGAAGCTTACATCTATATACCTTTCACATGGTCATCTGGATTGGGCGATCACTGCATTACCTACGCTGCATACCTTGTGCATAGGGATTTGGTCAAACGTACAGTCACGGTCAACCCACGTCGACGCCCCCAATATCATGTCTCTCATAATCGAAGCTGAACATGAAACCCGAGACGCCAACTTCCTAGGAGCGATAACCCTCCTCGAGTATCTGCCAAATATCCACACATGGACTTTGGGTTCTTATCTAGGTGACTGGGGTCATTCCAGATTTCCCCTAAGTGATGATCACTTCCCTTCCAGTTCGGTCTTACAGAATACGGGGTCGTTTCCCGCAGACACCGTCCAGGCATTCCTTACCTACGGAAGCTCGATCGAGAATCTGATTTTCACATACGAAGAACGTGAACGTTTCGACGACAGTTCGACTATCCGTTTGGACGTGGAAGCGTTCGAACAGCTACTCCAGATCCAAACTGCAAAGTGTAGTTTGGTGGTCGGCCACAACTTTCGGCGCATAGCAGGTTCCAGTCCGTCACAGCTTTTACCTCGCCGCATTCGAGTACTGGTCATTACCCATCCTAGGTCACCAGAGCAAGAAGATAGAGACCGCAAGTCAGTGCTTACGATTTGGTTGGGAGAGTTTAGCAGAACTGGTTTCCCAGACTTGGAGCGAGTTGAGGTTGTGTGCTCGGTTGAATATGGAGATAACGTTGGCTTCAAGCAGCGTCTTGGGCACTCTGCAGAAGCTCGCCACCTCAAGACTCTTTGTGTGACATTGGTGGTAAGGAAGGAGTGATTACGGATTGGAGTTGAGCTAGCTTGCGCTCCTCGCTGCAGGCTAGGTCGGTTGCCGATTGAGCGTCGGACATAGCCATCTTCGAGATAGGCACTAAAAGGATCCTCTAGAGGTGCTCGCCGGAAGTCTGTAAAAAGCACAAACTTGCATCATGTTAGGTAGCACACATGCCCTTCCAAGATGCGTTGTACTAGGCATTAGACGGAAGCAGAACAACGAGTTTATCCGTACACAAAGCCCATCGTGCTCGTCTTCATATAGATTACTGTCCTATTCTCGCCATTGATATTTGCGACCTTAGAACGAACACATGCATCAGGTACGGAGATGATGGGTGTCTGACGCGGTGCCGCCTGACGATGGTGCCAACGTGGCGATGTTGTTAGCAGCTGCGGCACAAGGCGACCCGTTTCAGGTTGCCTCATCAGTCGTATTCGCAAGGCATCAGTATTGATTATCTTACTCAGCTGCGAATCTCCCCCTCGCGCATTCCTCCACAACCTCCCTTGTTTGCACCTGCACCCCTCCACTCATTTCGACTTATCGCGCGACTTTGCATCACGCGTGTGTGTGTGCGCACGATCCCTTTGTGCGAGCGGCCGAACAACGCAGCACCCTTCGGAGTTGTCGGCTGACCGATCAGAACGCTTCGACGATTGGATATTGCCGTATACGAAAGCAGGACTATTGTTTCAGCATCGCGCGATACCCGTAGTCCGGCGCCGTTTCCTTGTGTGTGTGTGGGAAGCTGGACAGCGCCCCTGGCACCATCGTGTTCCTCGCATTGCACGTATTCCGCTAGTGTGCCAGGCACGCTCAATTACACGGCACCCCACACTTTACATTGAGCATCGTCATGGCGTCCACATCGATAAAAACGAGCGAGCTGTCGCGCTGGCAGCCATGGCTTGCAGAATACAACGTCGCTGGTGTTGAGCTAAAGGGCTGGATAACCCTACTCGCATTGCTATTTCCCCTGCTGTTCCTCATCGCTTTCGGAAAGTATCGCAAGATGCAGTACCAGAACAAGAAGCCGTTTCGATTTCTGGATCTACCACAAGAGCTGAGAGATATGGTGTACGAAGATTTCCTTGACGACCCCATTTACCCGCCACCAGCGCGCAGCGAGATCCAGCGCTCGACGCTGAACTGGATGCGACCCGCACGCTGGACATCTACGTCCACATCTCCCAGTACGCGACACGAGAGTAAATGGATATTCCTGGCAAACAAGCAAGTGTACTCAGAATACATGGACATGATCTGCAAGCGCAAGACGTTCCACTTCAGCGTCACGCCACAGACATACAAGCCCGCCACCAGCACTGCTCCGTCTGCATTCCCAGCGCCATCAACACAGGGCAACCGAGTATGGAACATCTCCCCCGACATGCTCTCCAAAGTCCAACATTGCTCTCTCAAACTCGTCACAACATCTTCTATGCTCGGCGTCACAGACCCCCGCTCCATGACATCTTCATCCTGGACGCTCGGCCGCCGCATGCGTGAGCAACTCAAACACATGTTCAACGTCAAGACCTTTACTCTCGATGCAAAAGCTCTCGGTGATCCCCTCTGGAATCCGCTCTGGATCTGGTACCATGCTTCCCAATCACTCAAGATGCTCGGCACGGAGTACTCAGACACCGTACCGCGGGGGCCGCAGCTCACTGGCATAACATTCAGTTTGGATACGTGGAGCCCGGGCGAGAACTATTTGAAGAGAGATGAGGCGACCGGTGGGCAGTGGGTGTGGTATTGCATGAAAAATCATCTTATTGGTACGGATATGGGCCCTGAAATGACGGTGAGGGAGTTTTGCGCAAAGTTGTATCAAGAGTGTAGTATCTGTAGAGTGGATGAGGAGGAGGATACGACTGTAATCTGAGACGTTGCGCTGGGCTGGTCCTCGCGGTGTTTGGGCAGAGACTTCTCCATTGTACTGATAACTTGGGCGTCTGTTTGTAACTTTTTCCTGCGCATCGCACGCGCACGCGCACGATTGTATTCCTGTCATTATCCTTGTATCGATTCGCAGATGTCTATACCGGCCTTTACTTCTTCTGCTCCTCCATCATCTCCTTCGCAGGCAGTGTCGCGTACCGCGCCATAACCTCGATGTTCTTCTCCTTCATCATCTTCTCATCCGTCTTACTTATCTCAGCCAGCGTTTTGAAGTAATCAATGTAGAACGCGGGGGTATACGTGTTGAAGAACTTGGATTCTTCGTTTGTAGGATTCGAGAAGGTGTGGGGTGCGCGGATGGGTACGGTAACGTAGTCTCCGACATAGGCATCTTGTATGGCGCCGTCGGGAGCGTGGAACTGCGACGCAGGTTAGCGACCTGATCTGGTAAAGCAGTATGTGATAGATGGAAAGGTAGTGACATACTCGAACCATTCCCTTTGTAACAAGAAATGTCTCGTCGTGCATCTCATGCCAGTGTGCTGGTGGTCCAGGTGTGTTGGGAGGCAGTGTGAACTCTGCGGAGCCTATGCGGTTGTCTGTCCGTGATCCATCTTCCATGACTCTGCATGTGATCTGGCCTAGTTTGAGTATCTCGCCTGATTTCGCAGAAACGAAGTTTATAGGGCGGCGTGGCATCTTCATGCTTGCCATTGCTTGTCGGGCTTCGTCGTCCATGGTGAGCTCGAAAGTGGGGATCTGGAGTGGTGAGGTAGAGTTGAGTGTCTTTTTCGCTGGTTTTCAGGTAAAGTTGAGCTGATATACGCTGAGAGACTCTAGATCAGCCATATAAATAAGTTTGGTGGACGAAGAGGCTCAAATGTAAGCGCTGGACTTCACTACTGCGGAGAGCCGGCGGATGCAACAAGGGCAACATGTATGCCTTACAGGTGGCCCGGAGGTCCGCGCCAATGGACGACTGCGGGAAGACATTATTCGACTATGGGTAGACAGCAAGCATGCACACGGCAGTGCTCTTATACGTAAAGTTTGTGAGATGATACGTTGTCTGGACTTTGATGAGATGGTACCGTGGCGGGGAATGATGCCCCGCGCCTCAGGGTTAGCGCGAGACCTTTCCCGATTTGGCGGGCCTGATCCTTCCCCACCTTTGTTCGCCCTGTACGCCCTTCCATTTACCTGCAGCGTACCTGCATGGCTGCCTGTCACTGAAAGTCGTTGTTACGCGTCTGATCGCTGCCTGGGAAGCAGCATATTTATCAAGGCTAACCTTTCCACACCTGGAGTCTACTAAACACCAGCCAGCTGAACTCAACCCTCAGCATCTCTGAATAACCACAATTACCTTCATAATGCCGCAGGAGACGCCACACAAGATGCCGAAGAAGATGTGGAACGTCCTTGAGAACAATCCAGAGGTCATGAACCACCTGGCCCAAGACCTCGGCCTGGACACGACTGCGCTCTCTTTCTACGACATTTACTCACTCACTGACTCCGACATGCTGAGCTTCATCCCTCGACCAGTGGTGGCATTACTCGTCATCATACCTCTGACACCTACCTGGGATGAGGCTCGAACAACAGAAGACAAAGACAAAGCCGAGTACGAGGGTAAAGGCGACGCAGAACCCGTCATATGGTTCAAGCAGACCATAGGAAACGCTTGCGGTAGCATAGGCTTAGTGCACTGTCTGCTCAACAGCGACGCTGCACAGCATATTGAGCCATCTTCAACACTAGCCAAGATCCGCGAAGATGCGCTACCAAAGCCCATCTGGGAGCGCGCGAAAGTGCTCGAAGACTCAGATGCGTTCGAGAAGGCTCACGCAGACGCTGTGAAACTGGGAGATTCAGCCCCACCCGCAGAGATACAGGAGGCGCATACCGGTCAGCATTTTGTGGCTTTTGTCAAGGCGAAAGACGGACACCTGTGGGAACTCGAAGGCGGTCGTATGGGTCCGCTCGATCGGGGTGTGTTAAAGGAGGACGAGGATGTTCTTAGCCCGGCTGCGTTGGAGAAAGGTATTGGTCGTTTAATGAGGATCGAGTCTGAGAAAGGCGGCGACCTGAGGTTCTCTGCGATTGCGCTGGCTCCAGCGATGAAGTGAAAAGGGTAGCATCTGGCCGTTCTGGTATGTCGATTGTGCGCCGAATGTGGGTACCTGCTTCACATTATACTAGGACATCTCATAGCTTAAGCTATAATGGACTTTTACTCATACATCTTATACAAATAGGAATTCAATTTCCTTGTCTTTACATTTCAATTCTATGAAGAGTCTGGGCATACTCAGTCTTCGTACCTCGCTTCACTCATAAACGGACTCTTTCCACGTATGCTCTTTCCAAACTTCGACAAGATCAACGGAATGAAACTCAGCGCCAACGCGATGAAGCCCAACAAGCTACTCGCCCAATTAAAGCCCAGCGTACGATACATACTCTGTGTCGCGAGCGGCAAGAAAGCCGCCATAAAGTTCTCAAGGAATGCAATGCCTGCAATAGCACTGGCGGCATACTTTGCGTACGCATCAACAACATACGTCGTTACTCCCGCTGTACTGCAAAACATACCAAAGCCAACAAAAGCGAGCGATATACTTGGTACAATCCACGGTATGGAAGAGTAGGATGTCCATGCGAAATAGAACAGCCCACCACTCAGACCGATGAACGAAGCTGGGATACTGAGATAGAGTCGCGCTTCCGGGATCGGCTTCCCTGGAGTTTCGATATTGCGTTTCGCAGATGCGAAGTAGATGCGGTCTTGAACGAGGGATGCGATGAGGCCAATCAGCTCCCCGATTACGACAGCGCATTGCACGAGGCCCGTGCCGAAGAACGACCAACCGTACAACTCTGAGAAGACTTGTACGATGGATTGCGTAAACATGAACGCCGTGCCGATGCAAAAAGCGCTCCACAGTCCAAAGGAAAGAACTACACCCTCAGTGCACAGCATACGCGTCGGTCGGACGAGCGTCTCTTTGAGAATCTCGCCAAAACTCGTGTGCTCCTTCTCGGCCTGGGCATACGCCCCTTTACCGGTCGTTGCGCGAATGCGACGTGCGCGTTGAGTGAGAATGACATCGGGTCGCACCTCAGGCAGGAGGAAGAATAGCACCGGTATAAGAGCGCTGTAGAAGATGATCTGACTCAAGAAAATCCTGCGTCCAGGTTAGCCAGCATCCCAAACAACGAACAAAGCATGACTTACCATCGCCAAGTCGTATAATGTACAACCAAGCTTCCAAACACAGGCCCCATATTAAGACCCGCAAGCAGTGCAAATATGTAAAGCGATGTCCCGAAACTCTTGGCTCTCCCATCCCTCCAGATGTCGCTTACGATCCCGGACGTGATGTTCGCAAGGACACCCGAGCACGATCCCGTAATGATCCTCGTCACAACCAACGTCGCAAAGTTCTTGGCCAACGCTTGCGGGATGATGAAGATGATCAATACCGCGTAGATGGCCATATAACTCCACCGCACCCCAAAGTTCTCCATTAGGGGCAGTCCTAGTAGTGGTGCTGCGGCGCCTCCTAGGTTCCAACTCAACACCGGCCAGTATGAGTGCGGAAATGCTTCATCGCTAATGTTGAAGCTGGTGTTGATTTGCTCGGCGGCGGATGTGAGCATTGTTCCTGAGACCTGTACGACGAATGTCATGGTACAGGCCAGGAGGGTGGTCCGCCATTTCTTCGACGGAGAGAAGTTGAAGGGGTTGGAAGGGTCCGTTACTGAAGTCCAGGTAACGAATGTAGGATCGGACTTTGAGGTGGGCGGTGGTGTAGATGCTCCTGATACATCTTGATTTGATCCATGTTCTCGCTTTTCCTCTGTCGTCTGCGAGCTCAGACTTGTCGTAGACGTCGAAGTCGGTGTTGGAGAAGCCATGATGGAGCAGAGGCCAAGGCTAAGACGGACCTAGCGTTGCCTGGTCTGGCTTATAAGTCGGGTTGTTGGAGGCGAGGATGCGACTAAGCAACAGTCACCCAATGCTTACACACACCTTCACACCCTTCCCAGCCTAATCACAGGTGAAGTCTTCTTGTAGCTCGAGTACGACTCATGTAACCAGACGGGAAGATGCAGCTGTCCGCGGCGGCACGCGCCTCTTGCCGTAAAAATATCTCACTTTCCTTTAACGATGGCCCCAGGGTTCAATGTTAGTATGATCACAAAACCTCTCTCGAAATAGAAGCTTCAACAAGCACCAAGCCCAAGAAATCGAAGTCGTGGGAGCTTGGTTGTTGAGTGGAGCATGGAGACCAACAACAAGCTCGCCCCATCTTGCTCGGCGGTCACCATGGAGCTGCAAGCACGCAAGCAAAACCTGACTTTCGCTGACATCACGGTTCATAACATGGTTGACTAAGTTCAGCGGATCGCTCGTGCGGCCTTGTTAACTATAACGTAACAAAAAGTGGAAGCGAGGCAAGCGCTGGCTTGGCGGGCCTTCGCTCTGGCATGGTGGGCCTGGGGATCTAAGATCGAGCATTCCTGGGGATGGGGATTGTGGTACATGGCAATAGAGGCTCTTCCCATGGGTGCGAAGGAATTGGTGATGGTGAGATGGCGATGATGGAGAAGATGCGACGAAGGCGTTGAGCCGGGGTGTAGCCGAAGATTTCCACGCTAAACTCCATCTGTTCATCCCGACTTTATCAACTTCTTATTCCGGTCTTCTCTTCCACATGCCTATCAATGTGTCTCTTGTCTGGCCGCTTACACATAGTCCTCCCTCGTCCCCTTCTCGGCACTCCGATAGATCGCCTCAATCATCTTATGTCTAACAACAGCATCCTCCCAAGTCGTAACACTGCCCTTGCCCTCTCCAGCCCATGCATCCCAAGCCCTACCCACATTGAACGAAAAGTCCTCAGCCTTCTCTACTTCAACTTCCTTCAACTCCTCTTGGCCCAGCGCGATCTTGATGGTAGGCTGGAACATCTGCACATGTCCACCCATTTTCGGTCCTTCAAGTACAAGCGTACCCTCGGATCCGATGATCTCCCAGTAGAAGTCTCGTCCGCTACGTGATAAACCTGGCGCATATGTCACATCAACGTTACCTCCGCCGTTGATGAGCTCTGCGGTTATGGAGACGAAGTCGTGAGAGGTTTTGGTCTTCGTTTCTCCGAGGGGTTGGTAGTTCTCGTCTACGAGCTGGAGCTCTGGGTATCTGTTTGACAGCACAGCGGAGATAGATTGTAGTTCGCTCGAGAAGACGTAGCAGAGAGCGTCTACGGCGTGGCCGAAGGGGATAGTGAGAAGGTTCGCGCCGTTTTCAATGGGATGCATGTACGAGTACGAGGGCATAGTTATGCCGCCAAATATCATGCCCTATTGGTTTCTGCGTTAACGGACTTTCATACCCCAAACATCACGTGGTTTCTCTTCAGTTTCGGAACGATAGACTAGAAAACTTACATGACCGAACATTGTCGTCCCCAAAATCTTTCCCAGCTTCCCCGACTCAACAATCTCTTTCGCTTTCAAGATCGATGGGTTCTGGCGTGCTTGCAAGCCCACCATAGTCCTTATGCCCTTCTCTTTGGCCAAAGCTGTCAATTCCTCTGCTTCCTCCGCATTGCGGGCTAGAGGCCATTCACAGAAAACATCCTTCCCTGCTTCGAGAGCCGGACGGATGAGAGCATAGTGCTCGGGTACATTCACGCTGACAGCAATGATGTCTACGTTGGGATCTTGGGCGACCGAGCTGGGAGAATCGTGGGTGGATGCAGAGTCCAGAGAGTACTGTTTGGCGGATGCTTGCGCTGAAGCGAGTGAGCTGTTTTGGAGAGCGGTGATCGTATAGTGCGGAGTGCGTTGGAGGTAGGGAAGATGGGAGCGCGATGCCCAAGATCTGGTCTTGTGTCAATTGACGATGCTCATGCTCACGGGACTTATGCGAATGTACCTACCCTTTAGCGGACAAGCCAATGAGGCCGATACGTTTTTGTGAGTTGGTCATGATATCTGAGTAGGGTACGCGACTTTGGGCGTTGTCAGCACAATAAACTGGGAGCGATCAGATTGCTTTTTTGAAGACAGCGGGCACGTTTCCATTATTTGCATCAATCATCGGAAACATCGCATTCCGCACTTCCGCGCCTTGCAGCTAAAGCGGGTACGGCCGATTGGTGTCGCGTCATCGTCGCGTGGCATGCATGACGCCATTCGCAGCTCCCCCGCATTTCGTCCGGACGCATTTCACTTTCAACATCTCACGATGTATGAGATAGCATCATGCAGAAGATCGCACTAAAGGTTTTTATCATAGTTTCTACTGATAAAGTACATCCGGATGCAGATCTTCGGCTTGAAATTCAAGTATCAGGTACAACTCGGAAGCAGCCATCCGTATCGTATCGTAGATGTGATCTGTGTATCCAACCATCCCCAGGAGGCTCTCATATGATGCCTAATTCATATCCTCGTCTTCATTTTCGTCGTTGCCGACACTTTCGTCCTCATCTTCACCGTCATCACCCTCCTCATCCCACCGCTCAGGGTAGAAGCCATACCTCTGCGCATGCTCATAGTCCTCGTCCGCAATGCGCGCATTCTCCTGTCCCTGGGTATAAGCCTTGTTGACAAAGTACGGGCGAGAAGTCGCTAGACAAAGAGAAGGCTGACAGCCCACAGCAAGACGACCCAACGCTGCTGCACTGTTTGGTACGAAAGGTTCCGCCATAGCAGAGAGCGCGCTCATGGAGCCTGTGGTCGCAAGACCATAAGGATTCGCAGTAGCCTGAAAGTCGCCAGTATTTCCAAACGTCCCAGCCACCTCTTGTCCCGTAAACGGCATCCCAATCTCATTCTGCACTAACTTCCTCGTACTCCATCCGTTGGCCTGAGATAGATCTGCATAGTACTTCTCGTTCTGGCATTGCTCGCAGAAGTACGTTCCGTGCCTAGCCTTCAACTTGCCAATTCTATCGAGGCAGTCCTTGTGGTACCAGCACACTTTGCAGTCCTTGTTCATGCATTGCGTGATTTGGACGTCATTGGTACGGGCGGGTTTGCGACAGGAGCAGATTGGGTCGGTTTTAGAGGGGAGATGCTGGAGGTGGACTTCGAAAGCTTCTTTGGTGACGCCAAATGGGGCGGTGTTATCGGTGGCCGGATCGCGTTTGCGGTACATGGGCGCATTTGGTGAGTGTTTCTTGCCTGCGGGCTTTGACGAAGGACTTGGCGTTTTCTTGTTCTGCGCTGTTTTGCCTTTGTTCTTCACGGGTGTATACTCGCCGCCTGGTCCATCTGGGTCATATTCCTGTTCGAATATGTCGGATGGTATATCGCTCAAGTCCGTCTCGTTGTCATTGACGTGTCTGGTCTTGACCGCGCGTTTAGGTGTCGAGGGACCCTGAGGATTTATCACTATGAAGAAGTTGCGAATATCGGTGCCCTTCGCTCTGGCCATGTTCTCTCGCCTTGTGCGGTGATTGGTGAAGAAGCCGCGGACAGCGTTAGTGTCGATATCACGACCGAACCTGCGACTACCACTGCCAAAGTCCGGGGTACTGGCTGGTAGCAGTGTCTTGCTGCCGAGCTTTTCGTATTCTTCGTGTTGTACAGACTCCGGATCTCGGTGGATGTAGATGCGCGTCTTTGGATTATCAGGAGTCGGCGGTGGTGAGTTGTAAGGGAAGCTCAAGGATGAGAGTGGAGTATAGACACGATTGAGACTAATTGAATCCGGCGGGGTTGTGAAAGAGCGTGGAGAACACTGTGGAGAAACTGGTTCGCCAACGTTCCTTGTGTCCCCAACGAAGAGGACGTTGTACGCACTCGTCCATTTGGCCCCGCGATCCTTTATCGTAGGGAAGATCCCAAGACTATGGTAGGATGTGTAGTCAACCGGCTCTGTATGTGGAGTTTCGCCTGTGACGCCATCCAGATATAGCGAGCCAGTGGTTGGACAGGCCAGCCCTTCAACGTTCCAATCGTCCTCCAAGTCGCCATCCTCTCTCAGATCGTACAGATATTCTTTCGATGTAGGACGCCGAATAGGCCGGATCGGGGAATGGGAGTGCCTAGCTCCTTGAGGTTGACCGGTAAACCCCTTGCAGACAAAGTCAGTAGATGTTTCCATTCATGTTCCCATGTTCATGCGACAAAGTTGTCATGGTGCTGGGATATCAGTCGTAACATACACATGTAGGATGTTCGACGAGACGCACCTCTGCATGTCTGTCAACAAGCTCTTCGATGCAGCCCAGACAGTAGGTGGGTAGCTGCTGAGGCACCAGCTTCTTAACCACCTGTGTCCACAATGGATCCTTCATCCTTGGTCCGTTGCGGCGAAATAAAAAGATTCTACCGCCAGATACGATCACATCTGAGGCCGGCTCAACAGTTCCCCAGTCAAGTAGCGGCTCGAGTGTGACGACACGGGAGGATCGAACTTGTTCAATGGCCTTTCTTTCTGTATCTGGACAGGAAGGGTTGCTGCAGGGTTTCTTGGAATTTTCAATGAAGATGAAGACGACATCGCCTGTTGTTGTTTGATATCGTGTTCCAGATCCTCTACCTTCGAGGGCCTGTATGACATGCTCAGCATGCTCAGCGAGATCCTGATCATATCTCCAGCGATAGCTCTGGGTAGCGCTCAAAAGCCTCGCAGACTGATAGCCTGGCTCTATGGCGCGAGAAAACTTCTTCCAGAGCGTCGTTTGCAGCTTGAGATATTGCTCGACGTCATCGTCTAGCGTAGGCGTTGTTATGCCCCCATCTTGAAGGAACTGGACGAATGCTTCGCTGGCTTCCTTGCCGAGCTTAGGGAAAAGGTAATGAGCGCTCCAATGATCATCTTGATTAGTGTAGAAACCTGAGAAGGACTGGTCGTAAGGGCGCTCGCCCGACAAAGCCATGTCGCGCTACGAGAGCTACTTCGTTAGCATAGACTGAAGTCAACCAAGTTGGGGGTATCAGTCAGGCTTGTCGCGTGCCTGGACAGGGAAAGGAGCGCGTGCAGGAGGTCGCTCTCATGCGAAGGGTCTCATACGAAGGGGACGGTTGCAGTGCCAAGGCCTGACAAACTCCGCCTGTTGCACGACGAGAGGTGACAGGAGACGCTCGTACCAGTTTTGGAGACTTTTTCGACCTTTTGGCATGCTTTGAGTGGGCGCCCAGTATGAGAAAAACGGTAGCGAAATGACATCCATGGAACGTGTGTGGAGCGGAGCACGTCAAACGAAATGCGAAAGAATCACGCACGGTGAAAAGGCAGAACTTGAGATGAAAGTGAAAAGAGAAGAAACCATGCACGAAAACCGCGTGCTGCACTTGACCAGCTCACATACCGGTTGTGATTTCTCAAGGCATGACCTGCCTTGATACTACTATACGCTCACATAGTATGGCCCAGGAACATGCTTGAGCTGTGAGGGTTTTGGTAGAAATGCAAGATCTTTGGTGTAGACATGGCCAGTGTTAGACGTGCGTGCAAACAAGTCTCACTGGATTTTGGACGTCAATGCTGATGATGGAGGCAACCCACGAGGGCATTCGTGCTCGTGTTCAGGGTTCCTCCATGTGCGTTATGTTTCGTTTACAGAATGGCATTGATCTCTTTGCCGCTGACCATGCCCTCTACAGTCGCCTTCAATATCTCACCAAGGTTCTTGATCGACGTGGTCGAAAACCATGCCAGATGCGGACTTAATGTAATGTTCAGGTTCTTTACGTCTTCCTCCAGCAGTGGAGTATCAGCAGGCCCACCAAGTGGTTCCACCTGGTATACGTCGGTCGCATAGCCAGCTATGCGCCTCTGCTTCAGGGCCTGCACTACAGCTGCCTCGTGTACTATGCCGCCTCTCGCGACGTTGATCAAGACGGTATACGGATGCATCTTCTCGAGCTCGGGTGTAGAGATAAGGTTGAGCGTCTCGGGGGTTCGCGGTAGAGCTAGGACGAGGACGGTGGAGTTGCGGAGAACATCGTCAAAGGGTATGCGGTCGTTAGAGGCGTCAGGGGCTGGAAGGCCGGTGTCTACGGGAGGCGTCGCTGGTGTCTTTCGACTCGCGATAAGTACGCGCATGCCCAATGCTTGCCCTAGCGCAGCTATTCGCTTGCCTATCACCCCGTGTCAGCTCAGGACTTCTCATCCTGATTAGGATATGAAGACCTACCGATCCCACCATAGCCGATAACGCCCATAACCTCATCTTTGCAGGTCATCGGAGGCATGCCATCCGGTAGGCGCATGTAATCCTTCACGCTGCCCGCCGTCTTCCATTCGCTAGGCTGCGCACGAGTAACGCGGTCGAGCAACACGGTGCGCCTTCTAGATGCGAAGTAGAGACTTATGGCATGTTCCGAAACAGCGTCGAGGTTTGCCCCCGGGCAATTTGTAACTCGAATATTGCGGGCCCGGCAGGCATCCAGGTCCACAGGGTCCGTTCCGGTCGCGGATATGGCAATATAGCGGAGGTTCGGAGTAACACTGGGGCGCAATGTTTCGGCATCAAGCTTAATGGTGGTAGTAATGATTATCGTTGCATCGTAGATGCGCGAGTGGAGCTCTTCACGCGTCGAGGTGGTCTTGTACGCTGTCAGGTTGTGGGTTGTGGTGGCGGGGAATGTGAATCCATGGATGGGGAGGGGTTGCTGATGCTCCTCCAGAGCTACAATCTCATGATGCATGGCGACACAGTTACACAGCATTCGGCGCAAGGCTGGCGCTGCTACAGACGCCCATTATCTCCATTTTATGCTGGAGGTGGAACGCCTCATGGTGCCAAGTTTGGTTCCGCTACTGCCGCATGCGACATGTTAGGGCGCGTTGTCAACGGAAGGAGCGAAGGAGCGAGGGGAAGGCGCTGGGCAGGTGTCGCATCAAATGCCGACTCCACTCTTGCATGCTGACACTGACATCTCCATTCACCCCTATCTCGATATCCGGGCTTGCTCCGCAAACGCCTCCCATGCGTTTTTCAGCACGTTATGCACACGCGACCAGTGCCCCGGACTCTACCCACGAATACGGATCGTGTGCCGAGATGGACGCCCGCTACGACGCCAATCTCGACGCCCTCGGCGACTCCCATTGGCGCGCAAGCCATCAACTGGCAATGGAAGCAACATCACCCCACGCGTTCACCGCGATTGCCCTGCAAACTCTGCAACAGCCGAGTGAGGCTCAGCAACGTGCGCAACTCCAAAGACCACGTCAGGGTCCTTCCATCGCCGGCTGCTCGTCGGCACACAGCGGCTCAGCTTCTGGCCCACTTCTAGAAAAAAACCTCAACACCTAGGCGACGGAACGCGGATGCATTAGACTGTAGTTCCCACTCAGTCGGTGATTTTCTCGGCGCAGTAAAACAGCCCTATCCGGCCACCCTCCACCAGCAATTGGCCCGCCAAGCTCCGCGTCTGTTGCCATCTGAAATTCGGGTGGGTAGTCTAAGGCGACTTGTCTGCAAGCTGGCTAGCGGGCCTGGACCATGCGCCGACTGACGTGCCTCTGCAGCCCTTCAAAGCCTGCGCTGATCCGCCGCTGGGGACATGTCCCAGAGCTTTGCTTTGCGACAATTCCCCAAGTCTCCTTCTCTCTCAGGCCCCCAGACCCAGGACAGTAACGACACGCCCCTCATGTCCGACTACAGGTACGGCACGCAGTCAGATGCGTATGCCGCTGAGCATGACCACCATCTGCGCAACGGCGCGCCCGAGAAAGAGACCAAGCTGGGCAACACCTACTCTGGATCGGGAGACGATGTCGTTCCCGCCGATGCCGACAACCTCCTGGCTGCCATGGGCTACAAGTCGGAGTTGGTTCGATCAAGGTCCACTCTCCAGGTGGCCTTCATGTCCTTTGTTCTGGCGTCCGTCCCTTACGGCTTGGCAACAACCCTCTACTACCCTGTAGTTGGTGGAGGTCCCACCAACATCATCTGGGGATGGCTCGCTGTATCGCTTATCATTCTCGCAGTCGCCGCATCCCTTGGTGAGATCACCAGTGTCTACCCGACCAGCGGTGGTGTCTACTACCAGACCTTCATGATCACGCCGCCCGCCTATCGGAAAATCGCTTCGTGGATCTGTGGCTGGTGTTTCGTAGTTGGCAACATTACCATTACTCTATCCGTCAACTTTGCTACCGCGCTGTTCCTTGTGGCATGCGTCAATGTCTACGAAAGCGAACCTGGTGTTGGTATCATGGCAGGATCACCCTACCAGGTCTTCCTCATCTTCCTTGGCATCACACTCCTTTGCAACGCTGTGTCTGCCTTTGGAAACAAATACCTACCATGGTTGGATGTGAGACTCCCCCCAAACGGCTACCGTATGTGTTACTTACAGATATCTAGACTTTTGCCATCTTCTGGACCTTTGCTGGTGTGATTGCCATTATCGTCTGCATCCTTGCCATTGCGAAAAATGGTCGCCACAGCGCCGAATACGTCTTCACTGAATTCGATCCCTCCAACTCCGGATGGATCCCAGGATGGTCTTTCATGGTCGGATTACTGCACGCAGCCTACGCGACTTCATCGACCGGAATGATCATCTCGTGAGCCTCCCCTACTCTGCCCAAGCAACTTGCAGCAGATTTTTCCTTGCCCAATGCACTTTCCCGAGCGACTATCCCATGCGACGTTTCCTAAGCGACATCCCAAGCAACACACTCCATCGCGACATTTGATGTGTCTACATGCGGTAATTCTTAATAACAATTGTCCAAACGCTAACACATTCGTAGCATGTGCGAAGAAGTTCGCGAACCTGCCACTCAGGTCCCCAAGGCCATGGTTGCAACCGTCGCATTGAACACCATTGCTGGCCTCGTCTTCCTTATCCCGCTCGTCTTCGTCCTGCCCGACCAAGCCATGCTCGCAGGTCTTTTGTCTGGCCAGCCTACACCCGTCATCATCAAGGAAGCCGTAGGATCCTCCGCTGGTGCTATCGGACTCCTCGTTCCTCTCCTCGTTCTTGGTCTGCTTTGCGGTATCGGATGCACAACTGCCGCGTCCCGCGCTACCTGGGCTTTCTCTCGTGACGGTGCCATTCCCGGCTACAAGCTGTGGAGGGTCGTCAACACCAATCTCGATGTCCCAGTCAACGCCATGATGCTCAGTATGGTAGTCCAGCTCGCTCTCGGTCTCATCTACTTCGGTGCGGCTGCCGCTTTCAATGCCTTCTCCGGTGTTGGTGTCATTTGCTTGACATTGAGTTACGCTGCTCCCATCTTTGTTTCGCTTCTTACCGGCCGTAAGCAGGTCAAGGACGGCCAGTTCCATCTCGGCATGCTCGGCACGTTCTGCAACATCGTTGCACTTGGTATGTTACATCACCTTTTCACGGACATGTCGCTGTCGCTAACAGTAAAACAGCCTGGTCTGCGCTTGCAACCCCTCTCTTCTGCATGCCCACTTTCCGCGAAGTCACCCCTGCATCGATGAACTACGCCTCTGTCGTCCTTGCCGCTGTCGTTGTCATCTCAACCATCTGGTACTTCGTCTGGGGAAAGAAGAACTACGAAGGCCCACCCACGCACGAGGATGCTGTGCTCGAGGCAAGGAGAGCCAGCATGGCGAGTCGCTAAGTTACGCTGAGCCCAAGCGACATGAGAAGCAGAAAAGAGAAATGAGCAGTCCCCTGTCTCGCTACCATCAAGTGAAGCGAAACATTGACCCACATGTATATCTTCCACAATAGTAAATTCGATACCCCCGTTCATTCTTTGAGCATTGCAAGTAACAAGTTTGTCCTTGAAATTCGAAGCGCAGCGATCGCGACCCCATAACTTCATAAGCTTGACCCAAAGATACCAACGCGAGAAAAGTTTGAACCGCGGAAAACACGGCACCAGGCACGCGCCGCCTTGACAGTTTCCCATGTCGCGATATGTCACTACCTCCACAAAGTCCACAAAGTCGCAAGAAGCTCCATGTTCCGTTTCCGCCCCCAGCGCTGAATCTTCGGCCAATACCGGGACCCACCCGCCAGTGCGTCCCAAAATGATTAGTGAACCGACATAAGTTAGTGCAGCACAGCCGCGAAAAATTCAATGGGACCGGTGCATGCAAGCGTCCCCGCTAGACAGTCGCGCTAGCAAGTGCGGTTCCATTGACCTGGCAGGCTGGACGGCACTGGACTGGACCCTTGCAAGGTGAGGTAGACTGCATTAGGGCTAAGGCAAGCGCTTGACGTGTGGGTTGGAGATGAGGAGGATGTGTGTTGCTGTGTAGATGGAGTGAGGTAATGTATCGTAACGCAGTGTAATGGTAGGATTGCTTCGAGGAAGTCTAGATATAACGCCAACCACCCTTCTCGCCACCATCCAATTTATTCATCATATCTCTCAACTTGGCTTCCGCATCTGACTCCTCGCTTTCTTCGTTCGTGCCCTCCACGCGCTCGTGAGGAGAGATACATGCTGGACTGCCAACAGGAGTCAGGATTCTAGATCGCGAGATGAGATGCCTAGTTGATGGGTAGGGGTGTCTAGGTCGTCTCGATGTTCGTGGGGGAGGGTTTGCGACGAAAGAGTCGTCTAGGGAGAGTATGTCGGCGAAGGAGTGGGAGATAGGCGTCGTTGGACTACTCTTCTCATCCTTTCCATGCCTTGTCTCCTCGTTCCTGTCGTCTGTAACGCCATCAAACAACTTTCCCATAGGATTCCGATTCCTCACAAGAATGCTCTTCCTCTTATCTCGGTCCTTCCTCCCTACCCCATGTCCATGCGGACTAAGATGATCTCCGAAATCGCCATCTTGCCTCCTCCCATGCATACCCCCATCAATACTCCCACTACCAACCGGACTGGACGTATCGGTCTCTACGGGCGTGCCAAAGGTATCCCGCGAAGTGCTTGTTTTGATCGAGTCGATAGCGATGGATTGCGTTATGATGGGCCGTTGGTGGATGATGGGTGAGTCTTCTGGGGGTGAGGGTAGGGAGAGATCGGCGTCGTAGTCGATCCAGGGGGCGACTTCGCGGATGTTGATGCCTGGGAAAGTGTTTACGCAGGCGTGGGTGTGGGCGCTGCTGGCGTTTGAGCCGGCGGGGCTGGGGTGTCTGCGTGGTTCGCCCGGGGTGGATATGTCGGCTTTGCTGTGTGTGTTGGTGCGGCTGGGTTTTGCGGGGACGAGAAGGGTGTTGCTTTTGCTCATTGTCACAGTGTTGAGTGGATCGGCTTCTGGGACGGATTTGGGAGATATGACCTCCTCTTTGTCTAGTACGTGTACGTGCGCTTCTTCGTCGAAGTGGAGGTGCTTGAATATGCCCTTGCGTGGCTCGTTCGAGGTAGCCTCCGTTGGGAGAGGTTTAGGTATCACGTGGGGTGTAACTGGAGGTGCCGTCTTGAGCGGTGTTGGAAAGTCCACTTTTGCGCCTACAGGAAGTGTGCTTGGGGACTTGCGTTTACCTTCACGGTTGATCTTACGGAGACGCTTGTACTCAGCATAGTCGTCGACTTCGGTCGATGTCGGTCGCTTGGTGACTACCGCCATTGGCACTAAATCTGTCCTCTCAAATAAAACGTCGAACAGGATATCGCCTTCTTTCCATCGTCCACCCGCAAGATCGCCGCTCTTGGCTTGCTTGATGGACCAGCCTCGGACACTGTACAGGCCTTCGTATCTTACGCCAGCCTTGGGTCCCCAAACGCTGTTGATGCTATGGCTGCGAAGTACCCTCACAGGATCTCGGCTCTTGGGTGTAGCAGAGGTAAGACGGAACTTGCCCTTGTCATTCTGCGGGACACGATAGGTAAAGCGTTCTTCAGACGATGCTTCGATCTCGCCTGTGTCTTTGAGCAGAAGAGCATATGCACCATGCTTATCGTATGTCGTACCGCCATCACACGCTTCAAGCCCGATGATGCCAGCGTGGTGTGCGAACAGTGGGTTGATCCACCACCTATAATAGATGTCAGTACATCTGCGAGTCCCCCTAAGCAACGTTCGTAGACTCACGTCCCAGCCACAAACCCCAAATCCCCCAACTTATGCGACCTCTTCGGATGAATCTTCTCCGGACAAGTTTCCGCCCACCGCTTGAGCAAAGCCTCCCTAGAATACTCATGAATACTAGCGATTCCCTCCAACCTCCCGCCCCTCCCATACAAAAACGGATGAATCTCGCTAAACGGCCCAAACTTTGCTGTCCAACTATCAACGATCTTGTCGCAGTCGTCGCACAACCTGCTCGGCCACCGTGTCGCCACACCCGCAATATCTTGAACCGCTTTATGAATACCGGTTGCGCGCAGCACGGAGATGGTGATGTTTTGGGCTTGGCGAAGTGAGACGAACGTTTCGTGGAGGGTTAGCACGTCGTTGGGGCGGAGGACGTCGGGGCCATCGCGGGCGACGCGTAAGTCAAGTTCGTCGCAGATCCAGCGGGCTATCTGTTTGAGGCGGGGACGGGAAAGGTCGGGGTGGACGGGGGGTGTTGTTGGAAATGTGGCGGCGGTGTGAGTTGTGGATATGGTTAGTGGGCTGGAGAGGCTGTCACGGAGGGCGGGTGTCATGATTTTGGTGCTAATACGCTGGGGTAAGTCAGGGTATGGAGTCGTGTAGTCAGGGTATGGAGTCGTGTTGCATTGAAGGGTGGTAAGAGTTCGGCGGAGAAGGAATAGGTAGGACCAGTGTATTGAATGGTGTAGTGAAAGGGTGGCTTTCATACTGGTTCAAGGTTCGAGAGTCCCGGCACCAGATGCTCTTTCCTCTGGTACAAGGCTCGCAACGACTACCTATTCCTTTCTCATATTTCAGTGTTTGCGTTTCTTCTTTTTCCGCTTTTCAATCCCTTCAGCTGCCGGTGTCTCCACAGGCTTTGCCATCTCTTCTACCATCTCATCACCACTAAACCCATTCCATTCCTCATCTTCAGCTTCAGCGACTGCAGTTTCCATGATTGGTGCCGAATGTGAACTACCATCTCGGACAAAAGCAGCAACGAAGAAGCCCATTGTGCCTTCTTCCGTACCCTTATCACACCGAATACACGCTTCCAGTACGTCACTCTTCAAGGATTCATCCACATCAATTTCCAATTTCTCATCCTCCCATACTCCTCGTCTATGCCACTTCTTCATCCCATCGACTTGTTGATCTCTCTTGAGAATTGACCAGCCCCGTTCTTTTGCGACAGAAGAGGCCAACGCCTGGAAGACTACACCTTCGTTCTCTTCAAAATGTATCGAGCATGTGGAGTACGTGATCTTGTGCGCGCTCTCGAATCGCATAGCGTGATTAAGGATGTGGAGCTGGAAAGATGATAGAGCTGTCAGTCGCTCAGCTAGCTTGCCGTGCATGGGTGTCTCTTCAGGTGTTGATTCATCCATGTCCAAGTCAAGTGTCACCGAAGGGTCGGCTTCCTTAGGCTCATCATCTCTCTTCCGCTTCTTGCCTTTCTCAGGCCTTTGCGGCGCTGGGCGAGTATTTGGCGATTCTGGTAGATGCATCTTGATTGCGTCGTCACGCCCAACTATACCAGTACCGGAGCAACTGGGGTCGAGCAGTATAGCACCGACGTTGGCATATTCGTCAGATCCGGGCTTCGCAGCAATGAAGTCGCTACTGCCCTTGACCTGAACGATGCTGTCCGCTGATGCGAGCTTGACCATCTTCTGTAACGTAAAAGTTCTGCCCTTGTCACGCTCGAATGCAATGACCTTTTGCTCTTCACCCGGTCGCCTGAGGCCGGATACGATAGCTGCCAGATGTGTTGTCTTGTTTCCAGGTGCTGCTGTAGCATCGATAACGTCGCCATCATCAGGCTGCGGGTCTAGCAAATAGGCGGGAAAGCACGAGGCCTTGTCCTGGAATATGATCTGCCCCTTTGTATAAGCGATTGACCTGCTCAGATCGATCTTGGAGGGTAGCGCGAGCAGGTTCGGGATATTCGGGTCTTCGTAGTATATCTTCGACTTCTTAGGCGCAGACAGCACTTCGCTCAGGTGCTCAGTCTTGACAAAGCCAGCAAATGTCGTCGATAGCTGCTGCTGCAACGTCGTCTTGACGGTATTGATGCGCACCCAGCGTGGATGGCGGCTCTTGGGCGCATCACCCTCGTCCTTCTCAAGTTCGCCGTCGTTCACGACCTCCCTAAACGCCTCTATGGTTGCATATCCGTACCGTATACGGGCTTTTGTGAGCTCGGCGCTCAGACGGGCTTTGTGTCTCGTGATGGCGAGTTTAAGGACATGGTTAGCGGCTGCAGCAACGCCGTTCTTCGCGAGCAGCAGATCGTGGGTAAGAAGTAGAGCGAGGATTGGAGTGAGCTGTGCCAAACACGCGTTAGCACCAGAATGCGACACAGAATATTGACAGCAAACTACCTACCTTCCTCTCCTCTGCAAGCAATTTGGTCTTCTCAATCACATCCTTGAGCACAATGGACCATTTCGACGTTTCCGCAATGAGCGCAAACAATTGGCCTGGTGTGCTCTTCAGATCTTTCTTGCCATATATGCGCGACTTCAGAGACCCGCCTGTATTTTCGGTGTTGGCAAGGACCGCCGCGGCTTCGTAGTAGAGTGACATGGAAGCTGTCGCATGCGCATGCGAGAGAAGAGTCGCGAACTTTTTGGCGTTAGGACCGAGCTCCGACTCTTTCCCCACACATCTCCGCGCGCCTGGACCCATGCGACGTAGGCGTGTTTTTAGAGACACGCATTTGCAAATGTACTATGCCGTCATTTGATTACTCGCACTGGCTCAGATAGACTTCCAATGTGCCGTGGCACGCGGCATCGCCCGGCACATTATGAGATGTTCATTCACGGGTACGGTTGGTCAACGAGCCATATTCATTGTCAATAGCAGCACAACAGGTTATTGGGTCATCTTAGGAGCATAATCCGCATTTTAAATTTGCGTGCATGCACGATGGGTTGGTGTTTCATACGTGAGCCAGCGATCATAACGCCGTGATATGCGTTTTCATGATGGGTGAAATGACCTCCAACGCCCCCAAATGTCCTGTATCTGATATTCCTGTAGTCGAAGAGGCACCAAAGTGCACAAATGCTCCATGCAGCATCGCAACTGCAAGTTGCACGGGTATATGTCAGCTATAGCAAAGTGACTCGCAGACGAGTCATCTACGCCTTCTTGATCCTCTCCTCGTACGCTGACCAAGCAGCCTTTCTGTATCGCTCTGCTTCCGCCTTACGATCTTGTGCGCGCACGATGCCTCGCCCAACAATAATGATGTCGCACCCTTGCTCGAAGATCAGCTTGCGAGGAGTGTTGTATTGTTGGCCTAGAGCATCGCCCAGCTTCTTGCCTTCCTGGCCTGGCGGCGGGAGCTGGCAGCCCGGTGTCATAGTGATGAAGTTGTCCTCTGGCTCCGTGTTCAAGCTTCGTTGCGCAATGAAGCCCATGACAAAGTCAGGACGGCTGCGTGCGATCTCGACGGTCCGCTTCTGATATTCGGGTGTCATGAGGTGGCCCTCAGAGCTCATCTCGGCAAGCAACAGAAGCGACCGGAGGAACGGTGGTGGGCCAAGTCGGATGAGCTCTGTTGCTACGTCCAAGTCGAAGACTTCTTCTCCGTTGGCATTTGGCTCTGGACGCGGCGATATGCTTTCTGTGCGCATGGATATCGAGGTTGTCACGCTGACGACGCTGTGCTTGCGGTCGGCAGCCTTGATGCTTAGCCGCCTCTCCTCACCTTCCATCTCGATGGGTGACTCAATCGCCGAGTTTTGTTGTATGTATTGATCGTCTTCTTCGTCGTCATCGTCGTCGACGCCGTTGAGTTGCCGTGTGGCAGAGATTTCGGTGTTTACGGACGTGTTGTACTTGGCGATGGTGGCATCGGCAGCCTTCTCGAGCGCGGTGACGATGGCTGGGCCAGGAATGACGTGCGCGTTGGTGATCTCAGCCCAGAGCGCAATGCGGTGATGTCCAGAAGTATATTGCTTCTGTACGGTTTCTGTGGTGTGTTAGAGACTGCCCCTCCAGTGTATCCTTCACGAGCCCAGTATGACATACCACCAATGTCAGCAAACTTTCGGTCTTCGAAGATGAGGAACCATTTCCGCTTGGCAATCTCCCTCAGTGCCTGTGCTGTCCTGTCCGACCAGTCGACGACAATGTCGCAGTGCGTCTTGAGCACGCAGATTGAGTCACCGACATCTTCTGCCAGTTGGAGGAGTTCGGCAGACGTCTCGACATCGGCGGAGAGGCAGAGGTTGGTCTGCTTGACGGATATCAGGCTCAGCAAGTATGAAGCCAAGGGCCCGGTCGTGGGTAGTGAGGCGCGCGCACGGTACGTGCTGGTGAGGCTCGGGTGGGAAGACATGACGGCGATCAGTGATGGACGCCCGCCGGATTTTGGCTTGTGTGTTTGAGAAGGGCCGATATATATCCAACGCGTGTGAAGGAATGGATCGGCAGTGTGGTGTTGTCCGGCGAGTGTCTCCGCGGGGATGTCTGGTGAGGGGCACTACTATCGACGGAGGAAGGAGCGATGGACAGATCGGCAGGTGCGATGAGGCGTGTTATACAAAAAAGAAAGCCAACCAGGAAGAAACGGGAAGTAGCAGCCAAGTCGGAAATATAGCGACTGGAGAGCTAACGTCGACGGTCCCGTCGCCGCAGGTCGAGGACGCGGGCGCCGACAGGCAGTGCGCACAAAAATTGCGCCTGTTCCTGGCACGGCCCGCTCAGCGCTGGTCGCAGATCATGTCTAGACGCGCAGTCGAGCCGAAAGCGTCATGCACCGCAGCCAGCGACCGCCCATAGACGCCAGAAATGCCACCCAAGCTGCGGCCTGCCCGGCTACCGCTCTTTGTACCACGGCCCTAACGACGCACCTTCCGCATAAGCCTCCACTTCCCTCACGTCGAGGCTCCACGACCGGCATCACCTCAACAGCTCTCTCGTATGCTGCCTACCACTTCATCCGCGTCCTCCAGCCCTCGTATTCCAGACCCTGCACTGCCTCTTGACCGGCGCTTTAAACGTGTTCAGGGCTCTTCGGCCATACTGCTAGCGTTGCCAGCTGCCCCAACCGACTGCATGTTGCTTCCTCCTGTCATTACCCCAGCCACCATCCCGCTGTAAACCATCATGCCGTAGCCAGCGCTTCCAGCGCCACTGTAGTGCTGCCAGGCACCCCACAGCAACGTTACTCCTGTCATCCGATTATTGCAGCCTCCCCGCCGAATCGCTCAACCTCAATTGCGCCGCTCCGAGATATCAACACGTCGACTCAAGACCTTGGCAACGGCTGCACACCTGCAGCTCGCCAACAGTCCCTATTCGTGTGCTGCCTGCCTGCGCTCCATCGGAAAGTGGGGCCCAGAGGCGACGTCGTATCATGCCCGCATCGCGATCCCCGGTTCTGATGAGTTGGTCGGTCCGTCGCTTGATTGTTGATATTGCTTCCCGTCGCTTTGGTACTACGTTCGCCTCGGAAGGATAGATATCCCGTTGCTGTTATTACCCTAGTGGTGAATGTAGTCAAGCCAAGGAACCTTCACTCGGCTTCATTTTGTTCGGATCGTGAACTATGCAACCGGCGACGACATGTGGAAATGAGAAGCCCAGAACACGCGTCGAATGGGCGTTCCTGACAAATCCAAAGCGTATCTGACTGTCTGCTCCCTAGACTGCTAGTCTGCTGCCTGCCGTTCATCAGTTTAACTACTACTTCCATCATAACAATCGTTTGGATAATTCGTGGCATTCAATGTCCATCTTGGATATGCTTACCGTCGTCCCTTCTCTTCACAAAAGTGTCAGTATCAAGTATTCATATCACTCATCTCAACTTTATTATGTTACAAGATCTCCCATGTGGCGGCATGTTTTCATGTCACCACGATGTAACAATACCCGTAACCATTTTGACCACACTCCGAAGGTATACACTTCGACTCATATTACATTTGAGCGTAATGAGTACCTTCAGGCTACGTTTTGGTGTTGGTGGGTACCAGTTCGTAGTCACCGTCGCATTGTCATGCGAAGCGGTCCATACATGACCTTCATGTTTCCCATCATTATCATACCTTCCCTCACCTCGAACAGGTAATAGCAATGGAAGGACGATCATCTAACGAATCAGAGCGTCGCAACTAGAACATGACAGCCTAGAAGTAATTTTCTGTTTGCGCATTGCGCGAATTCCGACTTCACTGCGTCTTCTTCCATAATAACAACCCCACATATGTTCCCTCACAACAACAACAACTTTCCATCTTCCTTCCATTTACGCACAGCTTCCAATACCTTCATTCTAGAATACGCGCTTTGCAGCTTACCTCCTTCAATCAAAACCACTTGCACCTACATCATCAGGATGCCTCCCAAGAAAGATGTTTCTGCTGCTGGTGAGACTCTGCTCGCTGGGTTTGTGGACAAGGAGACCAAGCTTCTGGCTGCTGCCTTCCTTAGCTCTACCGCTCCCGACAAGGTATGTCACGGCACACAAAGTATCTACCGCATACTGATATGAGTAGTTCGACTATGATGTGATGGCCACGCTTACGGGCAACACCGCTGGCTCTCTCAAGAAGATGTGTAAGTACTACCAAATCAGTAGCATATGAATTACGCTAATGAGATACTCCATCATGCAGGGCCTCCGGTCAAGAAGAAGGCTCTGGAGAACCATCCCTCGTTCGCCACCTTCCTGGGACAAGCTGGTGTCGCCGCCGCTGCTCCTGCCAGTGGTGATCCCAAGCCTGCCGCCGCAAAGGTTACTAAGAAGCGCAAGGCTGCTGACGAGGTCCCCGAAGAAGATGCCGATGATGGCGCCAAGGATCTTGCTCCTGCCTCAGCTGCTGACAAGTCTGAGGGCAACCAGTCTGATACTAAGAAGAAAGCTTCTGTCGCCAAGAAAGAGAAGAAGGGCCCTACTAAGAAGCGAGTCCCCCCAAAGAAGGCTGCCAAGAAAGAATCTGCCTCTGAAGAGGAAGTCGTCAAGGACAAGTCTGCCGAGGACTCCGCCAACGGCGGTGACGGTCTTGGTGAGTATTCTCTTCCTCAAAACCTTGAGAGATGGTTGAGCAATACTGACAGTGGGTTAGGTGACGAGATCCAAGACGACATCTAGAGACGCTCATCACTCTTGCAGGCGCTCTTGGTTCCTGAGTTTCACGGTTGCTCGGATAACATTGTCGTATGGCCTTTGGGTATGCGATGGTTCGTGTTTCGGCGAAAGGAGTTTCTGGGTCGATGATATGGCCTGATATGACGGTGGTATCTTGGTGTTCAGGCTATCAAGGCTTTTGACGTCTTTTTTTGGGTGGCACGTAGTCTTCGCGTAGTCGGATCAACGAAGATACTTCCTACTTCAGGGTGATCGTGAATGCCAGGTTTGCCGTGATTGCTGTACTGCCAATTTCTTGTGTGATTTTTGTGATACTCGCCTTCTATACTGTGTATATCTCAGCTTTCCAAAAGGTAACTTGAGCAGGAATATACTTCTTACCTGCATGATGTAAACTATGCAGCGACTTGTCGAGTCGTGGCGTTGACATGTAATCGGTCACACGGACCAGCCGCTCCGACCTGTCTCACGGCACAATTCCGCACTCTCAACCCCATCTTACAAACCTTCAACATGCCACCCACGCCCACGACTCGTACGCTGACAATCCAAATGCCAAAACACACAATGCGTCCTTCCCTCTCAAGCATGCATATATGCCACCTTCAGTCCCTACAGCTGCCAGGAACATGAGATTCGCGCGCACCTCATCATTCTTCACAACCATCTTCGGCCTCCAACGTACCACATCCGCGGATCTCCCATCCAGCAACACGACGTTCAATCCCCTACAAGGAATCCAGCAATTCCCCATATCCTCTTACAGCTCCAATATGACGCGTCTTGCACCCGTCATCTCGCTTTCGCACGGCGGCGGTCCCATGCCCTTACTCGGCGACCCATCGCACGCCGCTATCACGAAGTCGCTGAAGACCAAGGTACCCAAGATACTCAAACTGGGGACGCCTGAAGCCCCGAAAGCCATTGTACTGGTAACGGCGCATTGGAGTACGAGCAAAGTGACCGTATCCAGCGGCTCGAAACACGATCTCCTGTACGATTACTACGGCTTCCCGCCAGAGTCGTACAAGATCAAGCACGACGCGCCGGGGAGTCCTGAAGTCGCAGAGCAAGTAGCACAAGCACTCAAGGACGCTGGTATCGAGTGTGAGAAGGATGACAAGAGAGGCATGTACCCCCGAACCCTCTCTCACATTGTTTCTAACAAGTAGTCACAGCATGGGACCACGGCGTCTTCGTCCCCATGAAACTCATCGACCCCACCGCCCGTACCCCCATAATCCAACTCTCCGTCCTCTCCTCCGAATCGCCCACCCAATCCTACGCCATCGGCCGCGCCCTCTCCTCGCTCCGCGCCCAAAACATCGCCATCATCGGAAGCGGCTTCGCTACATTCCATAACCTGCGTCTCATGTTCGATGGCACGTCACGGAATCCCGAGTTTAGAGCGTTGAACAAGGAGTGGAGTAAAGCTGTAACGGATGCGGCTATGACGGAGACTGAGCAGGAGAGGGAAAGCAAGTTTGAGCATTGGAGGAAGTGGCCGGGGGCTTATACTATGCATCCGCGGGGTGGGGCAGAGCATTTCCTGCCGCTGATTGTTTGCGCGGGGGCGGCTGCGGGGACGAAGGGGAAGAGTTATGCGGATGAGTTTACGGGGACGGATATGTGGAGTTATTATTGGGAGGAGTGAGGGGGTGATAGAGAGGAGGTGGCATGGGGTAATGGATCAAAATTTGGGGATGACGAAAATAGTTGTAAGTTACTGTCTGGTCTACTTCGGTATGTAAACCAGACAGGAACCTGCAATTATTCTTGTCAATCCCAGATTTCCATCCATCACGGGGTGTAAGAGTATATCGCGTCAACGAGACTGCGTTACCTTACAACATCTCTCAAACTGCAAGTATGCTACGTATTATATCCACGCCTGTCCTTTGTTTGGTATCACATCCCCCTCACATCCACTCCCATCCTCCATCATACCTCTCATCCCTGGATAGGCTTCAACCCATACCACCCAATAACGCCCATACCCCCAAACGCACTCAAACAACTAAACACCAACGCCACAATACCCCTCGCCGTAAAGCCCTCTGGTAGCCTCCCCGGACTCTTATTCTCACCCGACAGATCCTCGTAATCAATCGTATTCCCCGCTGCATTCCCTTGCGTAGGTACATGCCCCGTTTCGCAAACATCCCAGTGCGATTGCGGGATAGCGTTGGAGGAGGAAGAGGAGAGCTGGGCTTGGACGGCGAGAGGGGCTTCGATCATTGTGGCGGTCAAACCGGAGGCTACGTGCCATTCTATGTGGCAGTGGAAGAGCCATACGCCTTTTGATGGATGTTAGTATGCTGATGTCTTGAATCATGCATGGAGAATGTCATCACGGAGACGCAGATCGCGGTACTTTGAGGGGGGGCAACTTACCAGGGTTATCCGATCGGAAACGCAAAACGATATGCCCGTTTGGCCGGACGAGGACGGTGTCACGTCGCATGGGTGTTGAAGGGGGTGTTGTCGTGTTGGTAGGGTCGTAGAATCCTGCGTCGTCTTCGCTGCGGGTCACGACTTGGAAGACGTGGCCGTGGAGATGGAAAGGGTGTCTGGGAATGGGTATTAGTAAGAAGAACTTCATCTTCAATTTGATATTGGCGTCAAGCGAAAGTGATGAGAACGGAAGAGTGGTATACTCACTTCCCGGGGTCATCGTTGTTCAGCACAATTTCCACGACTTCATTCTGAGCAAGAACAAATGCGTTTGTGTTACTGCCGTATATGGTGGGGTTGGTAGCGTTGGGGCCAGTGGACAACACGGTGTATAACGTGGGTACCTTGGGGCTGACGTAGGTTACGTCGTTGAAGAAAGCGCTGACATATATTAGTTACCGGTGATTCAAAAGCGCGTACATGATATAGTGGATCGAACTACTCACTAGTTCGCCCCATCGTCGAGGTTATCCATCTTCAAGTCCAGCGTGATGGAACGATCAACATGATCAAACAGTTCCTCCTTGTCATGCGGTACCAAAGCGAAATCATCAAAAGGCTCGAATGATGATATTTCCTTCGCGGCGGGCTTATCCTTAGCATCGTCGTAGACAAGCCATCCTGTAACATTCGGGTTCAATCCATCGGGTATGGCATCAAACAGGTCCTGGTCCATGCTTCCTACGAAAGCGAAATTGGAATTGGTGTCGTTCTTAGCTGTAACGAGAACACTGTACCGTTGTGCCGCGGTCAGATAGATCATATCCGCATCCATGGGTTCCGTGTACACGCCATCGACCTCCACAACGCGCATGGTATGTTCTTCGAACCAGACGTATTGCGCAGCGAAGGCGCCCATGTTGATCAAGCGGAAGAGGTATGTCTTTCCTGGTTGAATGGCGACAGTCAAGTTCTGGGTGTCGTTGAGCAATGCGGCTTGAGGTACGGGCTCCGCGCCGGAAGGATTGGCAATGTTGATGAATTCTGCTAGAAGATTGTGCATGAGATCGTGGTACCAATCGGAGAGTGTTATGACGACTTCTTCGTCGTAGAGATCTTTGAATGGGTCTTCGGGATCGTGCACAATCAGAGGGCCTCGAAGACCATCTGGATATTGACCGCGTTCGTGGCTATGGTACCAGTATGTGCCAGGTTGATCGACCTGGTCAGATTAAAGACTGCACCGACTATTCATCAGACACTGCGCGACTCACGGTAAAGTTGTATGTGAAGGAGCTGCCTGGAGGGATACCGCATTGTGTGACAGCAACAGGACCGTCCATGTGCGTAGTTCCATTCATGTACAAGCCATGGAAATGCAGACTTGTCGACTCATTCCCTAGAGAGTTCTTTGCGTTGACGATGACTTGATCGCCTTTCGTGACTAAGATGGGTGGTAGAGGCCATTGGCCGTTGATGCCAATAACCGGGCGCGTTCCCTGCCCATCGGGGTTCGCATAAGTCCATGCTATGTCGAAGTCATATGTGACGGTCGCGCAGGTAGCGACTGATAGTAGGAGGGAGAGCGGAAGGAGGAAGCTCGATAGTGAGAGTGCCATGATGGCGCACAAGGCGAGTGCTGAGATTCAGATGCAGTCAAATCTCGCCGTTGGTGATCAAGCTGCTTGGAGTACGACTCTACTAAGGAAGTTCATGTGCTACACCCCAGGTTAGTGCCGATGCAAGAACACTCTCGTCAGACGTAGGACGTAAGATCCGACGTGCGGAGATCAGATAAGACTCTCTAAGCATTTAGCCTCCACCACCTCAAGCCCCCATGCTTCGGCGCCGAGTTATCAGATCATGAGCCCATGTTCTCGACGGTCTGAAGGCGGCCACAAAGTGTCGTAAAGCGGGGCTTTCGTGTTTTTCCCTCACGAACTAGACTTACCTCGGTCTGATGTGTTTGATCATCCTAGTATCAGATTGAATTTTCCACGTCTTGGGTAACGACTAGCGAGCTTGTCGAGCTTGATTTGCTGTGGGGTGACATTCACCGGGTGTTATCGGTCCATCTGATAATCTGGACCACGATCGGCCAGGGTCTGGGGTAAGCGACAGCGCCGAAGGACCAATAAGCCTGCGCTAGTCTGCGCTACGAAGTCTTGATATGATTTGGCGTGCTGGGCATGTGAAGGTGCGGATCAGATAAGTCGAAGATTTGAGAAGGTGTTGGAGCATCTGGGGTCGTGAACAAAGCGGAGAACTGAGACTGAGGTCGGATGTAGTTGCTTGATGACCGGATACGATGAATCAAGCTCTCACAGTTGCATTTGCAGCCGAGGCTGCACGAAGCTGAAGCATGATCGGTCCGTCGTGATACCGGGTGACAAACTCAAATTAAGAGGCAGGGTCGTCGTGCATGCCCGAACTTCGGCTCTTGTCTAACGCTATCGACACGAACGGCAGGCGCGTGTTAGCCACCCTCAGCTTCGGGAGTCACTGCATGTCCACCCATCTGATTAGATCCGTTCTCTGTCCTTTATCAAATACCCAGTCAGAGTAACAAACTACGCAACTTTGACGGTTACAAGGTCCCTCAAGATGCCGAACGTCTTTGCTGTGCCAGGTACGTATTTGAGAACAGTTTGTCTCTACACAGCGGTGCAGACAACGCCATCATTGCTAACGCTAACCAAGTCTTCTTCATTTGCTTCCGCGAATGTCTGGAAACGAGCATCATCGTCTCGGTGCTCCTCGCCTTCCTTAAGCAAACCCTCGGTCCTGAACATGATGCGACAGTCCACAAACGACTCGTACGACAGGTTTGGTACGGCGTCGGAGCTGGTGTTCTGATCTGCTTGATCATCTGTGCCGGCGTCATTGGCACTTTTTACACTGCTGGACGCAATGCCTTTGAAGCTGCAGAAAACATTTGGGAAGGCGCCTTCGCAATCCTCGCAAGTGTCATCATTACTCTGATGGGAGCTGCTCTGCTCCGCGTTAGCAAGCTCCAAGACAAATGGCGTGTGAAGATCTCCAAAGTGTTGGAGCAAAAGGACTCCAAACTACCCATCAAGGGTAGACTGAAGCGATGGTCGGAAAAGTACGCCATGTTCATTCTGCCATTCGTTACTGTGCTTCGCGAAGGAATTGAAGCAGTGCTGTAAGTCTATTCAGTCTTGCCGCTGCATCGCAGAGCTAAATATTCCATCAGGTTCATCGCAGGTGTTGGACTCGGTGCGCCAGCGACTAGCTTCCCTCTCGCCGTACTTTGCGGTCTCGGTGCGGGTGCCTTGGTTGGGTTTTTCATCTACAAGGGCGGCAACAAAACTTCTCTACAAATCTTCCTGGTCATCTCGACGTGTTTCCTCTACCTGGTCGCAGCAGGTCTGTTCTCGAAGGGTGTCTGGAACCTTGAACAGAATGCCTGGGTTAAGCTCGCTGGCGAGGGTGCTGCAGAAGCTGGTGCCGGTCCGGGTAGCTACGATATCAGGAAGAGCGTGTGGCATGTCAACGTAGGTTTTTGCTCTGACAGTACCTTGGCTCTGAATGCTAACTGCTACAACAGTGCTGCTCACCATTGGAAAATGGCGATGGCGGGTAAGTAGATGCACTCTCATTTGGAGATTCTCTCGCTAACGGCATCGGCTCAGTTGGGGTATCTTCAACTCCCTTTTCGGTTGGCAAAACAGCGCAACCTACGGCTCCGTCATCTCGTACAACCTGTACTGGCTCGTCGTCATCATCGGTTTCGCCTTCCTAGGTTGGAAAGAGAGCAGGATCAGCCCGCCTCATAGCGCGCAATCCGAGAGCATTGCTTCCAGCGAAGAACGCGAAACCACAGGAAAGAAGACCAGCGGTGAAGGCATCACAGTCGCGACTACCGTGAGCGAGGTGAAGTAGACGAGATGAGAAATCATTCAGTCGAATCCCATGGCTGTGTAACTGTGTTGAGCGTATTTATAGATCTAGTGGGAGGCCTCGTTGACAGCTAATTGGAACGGATGAGGGAAAAAGCTTGTTTGGTCCAAGGTGGGGCTAATGCAATCCACCCTAAACGAGGCCTAGGCCGTGTCCCTCGAGATAACCGCCCCCTGAATATCATCCGAAACACCTTCAGATTGTGGCCCTCATTGCAGTTTTTAACATGGAACGCGTGTCGTTGATCTTTTGCTGTGGGTCCCGATGAATGGTTTGCGTTGAACTGACGATCATGTTGGGGACTGTTTGACAGATCTTCAGCTTACTGCAAGGCGCTCAACGGTTTTCGTTACTAAAAACAAAAACTACGCATGCGCAGACAGCGAGGATGACGGGCTGACACGACATTATTACCCATGCGCTGGAGCCGAGTTTCGTGGCGGAGTATACGCGTTCGGGTGTTGATGCACAAATTGAAGTATACATAAGTGGATGCCGCCTGCTCTCTCCCACGCGTTTGCTTCCAAGTCCTCGCTCTTGCTTCTGTCAATCGTTATTTCCGTATTCTTCGATCCATCTCAACTTTAGACAGCACTGTTCACCTGTTCTTCAACCAATTCTCCACAGTTTCGCAATACCGTTACCATGCAGTTCAAGAACCTCGCCCTCCTCACTGCCGTTGCTGGCACTGCCGTCGCAGAGTTCGCGATCATTACCACACCATTCCCCACCAACCTCAATGTTCTCACCGACGTATGTTTTAGCCAATTCACCCACCTTTTTGCCAAACAATGCTGATCCATGATATTAAGATCGACGGTTATGCTTCGTCCGTGTTGAACGTAGTCGAGACTGGCCTCGCATCCCTCACCGCAGCCTCCAACATCGCCGCAGCCAAGTCCGCTCATGATGGTCTCAAATCCTTTGCTGCTACTGCTTCATACTCCATTCCCAGCGGCGTCACCGAACTCGGCGCGCTCGAGACCCTCTCCGAGACACCGGCCTGGTACAGCGCGCTCCCCAGCGATGTGAAGAGCTACTACGACAAGTACAACCAAGAGGTCCAGAGGCTGGTCAACCAGGCCATCCTCGGCGAGAACGGCACTCTCGCTACTACCACTGGAGCTGGTGCCAGTGGTGCGTCCGCGACAGGTGCGAGTGCGTCTGCGACCGGAACTGGTGCCGCTATGAGCAACGTAGTTGGCGTGATGGGCGCTGGTTTTGCTGCCGCATTCGCCGGTGTCATGGCCTTGTAAACGTTGGAGGAGATGGGATTCACAGTGCAGGTCGTTTAGACTTCTTCATTGGGCTGCTCTTGGCTAGGGATGAGACTTTCACGTGAGGCGGAAAGACATTTGAATTTGTAGACGAGTTTTTAGTTATGATACCTCTGCTTCTATTCTACACAGTTATGAGCTGCGAACGAAAGGCCGCTCTTACCGTTAAGTGATCTCTTCTTGTATTGGCCATATATTTACTCGTCTATACCATGTCTGGTGCCCTGTAGCCTCGACGAGCTCATCTACAGCTGATCTTTGCCTTTGGGCTGCGCCAAATTCGCAACCTCAGGGTCCTTAGTAACCTCTTCGTAATCCGGTCTCGGCAGCTCAAACGCTTGAGTCGACCTCGCATACGTAATGCCACCCAACCTCGAGATCGGCTTAAGAACCTATCCGCCATCAGCAAACTTCGACATCCACAAGCCTCAAACTTATAACTTACAGCAGGATCAACGAGCACACCCTGCTCATCGATAGCATCCTCCCTAACCCAAAAGTTGACTCCCTCCACAAACGCAGTAACTCCCGTCTTCTTATCTGGCGTAGCAGGATTCTTACTCGTCCACTCCACCGTATTCACCAGTTTTCCCTCAATACTAAACACGGCCTCCTTGACACGATTCGGCTTGACGAACTTACTCTTCTCCGCGTGCAGCCCGCTAAACGCCCATTCACTTACATCAGCCGGCGCATTAATGCTCGTGTAATTCGCCGCCTCGATGTACTCCTCCGTGATGATATTGATAACAGCTTCCTTGGTATCAACTAGGTTCTTCAGCGTATCTTTGGCCTTGTCCATGCCGCCGGCAAAGCCCAAGACGAACATTGGTGGGTCATGGTTTACGAGGTTGAAGTAGCTGAACGGAGCGAGATTCGTGCTTTTTCCATCTGCGCTGACTGTTGAGACGAAGCCGATTGGTCGGGGTACAATGGCGGAGATGAGCAGCTTGTAGTTGTGTACTACGGGTCGGCCTTCTTCGTAGGGGTTTATGGATCGGTGCGCCTTTTGCAAGCTGGAAGGCTCGTTGGGACCGGAACCGGGTTGCCAGTCGGGTTTGGGGGTTTGCGTGTAGTGGAAGGAGGAAGATTTGTCGAAGGGTGGACGCGAGGCTTCGACGGCTTTGAAGTCGCCGTGCGGGTTGCGCTTTATCTCCTTTTCGGCATCTGCTCGTCCGGTTGCCATGATGTTACCTGTAGTTGGGGTGCTGTGACTTGGGTGAAGAATTGTTCGTGAGCGATTGTGTTGTACTGACGATCACGGGAACGATGTCTTATATCGATATGGGTGCAACTGCCGTTTAGTAACAGATGATCAATCGCGCAAAAAAGTGCTCCACGGCAAATAGCGGATATAATTCCGAGCCTACAGGTGCACCAGGGCGGCCGCGGAACGTCCACCGAGGCATTTTGAGCGGTCATTGTACGCAACTTGGTAGGCCGCTTTGAACTAAGCAGTTCTGTCTGCACTGAGGCTGCTAGAGGATATGTGTCTCAGGCCCGTATTGAAGGTTTGGCTATTGCCATTCTGACGGGTACACAGGGCGATTTGCCGCAAGGGACGGGGTTGTCAACGTCATGTACCCCACCATATCTGTCAGCTACCCCGCCATGAATGATAACCACACCAGAGCTTAGTGGCAGGGTCTACCACGGAAGCTGGAACTGAGGGGCATGAAAACAATAGATAGGCAGCATGATAGTGCACGTCTCTGAATGGTGATAGACAGACCTTCGCTTCTATAGCTGTCCAAAATTACATTATACTCCTTCCTTATACGCCACCATGTCTTCAAACAATGATTACCAGACTTACAAGTTGGGCAACTTTAAGCTTAAGTCAGGTGGAGAGATTCCAGATGCTTTCATCGCCTACAAGACTTTAGGTGACCCATCGCTACCTGCCATCATATATCCAACATGGTATTCCGGGAGTATGTGCAGCCCCATTCAACCATTATTGAACCGCTATTGATGCGACGATGTAGCGATATCCGACAACATCTGGCTGACGGGCTCGGACAAGACACTCAGCCTTTCTGAATACTACATCATCATGCCTGCTTTATTCGGAAATGGGCAGTCATCCTCGCCATCCAATATGCCAGGCTTGCGTCCGTTCCCTGAGGTGCTGTTTTACGACAACGTGAAAGCGCAGCATGAGCTCGTCACCAAGCATCTTGGTGTGAAGCATGCTCGTGCTGTTCTCGGTTGGTCCATGGGTGCGGGACAGACGTATCAATGGGCTACTCAATTTCCCGACTTCATGGACCTTGCGGTACCGTTCTGTGGAAGTGCGAAGACGAGCTTGCATAACCAGGTCTTCCTAGAAGGCGTCAAGAGCGCCTTGTACGCTGCAATAGGAACAAGTTCAGCAGGAGTTGCGAAGCCAGATCATCTGACTGCCCAAGGCAAAAGAGTACAATTCGAATCTGAGAACCGAGAGGTTGGACTGAAGGCCCTTGGACGCGTTTATGCTGGCTGGGGCTTCTCACAAGCATTCTATCGGGAGAAGCTGTACGAGACAGCGCCCACGCTTGGGTTCAAGAGTCTGGACGACTTTCTTGTCAACTTCTGGGAAGCTTGGGCACTCTCGAAAGACCCAGAGAATATGCTGGTCATGGCGCATACATGGCAAGCTGGTGACTGCTCGCAGCAAGAACCGTATAATGGTGATTTTGAGAAAGCGATGAAGGGTATCAAAGCGAAGACACTAGTCCTGCCAGCGAAGACTGATCTCTACTTCCCACCAGAAGATTCGGAGATCGAGGTCCAGAACATGAAGCCTGGGGTGGGAACATTGAAGGTTTTCCCATCTATCTGGGGCCACTGGTATATCTTCCCTTCCGGATTTATCGAATACTTGAAGCTGACAAGCAAATTAGGGCCGGCGGACCAGGACAGTCGACCGAAGACGTGAAATGGCTGGATAACCAAATCCGGGAGTTCTTTTCGAAGAATTGATCTCGTAAACGATGCTACTGCTTTTCTAGCTTGATAGTCTCGACTACCTTGAAGCGATCGTTCTTGGTATTGCGTTGAATAACACATACTTGATCAACATGCCAGTCCAAAGCTACAGGCATGGCTTCTTCATTTGGGCTGTGGTCCATATGTTCCGTTACTCTCTTTCTAATCAGTGTGCGAAGTTCATCCAGGCAGACTTTACTCTTCACCTGCCCTACAGAAAGGTGAGGGACGAAAGGCCGCCGATCTGCATTTACTTCAGAGAATTCCTTTTGCAGAGCTGCTTGAAGCCGTTGGACACTGTCTGTAGTAGGACCTAGCCAAACGGTTTTGCTGCCCCCATTCCCATGGCTGAAGAACCCGGGTGGATCCGCATCGAGCGTTATGTGGAATGGTCGTATGTCTTGAACCGCTCTTACAATACGGGCGCGTATCTCAGCCTTGAGAGACAAAGGTGAGCCTTGGTCGTTCTCGATAGCTTCAGAAGGCGAAGACAAGAAAGGATATAACAGATTTATATGTGCAGGCCACCGTTCGAAGTTCTTGTCGTGTGTGCGTCGGACGCCTTCGATGGGAGCAGCGATGCTGGAGGGAGGCAGCAGAACTAGTGCACTCTTATGTGAGAGATGGGTGGGCAATTGTTTGGCCATACTTGGCGATGGTGATGTTGGGTTGGCAAGGTTTGCCAATGTTGCGATGGCGACGGGTTGATGTCGCCGCTGCCAGGTTGAGCCACAGTGGCGCCCTAGCGGCTTGGCAACGGGCTGCTCCAAAGATGGATGCATCCTCGACTTCTGATGTCGCATTCACTTTCCAGACTTCAACTCAGTAAAGGTCGCGTCGCCATGTGGGAGCGCTGAAAATCTTATCACACTCATTCCCCAGCCGTCTCTCACGACAATCCACCCCGACACGCGCCCGATTGCGACTTCTTCCGCGCCCGCTCGCCGCAGCACCCCCGAAGTCGCGCGACTCTTTCAACCCCGATTCTCTGGACCTTCACCATGGACGGCCAGAAGAAGCCCACTCGGCAGTTTGGAGTCACCAGCGCCATATCAGAGGCGGCACCGACTGAACACGACATCCGGCTAAACGACAAACTCATCGAGACGTTGAAGACTGAGAATGTCTTCGAGACTCCCGAAGGCAACCGCAGGAGGTAGCACAGTCGCTAAACACGTATTCGCGCCAAGCTAATTCTTTGCAGGGAAGAGGTCATCGATCACATCCAGAGAGTCGTCGAAGAGTTTGTCCGTCGCGTCGGCAAACAGAAGGGTGTGCAGCAGCCTATACTCGATGCCGCTGGCGGCAAGATCTTCACCTTCGGTAGTTACGCTCTCGGCGTCCACGGTCCCACGTCGGATATCGATACACTCGTTGTCGCGCCCAAGTTCGTGACCATCGACGAATTCTTCAAAAACTTCCCTCCGACCTTCAGAGAGATGTCTAAGGCCGAAGATATCACTGAGTTCGTGCCTGTCGAAGATGCCTTTGTACCCATCATCAAGATGGAATATCGCGGTGTGAGCATAGATCTGTTATTCGCGTCCTTGCCGAAGCGATCGTCGATACCGAGAACAATGGAGACAATCGAGAAGAAGGACTTGGAGGGTTTGGGCGAGTCGGCAACCCGAAGTGTCAACGGCACACGAGTCACCAACGAACTCTTAGACGCGGTGCCGCAAAAGGTCAGTTTCCGACACGCGCTGAGGGCTATCAAACTGTGGTCGAACCGTCGCGGCATCTACGGAGCAGTCTTCGGATACCCTGGTGGAGTTGCATGGGCTATTATGGTTGCGCGCATCTGCCAGCTGTATCCCATGGCCAACGGTGCTACTATTGTTTCCAAGTTCTTCAGCTTGATGTACAAGTGGACCTGGCCGCGACCCGTTATGCTCAAACACATCGAAGAGGGCGACTTAGGTCTCCGTGTGTGGAATCCCCAGGTCTACGGCGGTGATCGCGCCCACCTCATGCCCATCATCACACCCGCCTTTCCGTCTATGTGCGCTACACATACAGTGATGCCATCAACGCTGCGAATCATGAAGGAAGAGTTCGGGCGAGCGGACAAGATCTTACAGCATATCTTCTCGGGCGCCAAGGACTGGGATTCACTCTTCGAGCGCCACTCCTTCTTTACCAAAGACCACAAATACTACCTCAGTGTTGTTGCCGCCAGTCGGACCAAGGAAGCCAACTCGACCTTCTCTGGATTGGTACAATCGAAAATCCGTCATATCGTCAAAGGCATCGACGATGGACAAACGGGCATCGACACCGCCCGCCCGTACATTCACTACTTTGAACGCTTCCACCGCTGCAAAGACGATCAGTTCCATGAGGTCACGCAGGGTTCTCTCGAGTATATGATACCGGCATCCGAAGTGCCTGCTGAGGGTACTGAGCCAGCGAATGGCGAGACGCACATCATTTACACGACAACTTTCTACATTGGTCTTACCTTACCCCCAGGTATGTATCTTCAGTTCATCCAATACATTGCACAACTAACTCGGCTCGTAGATGCTACCAAATCGCTCGACATCTCCTATCCAGTGAGTCAATTCAGGAGCTACATCACCGACTCCGACCTCTACGATGACAAAGTGATGTCGGTCAAGGTGGTCCATACGCGCAAGTAAGTATATCGCTCATTGCGACTAGGATCAATTGCTAACTTGCCAGCACTGCGCTTCCCGATGATGTCTTCGTCGAAGGAGAGACCCGACCGAAGAAGCCTAGCAAAGACAAGAAGAAGAAGGACGCGAAAAGTGCTAAGCGCCACTTCGCCGATACAGGCATTGACGTGCGTGACTCGCGCCTCACTAAATCCTCTCGACGCTCACCCGCGTCCCGAGAGTAATCTTGCGCCATTATGCTGACGATTGTGCTAATACAGGACCGCGATCATTCGGCAGCAAAGCGTCGACAGGCCGAACTTGCTACCAATGGAGTCGCAACTCCGACGGCAGCCTAGGTTCGCTTTCAGCTAAGCTAGCACATGTTCGCTATTTCTCTACTCTCTATCATTCGCTTGATATTCTTGGGATTTCTGACATTCTTGTTCATTTCAGTTCCGGCTGCTTCCTCATGCGCCGACGAAGGTACGGCTCGTTAGCAACCTGCCTGCCTGATTATACGGGTCTTATCGATCGATTAGAGACGCCTCCGGACTTGCGATTCGACGCCGCATCAGGTGCAGGTGCGTATCCGTACTTCCGAGGGCCTCTAACAAACAAAACCAGAAAAAAAAAAGTAGGAAAAGATCGCCGCAGAGCGCGTTACAAAAACACTACAAGAAGGTTTGATCACCCAATTTTACCATAATGCATCACCCCATTCCGCAGTTGGCGTTGGTTGGCGTTCAAAATGCATCACATGGCGTTTACGACGAGCGGGACAGGTGGTATTCGTCCGCGCAATTGGAGTCACAGAGAGCGAGGGAGCGATCAATTTGCTTTAAAGCACCGGGAAAGAGAGGAATTTGTGGCTGCGAGCTGGGATTCTGTAACTAATACGCAACTCTGTACACCAAAAATCTACACCATTTGGAGCCTAAGCGCTCTGGCAGATCCATAGACAGCTTCATTGTGTATAAGTGGTTGTGATGTGCTGAAATTCTTGTAGATAATCTGATTGAACATTAACAACATATGTCCAAAGCCTGTCCACCGCATGCCAGGGCGTATACCGCAAATCAGTAACAGGTAATAATGCATATTCCTCGTAATCATATCAGTCATACCCTCGCCAGCCTGTCATTGCACTCATCATCCCTCTACCATGCTGTCCGACGCCGCAGCAACCGCGCCAGTAGTACCGTCCAGTCCATTGATACCGTCCGTCTCGCAGATAACCATGCCGGCGGGAAGCCAATACGGCATATCGCGGATGTACGGAGCTTCGGCTTTCTTAGCGCCAGTCAAGGCTGAAGCGGCACTTGCCCAGTTGAAGTATTTGTGGCATCCTACACAAAACTGAGAACGAATTAGCAGGATAGCAAGTATGTGTAGTAGACACCGAACACTTACCATGCTATCACAACCACCATCTTTCTCAATAACCAGCTGACAATTCGGACATCTCTTTCCATCCTTACTCTGCATATACTTGAGCGTATCCTTCTCCGCATCACTCATCTTCTCATCCACGTGCTTCGCCGCATACTCGGCACACGTAACGTCCTTGTGCCACGGAACAAGACACTGGGCGCAAGACCGGAAAGAACAGTCGTTGCACGCCACTTGCGGGTATCCAGCCGCCGTTGCATCTGGAAGGCCAATCGCCGTGCATGTGGGTGAGAGACAGGTCATTGGCTTGGGACTCGCGGTTTCTTTCCACACTTCCAGCATTTCCATGTTGAACTTCTCGAGCGCTGGGCCGGGAGGTATGTAGCGCAGGATGAAGAGGTGATCCCAGGGCTCTGTGCATCCGGATTCTAGACAGCCGGTACCGAGTTGGCGTACGCCGACCATGCCCATCTTTGCGGATAGGAAGTTGCCGATACAGGTCTTACAGACGGGATCGATTTTCCGCTTGCTGGGATTCCGGGCTAGGTGGGCGATGCAGTTGAAGGGGACGTCTAGTTGTTGCTGCCAGCGTCCGCGCTTCGGTGGTACCCATTTGACGAACTCGTCGATGGTTTGCTCTTCTATGCAGATTCGGCATGTGAAGTGGGTTGGCGGTGGCGGGCGCGGCCTGGGGTTGGGGTTCGGCTTGCGTTTCTTCGCCCAGGGATCTGCACGTGGGCGACGCTTCTTGCTGGGCCTGCTGACCTTAGTGGCATGGGTTTCTGCAGCCGCTTGTCTTGTGTGGGAGCGTAGGACTCGGTTGGTTGAGTTGGGCGAGGCTGCTCTTTGTGGCACTCGACGCATGGTGGAGTGAGGTACCTAGGTAGTCAGTGAGATCGTAGTGCGGCCTTGACTAGTTGTGATGCAGCGGCCAAGTGAAATAGAACAAAGAGTAGAGAGCGTGCTATGGAATGGACCAGGTCCGAAGGCGTGACTGACAAGGCTAGTTATACCAGGCTGAGGCTGCAGCTGACGTTGGGTTGGCGGTATAGAACCGGAAGGCGTTGTGGATGCCTGGTTATTATCTTCAATTGGCAGGAAATGACTCACGGTAAACTTCCTAGTCGTTTCAAAGGAAGGTGGTAGCCTGAGATCTGGAACTTGGCAACTGGGTACCGTGAATGCTTAAGTCAGATAGCTTATATTGCTCAGCAGACGGGTCATTGGATGGGCCACAGAAGTAGTAAGCAACGTCCTTTTGCAACTACATTTACGATCTATGCATCATAAAATGAGAGAGCCTCAAGCCACTGTGAGACCCGGTGTCATCCATTGGCGTATTTCGACAGTCGTCATTGGACCATGTTCGTTTGTCGCAAACGTCTCTGATGCCTGGTAGGCTGTCACCACGCTAGCGACTATCCATCGGGTGACTAGAGTTGGTGTGAGCTTTGCTGCATGCACATCATCAAATGTTGATAAGTGAGTAGGATTCAAGATGATGTAGACTTCTGGGTGATGTTTGTCACGACTTGGAGATCCAAGCTGTTCGCAGTTGCGACGGCTGCGGCGACCCCACTTTTAGGCCGACAGGGGTGCGCTGAGCACAGATCCCCCGAGCCCGAACTTTTTTTGCGACGCTTGTACGCTCGACTATCTCTGCATACACTCAAGTACCCGAGATATTGTCACAATTATGGCGCCTAGTATGGAAGACGACTTCATATTCACCATCTCCGATCACGATGACGTCTCCGACGACGGCGGTGCCGACGAGGCTGCTGCAACGGCCAAATTAGCTGGCGCTGGAAAGAAGAGGAAGTACACCGAAGACCCAGATCTTCACGTCAAGCCGAAGGAAGTCGCGTCGAAGAAGGCGAAAAAGGACAAGAAGAAGGGAAAGAAAGGAGCCGATCCCGCTCCAGAAATCGAAGGAGACGACAACGCGATGCCAGAACCGACCGAAGACGTCGAACAGAACGACGATATTGCGAGCGACTTCGAGTTTGCAGTCGGCGACATAGACACTGGCTTCGTGGAGGAGTTTGACGGCTGGGGCAACGACAATGGCACAGTGGCTCAGGAGTCCCAGAAGAAGGGCACCGCAGTCGATGTCGACGACATTATCGAGCGGAGACGGAACAAGAAGAGCGCACAGGCAGTTATAGAAACGGAGTCTCCCGAGGCCTCTGTCAATGGCGACTTTGAAGGTTTCGGCGAGGACGACGAGCTCATGGCTGAAGATGGGTTTGGCATGGGCGCAGCAAGCGACTCGGAAGAGGAAGATCAGGACGAGGCTTCAGGGGAGGAGGGTAGTGAGGGCGAACAGGACGACTCGGACGACGAAGCAGAAGTACCGCATGTACCACATCCCATGGACCTTGAGGGCGCTGAAACAGAGAATGAAGACGAGAGCGAAGAAGAGGACGCTGTCGAAGCTAAGAAGGCAGCCGCTTTCTTCGCGCCTGAAGACAGCGTGCAGATCAAGAAGAAAAAGGGGGCCAAAGGTGGTACTGGTTCCTTCCAAGCCATGTCGCTTTCACGACCCATTCTACGAGGTTTGGCATCTGTGGGCTTCACCGAGCCTACGCCTATCCAGAACAAAGCAGTTCCGATTGCTATGCAAGGTAAGGACGTCGTAGGAGGAGCCGAGACTGGTTCCGGTAAAACGGCCGCGTTCCTCATCCCTATCCTCGAACGTCTGCTCTACAGACCAAAGAAGGTTCCAACCACCCGTGTCGCCATCTTCATGCCTACTCGTGAGTTGGCGGTACAATGTTTCAATGTCGCGACCAAGCTTGCGTCCTTCACCGACATCACTTTCGCCCTGATGGCTGGTGGTTTCTCAACGCGCGACCAGGAGGCTGTGCTGAAGACACGACCGGATGTTGTGATTGCGACACCTGGTCGTTTCATCGATCATATGCACAACACAGCTGCGTTCCAGGTTGAACATCTCGAAATTCTTGTGCTCGACGAGGCAGATCGTATGCTGGAAGAGGGTTTCGAGAGCCAGTTGAACGAGATTCTGACGACTATTCCGAAATCACGACAGACTATGCTGTTTTCCGCTACCATGACGAGCTCGGTCGATAAACTGATCCGAATTGGTATGGACAAGCCAGTGCGTCTGATGGTCGATGCGAAGAAGCACACTGTAGCAGGTTTGACGCAAGAGTTCGTGCGATTGAGGCAGGGCAAGGAAGACAAGAGACTTGCGTATTTGATGTATATCTGCGAAAAGATCTACACAGAGAAAGTCATCATTTTCTTCAGGCAAAAGAAGGAAGCGCATAGGGTACGAGTTGTATTCGCTCTCTGCGGGCTCAAAGCTAGTGAGCTCCATGGTAACATGAGCCAAGAGCAGGTAAGCAACTTCATAACACTTGACGCTTGAAACGATACTAACAGTCGCAGCGTATTCAATCCGTAGAGGCTTTCCGATCAGGCAAGTCTGCCTATTTATTGGCTACCGACGTTGCCTCGCGTGGTCTTGATATCAAGAACGTCGCGACAGTCATCAACTACGAAGCACCACAAAGTCACGAAATCTACTTGCATCGTGTCGGTCGTACCGCTCGTGCAGGACGAAGTGGACGTGCCTGTACGCTTGCCGCAGAACCTGACCGCAAAGTCGTCAAGCAGGCCGTCAAGGCTTCGCGCGATCAAGGCGCCAAAGTTGTCAGTCGACAAGTACCCGTAGAAGAAACCGACAGGTGGATGAAGAAAATTAAGGATCTCGAAGGTGAGATCGAGGAGGTTCTCGCCGAAGAGAAAGAGGAGCGTGCCATGAGCGTCACAGAGCGTGACCTTAAGCGAGGTGAGAACCTGATCCAGCACGAAGATGAGATCAAGTCCCGGCCAAGGCGCACATGGTTCGAGTCTGAGAAAGACAAGTTGGCAGAGAAGGAGAAGGGTGCTGCTGCACTAAACGGGTCTTCCCAGTCTGCTGGAGCAGCTCTGAAGGCCAAGAAGGGAAAGAAGCTCAGTGGCAAAGACCGCAAGAAGCTCGAGATGAATGACGTCCGATCAGAAGGCAAGGTTTGGAAGAAGGGTAAGGCGGATCGTGGCCTAAGTACCGGCAAAGCGAAGGAGAAGCAAGCTCACCAGAAGGCCAAGTCGAAGAAGATCGCCGCGAAGACCGGGTCTTTCAAGGGCTTCAAGGAGTAGGTGGTTCATTCAGGAGTGATTGCATAGCTTAATGATACCTCTGATCATCATTCATTACCTCCCACGATACACGAGCAATGCTAGATACAAAACCACATGAACAGGGTTGAAGAATACGTAGACATAATTGCAGGTCGGTGGACAGATAGAATCTCATTGAAGACCTCCGCGCTGTCATGTTGTTCTTCTGTCTGAAACATGAAAGACTGTCGTCAGCAGCAACACCAGGCAGATGGTATGAAAACAATAATCATGAATTCACAATGTTCATATGCTGATGAGCGCACATGGTCCGTTTGGTCCGGTGACGAAACTGATGTGCGATTGACCTCATATGCCAAGCTCACCCCCTTTTTGGTCTAGGCGGGTAACCGGGAGCTGGCGGACGAACATGGCAGATTTATGGTACCTCAATTTCCAGGCACAACTACTTTGCTTCTACCAGCTTCTTGACACGTACGCTCCTTCCAACACCTCAACTACGCCTTCTTCTACATCTCGGTCTTACTTTTTGCAGCCGCACTACGTCCAACTGCATTCGCGACAGGGTTCGTTATCAGCTCGGCTTATCGGCGGCTCATTCGACAACTTTCTGGTCTGGACCCGCACAGCTTCAACAGCTATTGCAAGCCCAACAAAGTATTTGTTGGCTTCCAGCACGCCCGTTCCGAGTCCCTTCGTCCGTCCTCGCTCAGCGCTGGACTTCACCTTGCTGTACGCCATCCCCATCCGAGCACCTGCTGCCTAGTGCTCTGAGCATAAGCAGAGCGCGCATTCGAGCCTCCACTCTCTGCAGTAAGCGCAGCGGGGTACACCTGTATACAAAGACACACATCTATACCGAGTGTCTCCATTGAGGATAATTGAGAAGACGGATCGGACACCATCTCGACCACCATGGCATCAGTACAAACACAAGCCAACGGCAATGGCGCCGCCGTACGGCCAGCACAGGCTGAGAAGGAGGGCGCATACGAGAACATATTCCTATTCATCCCAAACTTGATCGGTATGCGCGTTTATCCCATACCATGATCCATGAACTAACACTCCCACAGGCTACTCGCGCGTCTTCCTCGCCTTGATCTCGCTCTATTACATGCCCCTCCACCCACGCACATGCACCCTCCTCTACAGCATATCCTGTCTGCTCGATGCGCTCGACGGATACGCCGCGCGAGCATACGAACAGAGCACCAAGTTTGGAGCTGTGCTCGACATGGTCACGGATAGGTGTACGACAACGTGTCTGCTGGTTTTCTTGGCGCAAGCTTTCCCGCGCTTCAGCATCGTATTCCAGGGTCTCATCTCCCTGGACTTGGCCAGCCACTACATGCACATGTACGCGACGCTGAGCATGGGCGGCAGTGGACAGAGCCACAAGAACGTGAACGAGAGCAGGAGTTGGTTGCTGAAGCAGTACTACTCCAACAACGTACGTTACTCAACTGGAATCTCGTATGTAACACAGTCGCAAAGCATATACTAACAACCCCACAGAAAGTCCTCTTCACCCTCTGCGCCATGAACGAGATCTTCTTCATCGCCCTCTACCTCCTCTCCTTCAGCTCGCCCCTCCTCTCCCCAACCCTCTTCTCCGACCTCAACAACCCATCGTCCATCCAACCCGGCTCGCCCGCCGCCCCCAAACCGTCCATGTTCTTCGCCAGTCCCTTCTCCGCCGCAGCCATGGAGATGGCTCGTGCCAACAAGATGGACTCGACTGTCCCCTGGATCTGCATGCTTACTTCAGCTCCCTTCATGGCTGTCAAGCAATGGATAAACGTTGTTCAGATGGTCAAGGCGAGCCAGTGGCTCGCTGAGGGTGACCGCGAGGCGAGGAGAAAGGCGGGTCTGCCCAGGAAGGGGGGCGCGAAGAAGAGTCAATAGATGACTCTTCTGTTGGGAAAGGGACATACATAAGCGTGTCTAATGTCCAGAGCTGGCAAAAGGACAGACAAACTCGCGGGTAATGAGGAACAGTACCGCTCACCTGGTGGTAATTTTGGCGGCCATGCATGTGTACGGACATGAGGTTTTCCCCGTATGCGGTTTTTCTCTCTTCATCTTTCTTTTCTGTTTTCACCTACTCATCTTGTAGTGATTTGCGACTTCACTTGTCTGCTTCCATGTTTCTTCATTCGTTTTTTAGCTTCTAGCTTTTTTCCCCCTGTACGAGTGTATCTCTTTGCCTCTATAGATGTTGGCTTTGCGGCGTGGTGCGGAAAAAGATCAAGTCACAAGGCCTTTGTACGCCAACATAATAATATGTCGTTTGCTGTATATATACGTACTACGAGATTGTAGCAGTGACAATTACGTGAAAGTCACAGACCGAGTTATGTGAAGCTGGAATTGCGTTTTCATTGCGCTATGAATAATCCGTGTTTCTCTAATCCCTACTATCCCCATCTTGTTTCCTTCAATGCAACGGCAATACGCAACTCATGCAAGCATCTTCAACAGCTCGTCTCCAACCCATTCCAAATCATTCGTCCATCCAATCGTTTCTTCCTTAGAAACAACACTGATATCCACATCGTCTGGGTCCTTCAACGACCTAAGTCTCTCCACAGCCCCTTTGATGAGAAAACTGTCTTCTTCCGTCCATCCATGACGATGCTAGCCGGGTGGACTGGGGGGTGAGGAATCCTATTTCCCCGACACGCGTCCCGCCCGGACCAAGTCCTGAAATGCTGATTCTAGTGCCCGCTTTACTTCGCGGTAGCTCACTATCAACACATTTTGCTCGTCCCGGCTGACGAGCGGTATCTTCTCGTCGGTCCCGGCGTCCAGTTTGTTCAGGCAGTCTAGAACATGCGCCAGGTCTGTGACTGGGTGTCCGTTGGCGTCTACTTGGTGGAAAACGTAGTCGCGGAACAGCTTGAGGTAGTAGCGCTCTCCAGTTTCTGCCCATACCGAAGATGGGTTGGCACTGCTGTTGCCGGGCATGTTTTGTGAAGCGTCTAGTTCCGGTCGCTCGTTGATCATGTTGAGCTTGACGAGAAGACGGACCAATCTCGATGATTCCAACTCTTTCCCGAGGTTCACTGTAAGCGTGTCCTGAGCATGTAGCTCACTGTCGAAGACTGATGCGAATTGGTCGGCGATACCTCCCAGGAAGGTGTCAATGTCTTTCTGCATCGGCGCTGGTGTTGTAGGAGACGATGGCGCTCCTGGTGCTGGTTGCGGGTTAAGCAGCCATTGCACGCATTCCTTGAGGCGGGCTGTATAGCTTCTAGTGATATAGTCCATGCTCTTTTGCATTTGCAAGTGGGCTGTGGCATTGTTACTGGCGATGCAAAGTATTAGTCGTCCCAGCTGAACGAGGTCGTCTGCTTGCAGTTCGGGCACGGGACGCGCATTGTCAAACTGGACTATGTCCATAATACTGCATGCGTTGAGTCGTATCCGGTTCTTTGACGTCAATAGTATCTTCGAAGGTGTGATGAGGCGCGCTGCGAGACCCGAACCGTGTATAGCCTTAAGAGCCGATGCAATCTGAACGACATAGCCCCACAACACTTGCTCCGGTACATGCGACGATGCAGGTTGCCTCCCGTGGAAGCGCTGCACCGGCTTGAAGTGCTCATCAGCAAGTGACTTCGAGTTGGGATGATAGTCTGTGACTAAGATTAGAGAGCTATCGCCAAAAGCTCGAGTAGTGAACGCTTCGTGGATTGTGACGACGTTGCCGTTCAAGACACGTTTCCATGGCTGGGCGGAGCGGATCGCAGTCTCGCTTGTAAGGCGGAAGTTTTCTAGACGGCGCAGCGCGTATGTCTTGCCATCCTTGCTGGACACAGCTTTGTAAATCCAGCTGGCGTACCCAAATGGAGCCGTGTTCTTCTGGGGTGACATGTCTAGGCAGAACAAGGAGTGAAACTGCTCAATGACCGGCAAAGTACTATTCGGCGCGACCTGGCGTGCAATGTCCGCCTTCTTTTGCAACTCCTCCCGGAGCCCGTCAGGTATGAAGAAATCATGGGCAGTGCGCTGATAAGCAAGCAAACCCGTCGGCTGCGGCCCTACCGGCCAGTACAGATGGTATGCTGGAGTTTGGAACGCGTTCGCATTCTGGAAATACGTCGTTGAGGCATCCTGTGCATACGGGTTGATGGTAGCAGCTTGGTGGGTTGCACCTGCCAGGGTAGAGATGCTGGACGGTGTACTGAATGGATCATAGCCAACATTAGGGTCCACCTAGGGCGTTGTGAGTCGAGAACTAGATGTAAGAACGTGCCATAATGTCACGAATTGAAGACACATATCAAGTAAAGCCACGCACCATCTGCTGACCCTCAAAAGACTGCGGGACAAACTCTTGGAAGTCTTGTGAATGCCAATCGATGGCGGGCTCTTTCGCATGCATGTGCGGGGTGGTGACGGCTGAGATGATCAGCATGCAAAGAGGTGATTTGCGAATGCTCAGAACTCACTGGAGCGTTGCGATTTGGGAGTGAAGACAGCAGCATTGGCTGCCTTGGGCGAGATGGCAGCGCTGCGAGAAGACGGGGTCACAGATCCATTGGTACTCGCCTGCAGGGGCGTGAAGGAGGGGGAGTCGACATTGAACCTCTTTTTGGCGTTCTCATTCTGGCCCAGCTTGAGGGTGTCGTGGATGTAGGGGCAGGCTAGACAGGGTCACCACTTGATTCGGCAGGTGCGGCCAGCAGCACTTACTGTTTTCGTACCGACAGTGTCCGTAGATGGTGACATTGCGGCAGAGGGTGTTCTTCGCTTCTGCATAGGCCAGTCAGACTCGACATGTAGTGTATAGGTGTGGCTGCGTCATACCGCGTCCCTTAGGGCGAGGAGAGACGACTCCCCGTCGCGAATCACCCGAAGGACCGCCAAAGGTTGTTGCCATGAATCGCGTCTGGCTCGTCGAGGCGTTGTTGGTAGCAATAGAAGGTTGCTGGCGCGTCTTGGACGCAGTCAGCGGTGAGCGAGCAACGCTCTGCGCGGGCTCTACGGGCTGCGAGGTGGGCGGTTTGCGGTCGGAGCCGGTATCATCTGACGATCCTCCTCCCCTACTCCATCGGCCCGTAGACTTGTTCGAGTGTTTCCGCCTGGTGCTGCGCGCCTGTTTCTGAGGCGTGGTAGGGGCGTTGCGCCCGGGGGGATTGGGAAGCGAGTCCCGTGACGACGACGACGTCAACTCGGAGAGAGGTTCGGTAGTCGAGGAGCCAGAGCTGGCAATGGCAGTTGCATGTGGGTGGCCCTTGGCTACGGAAAAGAAAGCAGGGCGACTGGGCGTGGTGGAAGCGTGCGGCGCGCCTTTGTTCGGCGGCGATGCAGGCTGAATGGTGGGCAACCTGTGGCCGGCGTGGTGAGAAGTTCCTGCGAGCACATTAGAGAGCGAGCCCATCAACGGCGACAAGTCGAGGGCAGAGGCAGGCGGCGCCTGGGGATGGCCAGGGCCGCCGTCAGACATGGCGGGCGGGATGTTTCGCGATAGCCGACGAGAGTGGCATGCGGCGGGCGGGACAATTGGATGGGTACCTTTCGGAATTGCGGGCTATGAGCCACCCCCAGCGAGTCCAGCGTCCTGTAGGAGCAGCAGCCGCGTCTCCATTAGCAGGCACAGTCCAAATGTCAAGGCAGACTAGACGAGCAGGCGCGCTGGGTGAGTGAGGTGCGATAGCTGGGGGCTGCACCTATCGGCATTCAGCCGCCTTCCCTGCTGTTTGGCGTGTTTGCAGCTGTTGGCTTAGTCATCTACTTAGTCATCCAACTTTCCCACCTCGGCACCTGCATGTTTCACACATCACCACACTTCATGTAGGCCCACACCAAGCACCGAACACGAGGCGTTACTTGCATTGGACTTTGTTTCTTCACGAAACATTACAGCCCACCATACTTTCATGTCTCTCGCTTTCCTCTTATCTCATCTGTCGCTGACTTTGAATGCTTCTCACGTCATTGGCTCCTCACTCAAACGCCCTCCGTGTCTCCCTCACGACTTCCATCTTCGCCGTTTGGGATGCTTCCTTCCACTGTGGCGAGCGCCGATGAAGGGAGTTTCGGAACATGCGAATCATCCGGGCACCCATGGCGATCGGATTTGACTGCATGCTGCGGTCGTAGATGGCCTGGTACCGATTATGTCTGTAGTCTCCAAGGATCACCTTGACTGCTCGTTCAGGGCTCTCAAGCGATTGCCTGGCGTCCCTTTCAGTTGTGTTCGAGAGAAGTGAGAACACTCTTGCCTCTTGCAAGAGCTGCGGATCAATGCTGTCGAGGGCAGCACTCCTTGGCCGTTCGTTGTGCATAAACAAGGTCTCTGTGGGACTCAAGTGACTAGTGTCACGCATGAGTTTGTTCGAGAGGGCACCGAATTCGATGAGCGACCTTGTCTGGTCTAGACTTGGCTCATAATGATTGTTCGAGGCCGGTGAGGGACCAAGATCGAGACGAAGCTGCTCCAATCGTTCCAGGTCGCGCACGAACTCAGAGCGATTCCTCCAGCGATCCTCGAGAGCGACGTCAGAAATTCGATCTGCTCCCAAGCTTACCAGTCTACGATAACGCGCCTCCACAGTTGTGTATTCGCCTGTTAATGGGTGGGGCATGATACATGCATGCATCGGTTCCAATTCGTGAACGGCGTCCAAAGCGCCTCGAAATCGAGAGTCGCTTGGCGGTGTATCAGGAACGTTCAGGTTGTGGCGCCTAAGCTCACTCAGGAGTAGGTCGTTGTGATTGCGAAATGCCATCACCATTTCCTCTAGCATCGACACGGTGGTATCTAGTTCGTCAAGTTCGCGAATAGGGCCGCCAATTCTGCTTGTTCATCGCCACCATTTGAGGGTGGCTGCATCGTCACGATTAGCAAATGTGGCGTTTTTTCATAAAGAATGCTTATAGGTAGAGGGTGGCGACTCGGAAAGAGCTCCCGACGACAGATCGTACAGCTGCTATGCTGTGTGTTCGGTGAGTTGAGCCAGGCCAGTAAGCAATGCTTGTGGAAAGTGTGGCCGCAACGGCGGATCTCGCTGACCTCCTGACCCGACTGTAGCTCATTGAGACAGATTGTACACTGCGTCGGTATATCGTCGCTGCTTGTCGTCGCGCGCGAGCCGATGCGGACGAAGTCCTCTTGATTCGCTGCCATTGCGACTTCCGGCGTGTTCCAAAATCAGTCAAGAGCTGTCGCGAAGATGAAAATGGAGGAAAGAGTGTTGTTGGGTGAGCTCGGACTTTCTGCACCATTTTCCACTTATTCGATTCACTTTCACGCTCTCCGTGCGCGTTTGTACCTTGTGACTACTCGGCCGTCGAGACAACCGCCCCGCAAGCACTTTCCAATATCGCTACAGGACGCTCGACAGAGGATTGACTATATCAGAAGAATCTTCTTCTACAGCTATAAACCATCCCCAGTACTCGCTATCTACAACCTCGCTAACCCTCAATATGCCCTGCGCTCCAGCTCTAACAGAGCAATAAAAGCGGGGTATACCACAAGACAGCGTCGAGAGGGTCACAAGTGCTATACGGATGATTGAACCCTGTATCGGCATCTTATACGATGACAGTCGAACCGCGCCAAACATGTTTCATCTACTCGACTGCGGCCATGTTGTCGTTATCGATGGGCCGGATACAAGATGCGGTAGCAACTGCCGATACCCCATAGACAGGGCCAACCCACGGTTCTCACAGACTGTCGTCAAGTCTACCTCACAAACTGTCGCAAAGTATACCTCTAGCCAGTATATTATCGAAAAAGCTTCTACATTCCTTCAATCGCTAACCCATCCTCCTCTAGTCAAACGGCCACTGGTATCCGAGCCACTGACTTTTGGGCGCGTCAAGATCCCCTCTATTGCGAGACCTGCGAGGGCATCCCAGTAGACCACTACCACTTTCAGAAACCACCAAAGAATCCCGGCGACCTGCGATCCCGACGCTCACTCGCCCTCACACGTGGAGAAATCGTAGCGGCCCTCCAAATCCCAGACGCTCAAGTCGAGACCCTATTGGCGGCGCCCTTTCCCAATCCAGACCTCCAAGAGCACAATCTTCATTGCGGCCACAAGGTCTACTGTGTTGCTCCACAACCTTGCTGTCAGAACTGCGAGTTTGACAAGCCCTGCCTGGGGCATCCCTTATCACTTCTTTTCCACAAGGACCCCGGCGTTATATTTTGCCAGGAGTGTGTTCTGAGAGCGGAATGGCTTCACACAAGGTATGAGGCGAAGGCGATGGAGTTGGAGTTGAGACGCGAAGGTTACCCCGAGCTGGGGACTCCACTTGATTTCTAGATTTCTTGTTGTTTCCATTCTTCGTTCATCTTTTGGGCCTTTGCACATAGAAGACTTTGTCGGAACTTTTCATTTTTACGGAGTGGCGCAGGCCAATTTTCTCATCTTCTCAATATCATTCGTAATGGAAGCACACGACCGATTATCTTGATGACGTATCTGGTGGAGGTCAGGATCTCGCTCTCACTTCGAGAGCGCGCAGGTTCCTGCGCCTGTTCGGTATTCACTATGCCAGTGGAGTCGCGTTGCTCTGATTTCCCCACTATTGTCGAATGCCTGATCATCCTATTATCTTACAGTCTCGGTACTCTAGTGTAGCTGGACGCATCGAGCGACAACTGCTCACCTTCACTACAGTTTAGCAAAACAGGCTACGATGGTTCTCTCAGGTTCTCTGTTCTACAACTAGGAGTCTGTAACACCAACGCAACCACTGCCTCGTTCTCAACCGCAGACCGATCACATACATAGCGGCTCATCGACCTCGTCGCAGATTTGCATCGGCCGCAAAATCTTCATCAACAGAATAATGGGGAAACAGAAGACTGTCACAACGGGGAAGCCGCCGAGACGTCCTTGTGGTGGCGCCAAAGGTGGTAGCCGTGGTGGCGGCCAACCAAAAGGTAGAGCTTCGAAGTCAGCGACCCCAGCGCCATCAGCGCCAGAAGCTGTGCCCGATAGACCGGGACCCAGGCTACTACTCAAGCTGTTGGTGGACAAACCGGATAGCCCAGCGCAGGAGCGCGACGCGACACCGGGATATGGCGGAAGAGAAGATCAAAACGACGACCTTGCTGAGCAATTCGCAAAGGCGGCGCCGATCACGACTCGCACTGGACGAGCGATTAAAAAGCCAAACCAGTACGACGCCGCTCAGGGTAGCGAGATCGATGCCTTCATTGACCAGGCTGAAGAAGATGCTAGAGACGATGGCAGAGGGTCCATGGCGAGTGATCCATGTGAGTGGCAATCCCTCTTGTGAAATGAGCCTATGTACTGACTTCAGTCCAGCGTACTCGACACACAAGGCCCCAGAGCAGATCAAGCAGCTACCAAAAACACGAAAGCCAAGAGGTCGTCCGCCCAAGAACTACACGCCGTTTGGCACCGCCGCTGGCAAAGCAGACGAACAAGATGGGCAGGATGCATCGTCTGGAGATCCTCCCCCGTTCATAGCAGACGAAGAGATCTACTACATCCTGAGCAACCTCAAGAGCAACGCGAAAATCCACCTCGACCTTCCTGGTCTCACCGACGCCGCCAACCCATATCAGGCCCTACCCTATAGCGCCAAGACCCTTACCCAACTGTACATTGTCTGCTACCAAGAGAAGTTCTGGGATTACTGCGACATGGTAGCCGACACATGGATCCGCAATTTCCACGACCAGCGCAAAAAGGCTCAAAACGATGACGAAAAAGAGGGAATCTGGCTCCCGAATCGAGCTCTCAATCGGCGCAAGCGAGTAGCACAACAGGCGTGGCGGAAGGGCAAGAATATCCCCGCAGAGTTCGATCAGTTTCCTAGAGACTACGACTTGGAGGTCACAGACCCTAAACTTCACGAAGACGTTACGTCAGTCCACACCGATCTTCTCAACTTGCTATACGAGTACACTTCACCTAGGTGCGGTGCGAGACTGCTTTGGGCTGACGCACTTGCGCTGGGTGGCGACAAGACCGAGCGCATAATCGGGGCTGTCACGCGTAAGGGCTTCCATTTACACCCCCAGCTTCTGTTCGACATCATGCAGACATGTCTACGTATGGTTCGGAGAAATCTCACGCTGAAGATCGAGGAGAGCACTGAGGGCGCTTGGTGTAAGCGATACCATGAACACGGAAAGAATGGCGAATTTTGCTACCGGCAGAGGGCGTCAAGGGTTGATGAGTGCCTAGATGACGCGATAGAGAAGTCCAGAAATAGAGAAGAAGATGAGCCTACCGATTTGGATATGGTCGAGGAGTTTGAGTTGGCACTTCAGGCGCAGGAGCGGGAACGGCCAAGGGCTGAGAAGAGAGGTCTTGAGGGTCATGATGAGGTTAGTCCGAGTAAGCGAGCTAAGTTCTTCGGGGAAGAAGAGGAGGCTGAGAGTGACTCCGAGGAAGATTGAGCTCGGCATGTGCCAGAAGGTCCGCGATTGCCTTTTCGGGGATTCCGGTCACGATGTCGACATAGTGGCACAACATTGCTATGCCGACAATCCTGCAGTCAATTCAATACCTAGGCAGCTGAGGTATAGAAAAAAACAATTACAGTACGTTCTAAACTGAAGGCACGATGTGCTGGTCATTGTGCACTGTTGCGCAGCCGTGGTCTTATCGCACCTGCCTAAGGTTTCCTTTCACTCTATCGCGCCTACTTCTCGGCCATCATTTCCCCACGGCATAATATTAACACGTGCTTCATCGCCTAACTGCCACTTACAAACATCTCGCCATCTTATTCGCTGCCAACACACCGATATTTTCTCATCACCCCAGATCTAACTTTCAGTCACACTCTCCCCACAACTTAGACCCAGATAACCGCACTGGACCCCTCAGGCGTCCAGTCACAAAGACATGCGCACCTCGTACCCCGGGTCTCATTTCTCCGCACGGCTTGAATCAGTTGCTGTGTATCCAAGACGTATAAATGGGTCTTGTCCCCAACATTGGCGTCTTGGTCCGCCTTGGTTGATACCCACAATGAGCTCGTAAGTGCGTGCTTTCCACTCCATATACTTTCCAAGGCGGCTAATCAGTTTAGAGGCGTATGTCAGCGTCCGTATCCACCCGACGATTCAGTACTTCCGCCGCGGACATACGCACACGATGTCTGGATGTGTTGAACGAAAGCCAATGTCTGTTGAGGGCGACCTAGCCGGCAACGGAGATTGCCGTGCACGAAACATCTACTGATGTGGTGTTACTGTCAATCACCGACACTTGGATCTGGTGGCTTCGACGGCAGCCGTTTGTATACACGACGCATGAGAGGAAGGATTAGACCCACTGGTATCGCCGACCAGCCGATAAATCTCGCCCGCTGTGGACCAGAAGGATGCCCGCATGATCCTCAGATTTATCGCAGCGCTTGTAGGAAGACGACTTGACTTCGATGATGCATTGGAAGGATACGATGTAGCAGGAGTCTTGCTCTATTGACGTCTAGGTCAAGCACTTGGGCGTCCTTTGGCACAATCGCTTGCGCTGTTCACAAGCACTTGGTGAAGGCATGGCAAGCTTGGTCTTCACTAATCATCTCACACGCGCCTCGTGTGTGTGTGGAGACCCCAAGTCAAAGCGCCTGCGTTCGCACCGATAACCCTCGGAGCCCCGACCGGGGCTGGTGGACGTATCACACCTCTAGACCTGTCTATTTCTTCGCATCGCATGACAAGATGCACTGCGAATGCAAAGCTCTGTGGAGAAGAGCAACTCCGGTGGTCTGGGCTTTCGTCAAAACGAAGGGTCCATCCAAAGCGCTTGGAGATATCATGCTTGCCGTTGTGGATTTGACGATTCAGCTGCTGCCACTACGGCAGAAGACCTCTCTGCTGGACTTTGGGGTACGCAGCCAAGAGTCGGATCATTGTCCTACGACCCATCAGAGGCTCCGACAACCAGGACACGTATCCGCGCCAGAGCGACCGAAGAAACGACCTATTCTCACGCCTGCGCATCGTTAGCCCTACCAAAATATCCTGCAGGCGCCATATTCATGTCCGATAGTGTAGTTCACACGGCAGATGCATTGGAAGGACGGGATACCATTTGGGGTAGTCACAAGGCGGGCGCTACTGCAAAAGGCTGAAGGAGTTGGAGCCGCATCGCTTGTGTCGACACACCGCCGCGAGACGAGGTCTCGTCCATGAGCCTAACCTCAGAAGCCGATACCCTGCTCCGAAGGCTCTCCTCGGTCACAATTCTGCCGGCGAACGGTCTCGTCGCGAGGCAGCGTCAGGATAGCGTAGTAATTTATCCCGCGTGCGAGATTTTCCCGGGATGGTACCAGCCAATAGCGCGGCATGCATTTACGGCATCTCCCCGGCCGCTACGAGGAGCTTGACAAGCTTCTCTTCCTCGACTGACAGCTAACGTGGGAGACCAAGAGAAATCCGGGACATGAGAGCGTTTGGGGGATAATGCGGGGTTCCCATCGTATGGTGGCCAGGTTCTTGACTCGTCCTTAGCTCGGCCCCAAGCTCCACAAGACGCACAAGCAAGGAAGCTTTCTCCGCCTAAGCCTGCCAACCTTTCCGCCTCCTTACTGGGCATGTAACCTACGTGCAGATGGCGCTGCCGTAAGAGCCACGAGAGGCGACGGTGTCGCCGCTTGATCGGTAATTGATCAGACGATCAGCGGTCCGCTTACTGTGCGAAGTCTAGTCCCAACGCCTGCAATGGCCGACGAGACGGGTCAACCTATTGAACGTTGGGAAAACCACAGTTGGGAAGGTCATCCGGCACTCCTTGCTTGGAGGACCGACGCCGACCGCTACTGGCGATGGACAAACGTGGAGTAGAGGGTTCCGGGGTTGACTCTGGGGTCTCATGGATGGTGTGATTTAGCAGGCCTTGCATCTAGGATCTCCGCATCTCGTACCCCACCATCAGTTCAAGTATAAGAGGCACATGCGCCTTTGTACAATTGAACCGTCACTGCTTTTCCTCCCTGTCCGACAGACGTAGGTTCCGCAGCTCAATCACGACCTTACTCCGATCTTCATCGACAAATATCGCCCATCATGGTCGTTTGGAACCCATGGAAGGAGAACTTAAAGCACACTCCCAAGGAGAGCCTTAATTGGCGTCTCTGGTATGGTGTATTCGGTAGGTTATCTCACCCCCCGTGAGACTACACCCAACTAACTCGTCGTAGTTTTCGGTCTCATGGGCGCTGCTCGTGGTATCGACGAAGGCCTCATCGGTACTACAGCCGAACTCGACCCTTTCAAACGCAAGTTCGGACTCGAAGAAAACGGCACCAAGAGCGAGCACGAGATCGCAGAGCTCCTATCGAACATCACATCCATGGTGCAGATGGGTTCCATCTTGGGTTCCCTGATTGCCTTCTTCATCACCGACAAGATTGGTCGTCTCTGGGCTACTCGCCAACTTTGCATTGTCTGGGTTATCGGTATCGTCATCTTCCTCACCAGCTCTATCACTGGTTCTGTTGGACAAATCTACGCCGGCCGCTTCATTGCTGGTATCGGTATCGGACAGACTACTGTCGTCGCACCTACCTACCTGGCTGAGACTGCGCCTAGGGCCATTCGTGGTCTCTGTGTCTGCGCTTTTGCTGGATCAGTCTACATCGGTATCATGCTTGCCTACTTCGCATCTTGGGGTTCCTCCATCCATATCTCGTCTGCCACCGACGCTCAATGGCTCGTACCCAACAGCATGCACATCATGTTCGCTGGTCTCATCTTCACCCTCTCTTGGTTCGCCAAGGAAAGTTCTCGTTGGTTGATCAAGGTCGGCCGCCACGAGGAGGCGCTCGATAACCTCGCACAACTCCGCAACCTTCCCGCCGATCACCCCTACGTCACCTCGGAGGTTATGGACATCAACGACCAGCTCAACCGTGAGCGCGAAGCCACTATGGGTACAAGTTGGCTTGGACCCATCCGTGAGCTATTCTCCAGCAAGGCCAACCTCTACCGCCTTCAGCTTTCAGTCTTGTCGCAGTTGCTATCGCAGTGGTCGGGAGCCAACTCCATCACAATCTACGCGCCCAAGTACTTTGAAATGATGGGCACGAGCGGTCAACAAGAGAAACTCTTTGCCACAGCCATCTTCGGTGTTGTCAAATTCATCAGTTCCATGCTCTGCGCCTTCTTTTTGATCGACTTCCTCGGCCGCAAGCGCTCTCTCGCCACCGGTATCACACTCCAGCTCCTATCCATGCTCTACATGGCTATCTTCCTACTCATCGACACCGGTGTTGCCGACGGCGTACCCCAGAGCTCTAGCCAAAAGCACGCTGCCATGGGCGCCATTGTTATGATCTACTTCTCCGGTTTCGGCTGGGCGCTAGGATGGAACTCGATCCAGTACCTCATCAACTCCGAGATCTACCCTCTTCGTCTCCGTGCTCTTGGTGGTTCCATCGCCATGACATTCCACTTTGTCAACCAGTACGGTAACTCCAAGGCTGTACCTCTCATGTTCATCTCCATGACTCACGGAGGCACCATGCTGTTCTTCTCTTGCGTCACGGCCGTTGGTCTGGTCTGGGTATACTTCTTCCTGCCCGAGACCTCTGGAAAGTCGCTCGAATCTCTCGACGAGATGTTCAACCTTCCTTGGCACCTTATCGGTCGCAAGGGTGCCGAGCTTACAAAGGGATCTGGCGGCATGGCTGAGATCATGGATGAGTCGGGTGAGAAGGCTGTTACGTACCAGATGGAGAGCGCTGGTGGTGCTGAGCAGCAGACCCACCGCGTGGAGCAGAAGGTTTAAGCTACAGGATTAGAAGTAGGAAATACTAGTCTATAGCATCGCACACATATATAGTGTTGCTGGATGTATATGAATGAATTTATGAACATCAAGAAAGTCTGCCTCAAGTACGTGCATGTCTCATGATCTCGTGATACACGTATAAAGAGAACATACCATATGTATGAGTACATTGCTTTCACTCAATCTCCATCATGGGTATCGAGTCTCAGTTTTAAATCGGTTGCTATGTTTCTGAAATGAATGCTAGCATAGATCCAAAATCCACCAGCCTCTCAAAATAGTCAAGTCAGTACCCAGAGTAGGGAGCGATAAGCCAACTCAAACCCGGCGCCAGGTGAGTCAAAGCCTAAAGCTCGACCGATGTGGAAGCCTTGCTTCGGTATCCTAGAGTGATGATAGTAATGTGTCCAGCAATCCCAAGAACGCCGTATCCAACTCCGCGCTAAACCATGATAATATGTCAAAAATAACAACAATGACAACTCCCCATGAATAACTTTCCGGAAAGAATGAAAACCACAAGCCAAACAGATCATGCGTTTTTCATCGAACACATCTGCAACTCCACACCTAAGCTCCGCCAGCCAGAGAAGATCGTCTCGAGCACCTCCCCTGCAGACTGCCGTCCCCTTCAGACGTCTCCTCCGCAAGCCACAGAGCGACCTCCAGTTCCGGCGAAATCACCTGACCCCTAGCCGCCTTCCTAAAAACCTTCATCACCTCTCCCACAACCGTCACTTCATCCTCGATGAAAGTGATTTGACGCAGGAACACGTATAGCGAAGTACTACCCAACTTGATCTTACGCTGGATCTTGGGCTTGTCTAGAGCGTAGATTGTGTGACCAGCTAGGGAAGCGAAAGCCTCGCAGATGTCGTCCTTGGTGGTCGTGCCGTCCCACAATTCGAAGTCGAGCGTGTTTATGAAGGTCTCTAGAGATATACCTCCCAGGAAGGTGGTGCGCGCCTTTTCGGCTTTGCGGCGGATGGACGCTGAGGAGTGGGCTGAGGAGCGGCTGGAGGTTCTGAAGGACTTGAAGGTGTCGGATTCGGAGGATGAGTCGTTACGGTCGGAGATGGGAGGGGTGGTGGTTAGGGCGGAGTCGGGGATGATTACGGTTTGCTCGACGGTGTTGGCTTTGACGTGTTGTAACTTGTCCTTGATTTCGGTGGCAGTGGCCGTAGAAAGAACAGTTTGCCAGAACCCCTGGATAGGAGTTGCAATGACGATGGACGGCTCGTCGCGAGTAGCATCGTCTGTACTGAGCTCCTCAATAGCGGAGGCGGGACCCTCGGTGACCATAGGCCCCATGTTGAGTATCGGTGAACCGACAGCATCAGGCTCAGTAATGGAGGGCTCAATGGACTTCTTGACCTTCCTAGATTTCTTATCCTTGTGCTGTTGCTCGAGAACCGAAAACTCGAGTGGCGCTACATGCTTAGCCACAAGGTTGTTGTGAAGGTTGCGAGTCTCTTTGGTCTCCCCAGGACCATTGGGCTTGCAGAGAAGAGAGTCGATGAAGTCAGGATCTTTCTTCTCGGTAGCGACAGAATTCTTCTTGTCAATTTTATTAGCCTTCTGCTCGGTATTTGAAGTCTTCTGCTGCTTAAGCGCTGTAACCGGCAGCGAGAGGGAAGCGATGTGAAGTGTAACGGGCTTCTCGTGGAGATGACGGGACTTCTTGGTCAAGCCAGAGCCATTGGGCCTCCCAAGAAGTGTCGCGACGTATGTGGATTCTTCTCCTATGACAACGGGCTCGACAGGATCCATCGCAGTCATGGCAGAGTCGGGTTCGGGAAGCTTCTGAACCAAGTCGGAGTCAACTGTAGCCACCTTCTTAGATGCCTCAGTTGTCTTGATGACTTTCTTTCCAGCCTTGGTAAGCTTCTGCTGCTTGACTTCAGCAACCGGTAGTACGACAGGAAAAACATGCATGGCGATCAATGCAGGCTCTTCATCGCGGGATAGGCGCGGCGGGTAAAGAGTCGAGTTTGTCATCGACAGGATCGCCAAAGGGCTGCACGGTGACTTCCCAGAAACTTTGTCCTTGATCAGCTCGGACGAATTGTCGACTGCCTCAGCCAAAGTTTCAGACATTGAAGCTTCCTCATCCGCATCATCCATCGGAGTAGTCATACAGATGTGGGGCAGTGCAGTAATACCTGCAGCTTGGATAGAATCGCCGCGGTCTTCCGGCTCAGTGACCTGGTTAGGAGAAGCAGTCTCTCGGAGTAGCTGAGGGACATCTTCGTCCGAAGCAGTACCAGATCCGGTGGCCTTATCTGAGTCCATATCGTCGTCAGAGTGGGCAATCCCGGGCGCATCGGAGGACTGGAAAATAGGTTCAGTGACGCTGTCGGCCATACGCTGCACAATACCGTCGTCGTGGTTGTGGGCGGCACAAGACTCATTCACGGAATGATTGGTATGAATGATGCATTCAACGACGCCGTCGACAACGCGCTGCTCGACGATGTCGCTGTAGCTGTAGCTTAGCCGCACAACTCGCAGAGGGGCAAGACGCTTCTCTTCAGCGCTAGTCCTTATCTTTTCCACAGTGACCTCGTTGTCGTGATTGCGATTGGCAGGAGGCGGAAGCGGCTTTCGGTTCTTTTTTACAGGTCGTCTTGATGGTCGGCTAGGCTGGGCCTTGAGGATTGCGTTCTTGCCTTTGGATGCCAACTCTTGCGCGGCCTTCGTATGAGCCACCTCGGCCTTCCGCCTCTGGACAGCGACCTTTTCAATGCGCTTGGCCTCGTTCTCGGCGGCCATCTTCTGGAGAGCTTCCTGTTTGGCGGGATCAACAGAAGTGTTGGTGTTGGTACTGTCAACGGCGACGGCACCAGATACATCAGGGGTGGTGTTAGTAGCAGACATCTTGTTAACTGCGTGAATGGTTGAGAGTTTTCGGCTTTATTCTTATGCGGCTGACTACGGTTGAGTTCGGGCAAGCTTGTGAACGAAGGTATCTGAAACAAGTGAGTATGTAGTTGAAGAATGTAGGTTGAGTGTGAAACAAACCAGTTGAGCCGTAGGGGTGGGAATGTAGGTGATGCTCAGATCCACCGGTACGAAAGTGGAGAAGAGAGCTGGTGTAGTGAGAGTTCCTCGCCAAAAGGGGGCGTTTATATGGGATAGGCGTGCAAAACTTCGCTAATAGCTCAGACCAGGCGTGAATGGAGCTCTTGCTTGAGGTACTGACACAAAGCTAGACCGTGACCCGACCATGCGTTAATGAAACCACAGACGACAGGTCTTAGCTTTCACTGACAAAGCGATGACCAGCTGTAGGATGGTGGACTTGTCCGTATTCGCCACGTACTTTTGAACAAGGCGGTGCCTCATCTTGTCTATCTGCGCTGGGAGCTATGTAGAGACTATCCAACTGTGAGTTAGACTCTTATGGCTGAGTCTCATAGAATCCGCATCATCTTGCGCGCGCCTGCGTCTGGCATGGTCAACACCGTGTTTAATTCCGGTAGCTGTGATTCACCTGCGGTGGATGTGAGACTCATATCGGTCCAGAACCAGAGCGGACCCGCAATGCTATTACTTCATCAAGCGCCAGAGAGAAACGAAAACTGCATGGTATCGAAGACATGTCATGGATTGTTTGGCACTTCGAACTGCGTGTCGGGTGTGTGACCAGAGGTCCGTCCAGCAAGACCTACGAAGCCCCCAAAACGCTTCTCCGCGTCCGACCGTGACAAGAATAGTGTTCGGGTGGATTTGCGTAGGTCGATGCGCGAACGAGATGATGACATATGGAGACAATCGCGTCAAGAAGCTGCCTATATGCAGTGGCATTCGCCAGCATGGCGCAGCAAAATGTGGCATGCTGGGTCACGTTGTGTCTGCTGCAGAAGTACTCTCAGCTCTGATGACATCTTTAGGTAGCACTGTTGATGTTTAGAAAAAATACCACGCGGCCGTCGCGTTGCAATGACCGGCATGATGGGTAGTTGTAGTGGTGAAGGTTTAGAAGTGGCGGGCCACGGACACCGACTCTTACCCTAATTGCCCCCAAGCCCTACCCTATGATCCATACGACGGCATAAGCAAAAATATCAAAAACAATGAGCTCTCCAGCGGGGAATTGAACCCCGGTCTCCCGCGAGTTGCCTTTAGGTGACAAGCGGAAATACTGACCACTATACTACTGAAGATTGATCAACCAGATGGTTGAGTAGGTGGATCGATAAAAAACTAGTGGGCAATATGAATTATATCCTTATACAATACACGCGACTCTTAGCGCTACGAGAGCATCTGGTGAAGGAACCAGAAAAGACGATATGGTTTTCACCTGGAGGTGGGGCATGATCCGGCCCGGTGGCACCTGCATTCCCAGCCCCAAATCCTCGGCTCTCACGAACCGTGACAAACACCTACAAACATCATAAAGGCGACCGGGTTGATAACCGCTACCTGCTTCAGTCATCACGTCTTGATCATACAGAGTGTTCCTCGGGATGTCCGAAACCAGTGCAAATGTCTTTTCCCCTGCAGGCGAAGCGCCGACGGGTCGCATAGAGGAGACCCCGGGAGAAGCGATCCCGAATTTTCAGGCAGCAAGATCGTAGAATGAGCCACACGGAATGGGGTTGTGAGATAAGATGCGGTGTGGTTCTACCGATGACACGCGTGTGCGAGGCACTTGAAGCTGCCCCTGCAGCTTGAACCAGGTGCGCGAATCAGCATCGCGAATGATACCGCATACTGTCTTTTACGCGTATTTGCATCGTAGGAAACGGACCTCCTGAGAGCGCGCCGTAATTGCGTGAATCTAAGCTGAGATATGGAAGATGCAATGTCTCCTCGTCGCACGATACACATGCGGATCTATTGAACCTGCCCAGGTGAGGAGGTGAGCGCGCACAAGACGTTTGCTAAGACAAGCAGTGTTGACGCCCATTCGCGCATGTCCGTCACCACTGTTCGGGTATCGTGGAGGCTGAACCGTCGGCTCATGCCGTATCCTATCGGCATAGAACAGCATTCTCGTGGCTTATGATGTTGTACTATGCCACGATGTAGCGCTGGGTTACTACGTGCGCGAGGCTATGCAATGGGCTTTAGGCCTGAAGATGCCATGTGCCCGACGTATGTGGATCTCTGAAATTCGTGAGGGAGAGCCCTGTGATCTAATAGAATCCAGACGCGATGCGCTTCTACTGAAGATCGGTAGTCTGACGCTGTGCCATTCGACGTGTTCTATTGTAGGCGGAACCGCGCAAACACACCAACTCCAGGCAGACTGCCCGTGCCACAACGCCGACTCATACACTCGCAACACCATGACAAAAGGTCAATGATGAGGTCGCAACATTTCCCATTGCGATAGGAGCGACGACGTCATGTCTGACCGGCAACAGTCTCTACCGGAGAGCGCAGAGTCGCTAGCGCTGCAACAGAAAGGAAAGTGAACGATAGAGGCAGGCAAATCGGAGAAGAAGCGGTGGCCCACAGAGTAAGCTGCACTACCCAAGGTGCGGCGCGGTCAGCGAGATTGAGTAGACATGGGCAGAAAGCTTGGCTGGGAATTGGTGGTGACGCGTTCTGGAATCTGGGGTCGCCCTGGGCAGGCGGGAGAGACAAAGAGAAGCGGAGTAGTGGGCGCTGGATGCCTTGATTCATGGTGTTGTTGGAGCGTCGGAAGATGTCGCGATAGTCGCGTTGAGAGGTCCAGCCGCTGATCAACAAGCAAGTCTTTATTGCGATGCCAAACACTGTGCATTGAAGATGCTCACTGCCATCTGGATCTACGGGGGGCATGTCGGCAGGGGTGCTGCAATGCTCAGCAGGACGTCGAGTGGCTGAGCGGGCATGCAGGCGTCCTCCGCCTCAGCGAAGTACGAGCACGTTGGCGCCCTCTTCTCCCACCGCCCGTTTAGCCCACGTCTTCGCTCGCTACTGCTTTGCTTTTATTCCTACTCAATAAGTACGGACGGCATCTTGTTCTGGTCGCTCGTTGTTGTTTTTCCCACCAGCTGGAAACCATTGCGCCGTGCACCTGCCGCTTCGCCCCGGCTATCCACCTGCACCTAACGGACCGAAGCGATCTGCACCGCGTCAGGCTGAATAGAAGAGAGCCAGGCGCCAGTGAGCCTCATATCGCATTCCGAGTATCGACAATAGTCAGACTCGACGCTTGCCACAGTCACTCGTTTTTTTCATTCACGCTCTTCTGCTCTGCATGCCGACGTCTTCTTGGTTGCTCGCTCCCACTGCGCGAGAGTCATAGCAAAGACGCCAGGCACTACCCGAGTCGCGAACCAGGCACCCCGCCGCGCAAGGCGCGAACCACCGACTCAATGCGCTCTAGCAACAAGAGCTATCACAACATCAGCGAGTCGGGCCATGAGAAGAGAGAGGGCACGCCGTGGTATTGGCGCCTCATAGCCCTCGCTGCGTCATGGATGATACTGGGAGGGTGAGTGTTTGCGATGCGTCTCGAGGCGGTTCAGACAAAAGCATGCTAATGCCTCGCAGCTATCTCATACTGCCCGGCCTCTACAGAAAAGACTACGAGCTCAAGTTCAGCAGAGCAGTCCTATCTGTCTTTGTTGTCGCGCTCCTTACAGCCGGCTACTCATTCACGGCACTACTCTGCTTCGCCTGTCGCAATGAGCGCTTCCAAGCCGACGGCGTCTTCCTGTAAGGCCTCCATGCCTCCACCATCGACGGAATGCTAATCATAAATGCAGTCCCGCACTCACGTCTTCCGCGCTCGGCCTTATCTCGATAGCCTACAACTTCGTATCCTCGCCCAACTATCACTGGGGCAATGCCGCCATAAGCGGCACCGTCATCAGCGCCGCAGGAACCATCCTCTACAGTTCCCTCCTCCTCTGGACGTATCGCCGAATAGTCAAGTCCAAACGACAAACCGACACACGCCAAAACCTCTGGTCCGACCAAAACTACTACAACAACTTCATCCCAAACATGTACCCGACCGCCATGCGCTCGCCCTCCCAGCCACCCGCCGCCCTGTACTCCGAAGACGACCGCGTGAACCAGCAAATGGCACTCCTTCTCGCCAAAGGAGACCCGCGACCCAGCCCCGACGCCAACAGCACATTCAGGATAGATCTGCCCGTAGACAGAGAACAACAGGCAAGGCATCTGCGCAGCCAGGAGTTGGTGGGTACGCCCGCACAAACACACGGCGACTGGGGCCGCGACCGATCAGACAGCCGACCGGATAGCCTCAGCGAACAACAAGCATGGACACAATGGCAAGGCCGCGGACGAAGTGAGAATCGCCCATCCAGTACAGAGGGACGAGGCAGTCACTCGAGAAACCTCAGCCGAGAAGAGCGGAGGCGTGAGATTGAGCTTGGTCAAATACGCGTATGATCATCTGTTCCACCCAGCTTTCCCTTCTACATGTTTCGTTCTCACGCAAGACTACGCATTCTCTACGCACATGGATAAGCGTCGGTGTTCCGGGCTCGGCGCTTTTGGAGTTTTATCGCGGTTGATACCTTTGTGTATTTTTGTCATTGTACCGGGGCAATTCGGGAGGACGATGTGCATGTTGCATGGTTGCTTTGGGCATATTATGGCGGAGTAGATTCTTTGTGTTTGTGTTGTTACTATCTGGTGGAATCAATATTACTACGACGTGTTTGGTCGTTATCACATCTGCTTCCATATCATAGTACTCCAGCCACTGCACTATTCGTCACCACTTCTGCGACCATGGCACCACTCGCCTCCCTCGGCTACATGTCTTCATGGCCCCATGACACCTCAATGCTGAGCCGAGGTCCTATACCTCGGGCCTCGTCTACACATACAAAGAGACCCTCATTACTTTGAAACACCAAGTTTTCTTCCCCGAACCCTATTGTCGGGTAGTCGTCACGACAGGGGCGGCCACATCTGCAACCATCAGGAGACTTATCAACAGTCCCGTCCCAGAATCACATTCTTGGGGCCGCCGTTTCTGTAACCTTCAGGAGATAACCGGGAAATTGCAATGTATACGCGGGGCGGCCGACTCAGCAACCTTCGGAATATCTGTCACATTTTCCTCTTCTTTTGTTTGCCTCATTACACAAACGATTTGACTCTAGTCCTTGCGCGGCTTTCTCCGAGATACGCCGTGTGTTGATTTGATGGCGGAGGGACTCACCGCAGCATCATTTTGCCATTTGATAGGTAGATATTGTGGCGTCTTCTAGATGCAAGATGTAAGTAAGCGTAAGCACGTATCCTGTATGCAGGGTGGGCGGGTCAGCTGACGTTCAAGCGAGCGCGTAGTAAAGTTGGCTGACACCTCGAGGCGAGCATGGACATGAATGTTAATGTTTGTGGCGGTGTAGTGCTCGGGAAGACAACGAGGGGCACATAACTTCTCACTAGGCGTCTCGCATGAAGACAGCGGTTTGGTGGTAGTTGTTTTGCCAAAGAAAATTGTTATCGCTATTTTGCCCTGCTGTATGCTTCTGGGTCTATCATCTGCTATCATCTATGGTAATGATCCGAGACTTTGAAATATGCGTTGTGTCCGCGCTTTCCAGCAATTCTCTATAGCTTGATAGCAAACTGCTTAAGGTACTCGTAATGCTCAACATTAGCGGCAACAGTATCCCGGATCTGCTTCGCGCCCTCTTCGCCGTACTTCTCCTTCCACTCGGCGAAAAGCTGTTCGTCACTCTTGGGTTCCTTCTTCTACTCATTGTTAGCAAAGACATCCTTTTCCAGTCGTTCTGCTATCATAAAAACCGCCAAAACTTACGTGTGTGCGTTCCCTCAGACGATCGCTGTCTAGAGCATCCTCATGGAAACCCTTCCACTTCTCGAACGCCTCCTTGGCCTTGTCCTGGTCTTTCTCTGTGTTCCATACGAGCATGTTTGGGTCCCATTCAATTCCTGTAGTCTTGCAGAATGCCTCAATCATGCCGGATGGGTTGTCTAGCAGATCATCTGCGTCGATAACGCAGATCTCTACGCCGCCGGTGTGACCGTTTGCCTGGTCGTTCGCGTCAACCTCCTTCTGACCAGCGAACTTGGGACCGATTTGTCCCTCAGAGCGCAGGTAGTCGAAAAAGCGTCGGAGCTCGTCGTATCCGGCTTCATCCTCACGGAAGTTGTAGAAGCCCGTCAATTTGTCGAGCGGAGGGATAGTGCAGCGGTAGTAAGATGGGATGGAGAATTTCGGGTGACGGATGAGGAAGGTGAAGTGGTAGGTTGCCAACAAGTCCTTGGGGATAACGGTCGGGTTGTTGGGCTCGCCTTTGGTGTCGTATGGGTAGGGAGGCTTGGAAGGATCGCTACGAGTGGTGACAGGCGAGAGTTCGGTGGTGTTTGTTCCTACGCCACGGCGGTAGTTGGACAGAGATGGTGCGATAGTCGCGGGCTTGCCAACGGGAGGAATCCAGTATTGGGCCATGTCTTTGATGAAGGCGCGCTTGCCCTGTAAGAGGTGAGTATGAATTTCTTCTACAAGGCCACATATTGCGCCTCGGATAACTTCGTCGGATGGGCTGTCGTAAGGCTGAAGTCAAGGCAATAAGAGTTGGTGGGGGCGGAATGCTTCGGCGGTATTCCGGGCATGCGAAAGACCACATTCCTGAGGTTTTCAAGCCGAGGGATCATTTTGGGCTCATTGAAGTTGGTGCGCTCGCTTTGAAATGCCGAGATATTGTGTAAGATGGGCTCGAAAGAACGTGTGGGATGGTTGCAGTAGGGGCGGGGTGGATTGAGATCTGACTGGCGGGTGGATGGCTGAGACACACAACACGCAATAGCGGCCAAGATGACGAGATCGCGAATATAAGATATCGATTGGATGTGTAGGAACGGAAAAGTGAGGGGAAACGGTATGAAGCTGAGCAGAAACATGAAAAGCATTAGTGAACGAACCTCGGAGTTCTCTCTCGCAATGCGATCAAAGATCGTCCTATATGTGCTGTCCTCGTAACCAGACTCTTTCCTGGCCTTGGGGTCATTCTCATAACGCTCAGCAAGGCGCTCAGGTCCAAAGTAGTAGGCATCGCCGAAAGGCTCGTGAACACATTGCAGTGTGTCGTGACGGGTCATGAACACCTAGAAGACTGTCAGAACCCGGGATTGGGCGAGATACGGCGAAGCCAAGCATACCCGCTCAAAGGCTGTCGAGCAGGCCCTCGGATGAGTAGCCACAAAGATAGGCTTGCTCGTCATCGTCGCGGCTTCTCGACTCTGGTAGGATCTATATTCCAAGTATCCTAGGGGAGGATTGACTGAAATGACCAGTCGGTGGTGTTGGTGAAGGAGAAGTCCAGATATATTCCAAGCTGAACAGCGCGCACCTACCGCGAAAAGTAAGAGGGGCACTAGCAGATTCTTATACCTCAGACCCAGACAGAAACTGCCGCCGATCAACGATTGCTAGATGGAAACCCACAATTGCTGTTCGTTGAGCAGCAATCCCTACCGGCAACACGGATTAACAGGTACTAGCGGACCCAACCATGCAGTGTTGGCAGCTTCAATCAAAGGGTCCGGATGGACGCCTCACATGGGCGGCAGTCACAACCGCGAACGTGGCGTGAGGCCAATGCAGGTAATGCGGTTGCCCTGTCCCGACGCCAGGGTGGAATTGGCCAAAAGGGTTCGTATGGTGTTTTCTAGCAGCATGCATGATGTCACTGGCGGGATTGGTGGACGGAAGGTGTCGTGGTGGGGAGTGCCGTGCCCCTCACTAGCATGGCTAAGCCCGAGGTGCCGACGGTTCCTCGCCAAACTCCATCCCTTTTCAGTGCCGTTTGCGCCTCGCGCGCCATATCGTTGGATGACATTATTGCGCACTCTTAGGCCTATCTCTCTGACGACTCTAAGCCACAGCTATTCATGCAGCTAAAAGCACGACATATAGTGGCTGCATTTCGCAATCTGTTAATGCCTGTGCCAAACAAAACCCCCTGACACCGCGGCTTGCTACGTTGTGCCGCTTTGTACGTAGTAATTTATTCGAATGTTGCTGCTATACTCGTTAGGCGCTTTTTTAGATGTTCAATAGAGGAGAGGAAGGTACAATCAAAATTTCCATCTTTTTCGCGGTCCCACACCTTGGTTCGCTGTACCTACCTTGCCAGTATCAGGCCGTTGGACCTTTGCCACATTTTATGATGACGGACTACAAGAGCAGGGAATTTTGCTGTATAGGGAATACCCAATCTGTCGCATTTTCACTTCGACAGACAATAGAAGGAACAGTTCTGCGACCGAATGCGCCCAAGTCTTGCCATCACGCTCCAACAGCCAACCTCATCTTCAACAAATCCTTCTCGACAACCTCCTCCTTCTTCCCGCTCAACTCCTCCATATCCCAACACGCACTAACATACCTCCCACCCAGCCACTCCCTCCTCTGCGCCCCCAACCACATCAACGTATCTCCAGCCAGCTCCGGCGTATCAACCAACCACTCATGCATATGTCCCGGCATGCCCAGCGCCAACTCTGTCTGTATGCCTCCCGGATGCACGGCCATAGCCAGCATATCATCCTTACCCTCCCCGTGGTCATTGTCGATGAACTCAGTCAATCGGAGTGAAGCCAATTTGGCGGGCCCGTACGAAGAGCTCTGCGGAACAACCATGACGGCGCCGATGGAGGTTATATTGATGATGATCTTGGAGCCGGCGAGGAGGTGCGGCCAGAATGCGCGGGTTACGAGGTAGGTTCCTTTTACGCTGGTTTCGTAGTCGCGCCACCATTCTTCTGGGTCGGTGTCTGGGATGCCGGCGAAGGAGGCGAGACTTCCGGCGTTGTTGATCAAGACGTCGAGTCGGCCGTCAAAGTTTTCAATGACGAGCTTAGCAGCAGCATCTACGCTGTCTTTACTGGTAACATCGAGGTCTAGTGCTAGAACTTGCGGCTCTGAGCGACCTGCGGATTTGGCTGCGGCTTGGACGTCTTTGACCACGGTGGAGAGGTCGGATCGTGCGCCTAGGGCTATGCATGAGGCACCTGCTTTCGCGTAACTCAGAGCTGTGGCACGGCCGACGCCTTTTGAGGCACCCGTGATCAAGACATGCTTTCCTTGGAGATTGAAGTTGGATGGAGAGATGTATGAGTAAGTATCGTGACGATCTGTGGCGACAAAATTGAGACCTAGTGTATGTGTATTAGACGGTTGTTGGCAGAGGAAGTGGCAGGTGAGTGAGCGTTTATTACCATTGGAGGCACGGCTTTCGCCAAAGTCTTTGGACATGATGGGTTTTGCTGAGTTCAGAAGTGATACGAAGCAGCAAGCGTAAAAATATACGTTGAATTCTCGAGAAAGACTGCTTGCAGAGGCAGCGTATATAGTAATGCAGAACTGGATGTTGTATGACGTAACCTAGACCCACACTTGGTATGGCACAGGATGCACACTAGCATCACGGCGGTATGCAAGGAGTTACCGGAAATAGTCGTTCGGCAGTTGTCATGAAAAGAACGCGTTGTATGAATGTGAAATGAAATTCGTGAATTAGTTGAGTCTATACCCCATGCACTTACTTGCTCAACGCTAGTATCCTTTCAACAGCCCTCTCCGCCGCGATCATGACACCCATAACAGGGTTCGTGGTCAGAGGCGGCACGATACTTGCATCGATGACGAACAAGTTCTGCATCCCAATCACCTTCGTGTCCGTATCGATACAAGCCTCCATCCTGCAACTACTGCTCCAATGTTGCACGTTGCCAAGCGTGAACGCACTCGGCGTGGTCAAATAAGTCGTGATCTGCTCGATCGTCGAGTTCTTTGCAACATTCAGCGGGTTGAGTGTAGCTGGCAGAGCTTGGAAGATGTTGTAGACGAACGTCGCAATAGCGGTCGCATCGCGGGGGTCGGCGTAGAAGTTCGATGAAGGAAGAGCGATACCTCTGGCATCAAGGTTTACACGGCCGACAGATCTGAGACCAGAAGTGCCGTAGACGTTGAGTGTGATAGTTCCGTTCTGCGTGAGACCCATCGCTCCGGCAGAGTCAATGGTACCCTGGCAGCCCACTACATCATCTCCTTGCTGGATGTAATCCCAGAACGCGCTTGTTTGCGAAGCGAATGTGTAAGGACCAGAGCGCTCGTTGAGGTACAGGTCGATGTCGGATTGAGGCGGGTTGGAGTAGTCGTAAGTATACGATGCAATCTCATCTGATTGCAGCTCGATGAAGGTGTTTGGGTTATCGAAGACACCGTTGCCAACAGCGGTGTTGTTGATCCAGTCTTGGGAGGGAACAGTCACATGACCGTTCTTCGAGAGGTTTGCCAAGGTTGCTGCCTCACCAATGCCAGACCACATCAGCAACTGAGGGCTGAGGAGAGCACCGGCCGAAGAGATGACCATGCCGCCTTCTTTGATGCAGATGCTTGACGGATTTTCTGCACCGTTGGTTTGAACGTCGACGCCAGTGGCTACGCCGCCCTCTCGACGAACACGCAGGACTTTAGTGCCGGTTTGGAAGGCAAAATTGGAGCGAGCCAGGGCCGACTGTAGGTATGTCTTGACTGGACCACTCCTTTGCCCGTTCTCGTAATACCAAATCGGGTGGCCAAACACCTTGGTCTTGTTGTGGTTCTCAATGCCATCATTTAGGCCAACCTCTGCGAAACCCGCGCCATCAACGAGCCATTGCTTTGCAGCATCGTAACCGCTCTGCAAGTATCGCTTGCTGTCTCTTGAGGGGCTGTCTGTGTTTGGTTGTTTCGCTCTGACTTTGTTGATTGCGCATTGCATGTCGTCGTTCTTCCAGCCCTGCGGGAAATAGCGATTCCAATCGCTCGCGGGTGGCTGGAAGAACAGTCCAGCGTTGATTGCGGAGTTGCCGCCGACAGTGCATCCCTGAAACGCGTTGACGACGTCAGATGCGCATGTCAAGTTGCCCTCACGGGTTTCCGAGAAGATGGACTTGTACAGTCCTGGAACGTCGACACGGCTGAGCTCAGTCCCGTTTAGCCATTCTGGGCGAGCACGACCGCCGGTCACGTAGTACGAGGGACCGCCTTGCTCCAAGAGTAACGTCTTCTTGCCAGCCTCGCTCATGCGGTCCGCTGTAACGATACCCGCTGGACCAGAACCTGAAGAGTGTCAGTTTCGATGCCAGATGTTGGATGCAGATGTTCGATCTTACCAACGATGATGACATCCCATTCACCACCAGCGCATTGCTCTGCCGCAGCATAGCTCGCGAACGCAGCGACAGGCAACAAGACCTTCCACATATGAGCTGCTACCATGATGTCTTCTCTTTGATTCCGGAGGTGTTAATTGTCCTATGTTGCGAGGCTATGGCTGCTACAGCAACAAGGCCGAAGGCTGACTTTAAGCATTTCATCTCACCCCCAGCTCCTAGCAAACAAGCTTACCCTAGCCGCCAGCTCTAAAGCACGGTGATGTACAAGTACCACCATCCTAAGCAAATTTGCAGCGTGAAGCTGGATCCGACATCACCGAACACGAAGGGGTATGACGCCGTTTACGGGGTGGAGCGTGCGCAGGCCTAAACCATCGCCCAGACGCGGGCGCTTTCCCTCTTCGCATGCACTATGAGGGCATAGATCGCGCGCCGGCGATGGCTGTGGAAGCTTAAGAATCATCGCTCCGACGGATTGGGTGCATGGCGGTCGCTGCGTAGTTATTCTGGGACATGTGGGCGGGCTGAAGGTGTGGCGATTTCCGCATCGTGAGGGGTTCGGCCTGTCAGGAAGGAGCCCGACTTTAGCGGAAGGTGCGGCTGAATGTGTGACTTTGCGTCAGCGATCCAGTTTATGAATTCCGTGTTTTCTTCTTTCAATTCTCCTACGACTCGCATTGAGATGACGGAATTGCGTGAGAAGCTTGGAAAGCTTGTCATGCCATCAAATGCAGTTAGGCCGTTCGGCCCGCTCGGAAGGATTCATTGTGGGCCATTGTTGCGGGCTACCGGCACGTAATCAGCATTCTAAATAATCAGTATCAAGTTGATGGTCACCCAGGGATGTCAAGGCGTATACATATGCGGAGTTGAACCTTGGGATATTTTCTCGGTCGCCATGCGCAGGGCAACGACGAAACGAGTATGTATATTGTTGAGAAACCAATGCAGTCATGAATGCGTGCTGATCGAAAGATTGGTAGCCGCTGTTGGCCGTTTCACGTTGCATGTTGGGTAACTAAAAGCTTTGTACCGTTGGTCGTATGGAGACAACGCATTGTCTGTAGATGGGCTTCAGATGGGCACCACTTATGAATGGTACTCATGACTTGGACGGTAACAGACTCCAAGTCGGCTCCAGTGCAGCATTGCCCAAGCCTGCATATTATTCGACTTCGCACAGATTCCAATGGGTGACGTGAAAGCATTCTAATCATCAATCTAAGTCTTCAGGATATCAGAATGTCGGAGCTATCACTGAGATATGTGCCGCCAGTGCGACTACTCACACGCGTATCGTGACAGCGAGATGTCTTGTGACTAGTGTCTATTGCTGGATGACCATCACCACTCTAGCGGTCTAGCGACAACGGTTTTGACATATGACTGGGCAAGCTTTGTTGAGAAAGCTGCACTCGCAGACGATTATTATCTAGGTATTTCGAACCCCATGGCTAATCTGGTCGTACTCTTTAGATACTGATAAGTTCCCGACCCAGTATCGGCATGAAGATGATGACCGAAAACGTTCTTTTTCCTTGCCTGGGCAGCGCAGCGATATGGTTTCGAGCATGAAATGGCGAACTAGCTGCGTAGGTACTCTTCGTTACAGTGCTATGAAACCACGATTGCTGACGACTCATACAGTAATCAAGAGTGAGTCTCAGAAGCATTGTTGGCGATATGAGTCTGCTTGTACGGCAATGAATACTCAGGGAGCTGAAGAAAGACTCTAGGGTTGAAGTCATGGTCTTGATGTGACCAAGTTACCACCGTGAGTCTTCTTTCTAACATCAGTGTATGACTCTATTATGTCGTGTACAAAAGCCGTACAGCACCGTAACTCAAGTATATCTACCATTGCAATCAGCTACACATTTTCTACAAGGCTCAGACTACTACCATCATGATCCAGTGCCTCGAAATTAAGATCAACCATCGTCATGCAAGCATCTCCATCAGGAAACCAAACCAAACTGCCGGGAGAGTGCAGCCGGAGCCGGAGCCTGACACGTACTACAACGCAGAAGAAGTCCCATCTCCAGGCTTTGTCGAGAAAGAGGCTACGCCGCTTACTAAAGAAGAAATGAACAAATTGAGGAGTATGGTGCAGCAGATTGGGCCCGATAATCCCCTTTACGAGGACGCCCCAAAGTTCTACTCAAGGACGAGACAACTAGTCATCATTCGAACAAATACGAACACAAGGAGGCAGAAGAAAAGTACATAGTATAGGGTAAGTATAAGATTGAAGAGTATCGTGAGACCTTGGGACGCTGCTGATTACGGGACAATAATGTTGGCAATAATGTGGCCACGCGGTCATAAATACCAGCCTCAGCTCGTGGTAAAGGGCGATAAGTATAAGGAAAACAGCTATTATGCATACGTACGACAAGACGATAAAAGCAACATGCTATGACATCCTATACATAGTAAAGTTAGAACAAGAGAAGCAGCTTTTCAGACACTCCTTTGGGACCTTTACCGAGCGTACGATAAAGGGTTCGTGGCTGGAGCAGATGCGGATAAATACAATCTCCAAGCAGATCATTATAGAAATCAGCTTAACGAGATAAGTCGTAAGTAAAGCAGGTGAAAAATTCTTAGCTCAAGTCTAATATCTACTAGGAGATGTCAAAAAGAAGCTGTTGCTGTCCGAAGGCGACTTTGAAATAACTGTTGAGGCTGCTGGTACGGGTCCTTCACGCAGATACCGAGCCGTCGTAAAAAACAAGAGTTACCCGCTGAAAACCCACCATGTCGAAAGCGAGAGTGAAGCATTGGACCAGATGCTGAATAAGACAATCGGCGACGCGCTAAAGGAGCGCAGAAAATGCCTCTACTCCGTTTAAAGTGCAAAGGGGTACGATGGAATCCATGTGAGAGGGACAAATTGTAGATGCCGCGGGCGGTATCATGGTATTTATTCAGGGGCTTATAACTTTCCTCCATATACACACAGTCATTATCGAAGAGGTCTCACTATTTCTTTATCAATGATAGAAGAACCTATAGCAGCGGCAACTTACCAACTCAGTGGTTGGTGATACTTTCTTTTACCTCTGGCACAATAGAGTAGCCCAGCGATCTGTCCATACCTATGATGACATCTATACTTTGCGTTCTCAATGTATCGGGAGTATGCGTTACTGTAATCATACGCAGTCATTAGTATTGTAGATCGGACTACTCTCCCAGACATAACCTCAGATGAGATCGGTCACACAATACAACGATGGAGACCCATCGCTTGAGTCAGCAAGCATATATCCAAGAACCCAACTTCGTAACAGAACCCCAAAGCATCACGAAGTTATAGCACGAAACTCTTCGGAACGCCACAGAGGAAGTAATCGTGGCCAACACCAAACCAATCTCGAATGTTAAGCTGGTGAGCACGTTCCCAAAGTCCAAGCGGCTGAACCGATATCCACTGAGACCAAAGGAACGGATGATCTGATCAAGGACGAGACAAAAGACAAGTACGTAAGCACCTCTTCCTTACGAGCATCATCTTTCTCGTTTCAACCCATCCAGATCAAGCATTCTTTACTGTGTAAACGGAAGCGAAGCGACAACAAAGACGCTGAGTGGGAGGGCGCCGTATGAAAAGTACACAACAGAAACAGGACAACGCCACGTTCGTCAGGAAGTGGAAAAGTTTAAGTCCGACAGCGAACCGTTAAAGGAGCTGAATGAGAGCGTCGCTGCGGAGATCAAGATCTGTGACGATATCATCATGGTGTAAAGTAATGAGATGTAACCGGTGTTTCAATTACCTACAAATAGTCAATTATCCATCCCAGCACATTTAGCCCATAAGCTGCAGCTGATCCGTTGGCGGCCATCTCGTCTGCGCAAAGCTCAAACATCGCTTGATACTCTGCAGATACTTCCGTGTCATCTCGTCACTCATAATATGCGCCGCGTTCTTATCGCTCTCATGCAGCTTTTCTCGCGCGCTTCTCTCGTGGATACCCACCATGGTAACACCAATGGGCCACGCCGCCTTGCCAATACTAAGACGTAGATAACCATCATTCGCGTCGACGTATCTTCGCTCCTGTGCAGCGTGCACAATCTCTACAACGGGCTCGACGATACTGTCTGGAAGATCGAACTTCTCCAGCTTCTTGAACAGTGGTCGCATGTTCTCGCGCGCTTGTACCATAGCGGCGTAGGCTTGTTTCCCTTGGTAGCTCTCTTTGACCTCGGGGTCTCGACGTAGGAGTGTGAGGTCCCATTCTTTCAGAACCATGGTGAAATAGCTCGCCAGCTGTCTGAACAGGAATTCGCGACCCTCCTTGTCCTTGGGTACTTGGGGGCTGACCTTCATGTCTTTCTCAGGCACGAGTTGTAGTGTTGTGGGTATCGGACCGTCCGTCATGATGGCTGCTAGGCTGTCTGCGCCGACGCGCTTCTTGTATCGCTTCAGGCGTTGTTTGTGTGTCTCGCCGAATAGCCGCGCTGGCTCATCGAGGGCTCTTAGCTTTGCGACGAGCTCTTCGTCCTCGATATCTTCGTCTTCTGGGACCGGTGTGCCGTCTCCTTCGCCTTCCTTCGTCTTGGGCGGAAGATCAGGAAGACCTAGCCGCTTTCGCCGCTGTCTCTCTTCTGCCTCTTCCTCTTCTTCCCTTATGCGTCTTGATTCCTCGGCCATGCGCATTCGCTTTTCCCGGCGTTCGGCTTCCCTCTCGGCTTCATCTTCTTCGGCCTTGCGCTTCTTCTCGAAACGTTCCCGCCGTGCCTTCTCCGCGGCTTCTTGCTCAGCGACGTATGCGGCTTGCCGTTGCGCTTCGATTTCGCTGCGCTTGAGATACTTTTTCTCCGTCGGTTCGGCTGGTGAGGCTGGGTCTTTTCCCTTCTTGATGTGTGCGGACATCAACTTTGCGAAGTCCATGTTGGCGACTGCGATGTTCGGGGTCTGAAGCAAGTCAAGGTGTCGAGGATGGGTCAGTGTTGGTTGCGACCTGGAGACTCACCTGCGCTGCAGGGGACGTGCCGAGGAATGGCGCTAGTGGGGAGCTCTCCGCGTCCCGGTCGCGTTGCTTCTCCCCCAAACTTTCCAACCACTTTCACATCTTGCGCCTGACGTCACCTGCTCACGACTTTCCTAGCGAGCTGTCGCTACGCCCCTGCGAATTTCGAAACATCTTAATACATCGGTTAGCCAAATTGTTCGCAAGGCTGCATACCTCACAATGGCTGCTCCCGCGAAGATTGACCGTCAAACAACGACGCCCTTCCTGTTGCGCCTCTTCTTCAAGCAGAACTCGTTCCATAGGTGTGAATTTCTCATACTTTTACACTTATACAAAGCAAACATAGTACTAATAGCTCAAAGGCTAGATGAGTTTGACCCAACACTACCACGTCTCCCAACCAACGTCCAAATCTACACATGGCAGAGCTGTAGTCTGCGCGAGCTATGCACACTGCTCCTCAGCGCAGTACCAACGTTACTACCGCAACCGTACGCTGGATCACGCATCGCATTTCGACTCGTATACCCAGACATACAAAGCTCCAATCGGCCAGGCGCGCCAGGGCGATTCATATCACGCGATATAGGCTCCGTCATTGTAGGCGCGCGACCGAGGGACGAGGACATTGATATGGAAGGCGTCGAGGGAGGAAGTGTCACAGAAGCTCTCAAGCAGCTTGACGGCGACGCAGACAAGACACTGGCGGATGTCAGGTTTATGATAGGCGACTATGTGGCATGCGCTATACTCCCCCCGCTACCCGACGGTAGTGTGCCAGCCGCACCTCCGCCACTCTCTGGACCGGGTAGAGGACCGCCTTCAGGACCGTACGGCGGACGACCGCGCGAGAACGGCTTCGGTGGACGGGGAGACTATGGCGGCTTCGGCAGAGGTGGCAGGGGTGGTGGAAGCAGATTCGACGATCGAAGATTAAGTGGAGGGGGCGTACCGTTTGGTGAATGGAGGAGAGGCGAAGCTCCACCAGATCGAGAGCTAGGCTTTGGAAGAGGGGGCAGAGGGGGACGAGGAGGTGGAGATGACTGGCGCGATCGAGGCAGAGGACGGGGACGATGGTAGTACAAACCTCCGACTATGAGTTCATGACGCAGTTGCGGAGACTCATAGAAGGCTCTGGGGCCGCACGAGCTGCGGGCGCTCCCAAGCCAATAGCCGTGCGAAACATACAGTCATTGTTCGAAACAGTGAGTCAATATATATGTTCGCTAGACTCAAAGCTGACATCGATGGCGAGGAAGATACCACTATTTGCAGAATACACCCGCTCCATGTCATTCGACTGTGACCAGCCTCAAGCTCGCGACAGCACTCAACGACTTTTTGATTGCTAGCGATACCGGCGTATGAAACACTGAAGCATACATGTACGTGTATCCTTGATTCTCCGCCAGATGTCCTCCGAAAACTTCTCGCTCTCTTTTGGTATCACATCACGGAGGGTGGTAGCTTCTTGTGTACAACCGGCTCTTTGTCAATTCTCCCCTACTCCACGCTCTCAGCCATCGTCTTCCCCTGTAAGTGCAATTCTCGTAAGAGACCTTCGAATGCTTTCAACACTGACTCCGCAGCAGGGCCTTTCCAGCGCACCTGTTTTGCACGCACATTGAGCACTTGCGCCGCTATATGACTACACTCTCGTTAACATGAGCTCATATTGTGGGAGGCTTTGGGTCATCGCGTGCTCCCAAGATGCGATGTCGCGAACGATATCTGTTGGTCTAGGAGTCAACTCAGGCTGTATTGAGCAGTATCCGCGCTGAGGAAAGCTCACCTCGTAACTGTTCCTTGATTCCCTGTCCTATCCCAGGAATTTCCGCCTCCAATGTTTGCCGCATCGGTCGCTTCGTGTCGTGTTCACTATGAACACTCCGTGCTCAGGGTACGTCTCTTGCTCCCGAGCGGCGCTGTGTTTCTTGCTCTCTCCGCTCAAAGGTATTAAAGGTCCGCTGACCATGCGACCAGGTTCTGTAGGGCTTCGTTGTGTGGGTAGAGGCATTATGCGTAAGCTTAAGGAAGCGTATGCGATGTGTGTGCTGCACTAGAAATTCCAAAGAACTCGTGGCTTCGGCAGGTCGATGAACCGTTATTGAAGAAGTGCATGTTGCACTCGATCGCGACTAACTGCGTGGGTGACAGTCGTGAGAACACTCATCCAATTTTCATGTGACTGGCATTCCATGAATGTGACATCAAGTGGGAGTGTTGAACGTTTGATGGTACTTCCTCACCCGTCATCAAGCACCCTGCAGAGCAACGGAGTCATGCTCGTGACGACAGTCAGAGTCAAGACGCAGGTACTATCACTTCCGGGTCACAGATGTCACGTCCTTGTTTGGCTCAATCATCTTCACAATAGCGTTGCGGCGAGAGGGTTCACGACGATATAGGCTTCATCTCCAACATTGAAGTACGCCTGGTTCACTTACTTCAACAATGACACGTCGATGATCTCGATCGAAAGCAGATCCAGTATTCATCGGCACTGGAATAAGATGCCACCAGAAGTTGATATGGTCACTTCATGGTCAGTGTGTGCACTTGTCTTCGTCTCTTCCTTCATACGTGTATGTTAGAGCCATTAGAGTCTTACGTTTTCACTCCCGTCAGCCGACGACAACGTCTCAGTTGCCCACAATAAGTATTGCTTCGGAAGCTGTTGCATTAAACGTTGAGTTTTTCGATGTCTGAGTAGCTAGCTCAAATCCATCGTAAGAGTTTACAGCATGTTGAATCCCATAGTTTGTTGTCATCTAGTACAATGTATACATCTAGGGTATCGAACAGTTGTGCGGAAATTTTAGAAAGAGCACCTTCATTGTACTGGCAAAGAAACGGACTGCAACCTCTTCCAATTAACAAGTGGGAGACTAAGTCACAAATGCATGGATGCCAGACAACGGAATGCAGACACTGGTGTAGTTATTTACACGCACCGTACATCATCCCCTATAAATATCAGATCATGCATTCGTTCAAGGTTGCGCATCTGGTGATAGCGGTTGCGTAAATTCGGAAGCGTTGCTGGTATGTCGCGGTAGCTAGAGCTGCCTAGTTAGCTTCACTCGCGAAGTGGGGCGTTATCCTGTTTAGCTACGGGACGCCCTGAACACGTGACTTGATCCCCGATAAATAACCATCCATGGAACTGCTCTTCTGCGTCACTTGCCCCCAGAGATAATGGTTGTTGTTATTCCAAATCCATTCCAAATGCTGTCTGAGCAATCGACACAGTGACCTCGACTAACACTTTCCCAGAATGTTCCCAAGGATGTCGCGACGCGCGCGCGTGGAGCCCCACCTTCTACAACGATGATCTGATGAGGTTTCGCTCCCTGTATTTGGAAACGAAAACTTCAAATTGCAATCCATCGCAAAGAATTCCGCGCTTCCTACTTACCGTTGTTCGTCTCGACAGCAAGATAGTGTGTCGGGTTTCCGCACCAGAAAGCCTACGTACTTTAAGGTGTTTTTGGGGCACCTGGAGTCTTGCAGGATGGGCAAGAGATATCATTATGAACCGCTCGATCACTCGTTATCCCAAATCCGGGTCTTCACCCTGCTTCCAGCGTCTGAGTTCTCATCACCTCTTCGCGGCCAGCTCACAATCCAGTCATTCTCGCCACGACCGATAGCCTATTAGGCTCTCTCGTATGTGTGGGGAACACAAGGAGGAGTTGAGACACTCGAGATCGACGACATGCCGCTAGCGATAACGCATAATCTCTCACTGGCTTTGAGATACCCACGATACGGAAATCGGTCACGAGACCTGTGGATAGATGCTGTGTGCATTAACCAAGATAGCCCCGAGGATAAATCTCACGAAGTTCGAAAGATGCGCCAGATATACTCGTCCGCGTCAACGGTGCTCATCTAATTAGGTGAAGAAGACGTCAAAAAGGACTGCCTATGAACAAACTGAAGCTTCTTGCACAAAACGAGTTCGATCGTTCCATCAACGTCAAGAAAGCAGACATCATTTGGCACGAAATCAAAGTTCTTGCTAAATGTCCATGGTGGAGCCGCGTTTGGACTGTCCAAGAACGCATTGTGGCAAACAATGACTCGCTTATTCTATGTGGACATAACCAGGTTTCATGGACTCTTTTTATCGAGATTCTGGAGTATATAATGTCTTCGTGGGTTTCCGGACTTCTACACAATGCCGGGGCTTACCCATTCTTGGACTTCGCCCGTGTATATCGAGTCTATCAGACTACCAAAACGATCGCATTGGAAGATCTCATCTATGCATCCCAACATAGCAACGCGTGCGACCCTCGAGATCATGTTTATGCCCTCCTTGGTCTTGTAGAGAAGCCATTTTTTGAGCCTTTCGAACCGGACTATTCGCAGTCAACCTCATGGGCATTCCAGACGGCCGTGACCACTATCATACGATAGCGACAAGATCCACGTTTCTTCATGCACCTCGTGCTGTCGCACACGTGGTCGAGCCACATCGAACGCCCTTCCTGGGGGCATGACTTCACCGGGGATGTGGAGCTTGTCCGCTGGGACAATGACTTTTTGCGATACCGCTATAGTATAGAACACGAAGGTGCTACTAAGGGGCGAAAGTACTGTCAAATCCAACATGATATTGGGAGAAGTACCATCAAGCTCACTGAAACAGTAATTGGATTGATTGAGACACCCGAACCACTCTTTTCAGAACCTTCGACTGAATCTGTCACCGACCCTTTCGTTGAATACGGCCTCTTGAATACGGCCTCTTGAATCGTCCATACCTTGACCCATTCGTTCCATGGCTCTTGGAAATTATGAAGAGATTCACTGCTGCTACGAGAGAAGCTTGTGAGAGGCGTCTTGCTCCTGAGATTGTGGACAAGAAGATGCGTGCGGGAGATGTTTGGCGAACCTTCTTGAATGGCGCGAATATAAACTATTGCAAAAGCAATTGTCGAGACCTGAAGCCTCTTGGCTTAACGGATTAATTTGGATTCCTGTAAAGACACTCAGCACTCGATGCATGGCAATTACTACGATCAAAGCACGGAGGTGAGGAAGGCGGTAACGACACGAATGCCAAACTCGCAAGGGCCATGTTGCGGAACATCATACGATTGCTGAGCAACGGCGAATCCAGCCAGTGGTGTCTTTTTACGACCACGAGTGGATATACTGGATCGGCTATGCGGGAGCTTCAGCGTGGTGATGTCGTTTGTATCTTGTTTGGATGCGCTTTGCCACTCATTCTGAGACCCCAACCTGACGGAACACATGTGATTGTCGACGCCGGTTATGTAAACGGGATCATGGGCGGGGAGTTTCTGAGAGACAAATCACAGTACACGGACACAGAGTTCCTCATTAGCTGAGGAGTTCTACTGGAGGCTGTCAACCTCTACTACCTAGGTATCTGTTCCTGCTCAGCAAAGTATCAGACACACGTCTTCGTTGAATCGTAGATGCAGCAAGCCATCGTAATGCTGATGAGCCCGAATCTATCGCTCGATTCCTACACCACTCACATGTCGGATAGCGGCACATGGCATAGCGCACCGATGAGTGGACTATCCATCGGCACGCGAACGTCCTTCAGTACCCACGAAACGTCTCCCAACCCCATGGTCATTTACACCTCCATCAAAATCATCTCAATGTATTGTATCACATTGGTCGTCATGTAGTGGTAATAATAGCACTATTGGCGTGCTGCAAGCTGAGGTGGTGTGTTGGACCTTACGATTGAGGATGAGGAGGTGTGGAGGCGAAGCAGGCGGTGTCGCATGCACGCCTACCCATACACACATGAGCCATTCGATGCAGCATCAAGGGACAGTGGGCGTCATCGCACCCCTGGAGAAACTGTTGGTTCTATTGTTAAGCTCCAGTTCACAGCTTAGCAGATACCATCGTTCTAGAAGGCTGGAAACTTGGAGTCGCAAAGTCCACTTCCTAGCGTTGACAAGCTGGGAGGTCTGGAAGACCACACGGCTGTATGGACCACTGCGACTGGTAGCCACTGCCGACATTCCTTCACCAACTTTGCTCGGGCCGCTGAACGGTCGACTGCCCGCCTGCATGCGTAACATGGAACGTCTTTGCAAACATCTACACAAGGGCTTTGTCTTTTCGTCAGTGATGCATCTATCGACCGCTTTCCTGCAAGCGAGGACATGTTGATCAGACGATCTGTACTACACGCTAGGGAAAGGAAGAGCGCAGGATCGTTGCCTCTTTTAGGGGTAGGCGCTGTCTACAAAGGCGTGGTGAAACGGGTGCGCGGCAATCCCGACAATCGCAGCGGAAGCTATCATTACCTGGGTTTTGATGATGATGATGAAGTTGCAGGGTGCATCGACGAAGTGGCGATTGCTCAATGAAGGAGCGACACGAAATCTACACCGCATGTCGCGCGAAGTACTGATCTTCAGTCAGTACAAGCTAGTGGTGCGTAGCAAGTCGACCCATGTACAAAGGCTTCATACGCAGATGCTGCTTCTACTTGGAGGCCTTGGACTTGGGCGGGGCACAGACTTACGCAGCCAGTCAAGATTGGTACGATACGTTCGATTCGATCATATCTCGATTCGAATCATGCAAGAGCTTGGGCCTTGCTGCATCACGCTCGGCGCATGTCTGGAACTCAGTGGAAGATTGGAGATGTGCGCGTGCCCAGTCATCATTTTGAAGGTGTTCAAACCTCATACAGAGAGCCCGCATACTGATTAAGCCGTCGTATGCAAGGGCAACGATGAGTTGAAGCTACGGTCGGTACCTGCCTCCACTCAAAGGGCCGACAGTGTCGTATCTAGCCCCGGGCCGAACGGTGAAGCGGGTGTTGTATCGAACGGTGAACGGCCAATCACTAAAGGTCTCTTTTTTAATCTGTGAGGCAAGTCTCGAGTGTGGGGTAGTGGGTCATTTGCCAGCAAGTAGCGCAGAAACGCGGTCAGTTCGGATTGGAGAGGCGATATAGGTGAGCTGCTCATATCTTCGACGCTTTCGAACATCTTTTCAACAGACACTGTACGTCTACGGCAAAGTCATTATGCATCAGGATGTGCTTGTTTTTTTTTTGGGATGTTTGAAGGACCTGTTGGGCTACATCGCTCTTACTCTGCTCTTCCGCGTCTACAATGTGTCATTCGAGTGTTTTCATGTCAGAAAATATGTCCAGACAAAGCGTTGCGTGGGTGACCAGAAGTAGACGGCATTCTTTGTTCTTCGTACCGTGTGTCATGGTGTGGCTCAGAGACACTCTTTCCCCTCTCTGGCCAAACCGCTTCTATCGACGTGTTTTGTTACCGTCTTCGCAGCCCATATTCATCCAAGATGCCCAGTACGAGCTCAACGTATAGATCTCAGAGTATAGCGCCATTGACGTCGCAGTTGGAATAGATACCCTGTCGCTCTTTACAACGAGTGCCTCCTACTCCTACAAGAGCTGTGCGAGGGCCTACTTTCGTACGAGACTACTCTGCGTGTATGGGTGAGTCCTCGGACTAGGCGGTTAATGCGGGTGAGTTGCAGATCTTAATCTGAGAAGGGTTGCTGCGCCGTGCTGTGGCTTGCTGTGCCGCACTCCCGTTGGCTCCTCTAAGCGCTGCGGCGCGTGGAAAACTGAGATGGCTTCCTATACGTTGTTCTCAGCGGCGCATGAACCGCAAAGGTAGACCAGTGTCTTTTCTTTCACCGCGACTAGGCTGGTCGATCCAATGATGTTGTTCCGGTGAGCATGCATTCTCATCTCAACGCATTCTCGAGGTTGAGGTTGGGGAGATGCAGACGTCCAGCGATTACAAACTCGCTTTGCCAGATGCGGGAAGAGAAAAATCGGTGTAGGGCCTGCAATCTGGATTGGTATTCCTCCATCTTCAGATCGCATCTGGAATCGTAAATCGTACGACACTAACGTCCACATACAGCGTACAGGACACCTTCATTCAAAGATCATCCTTCAATCGTGGTCAGTGCGCGGGAACATGTCTTCTTTGACGTTCACTCCTGCTTTCGCCAGAGCTTTGACAGCTTACATGGGCATCCTTCACAGGGTGGAACCCTGCCTGCCATGCAGTGTGCTCCATCCATCCGGCAAGTCAGATAGCCAACTAACACCAGCACATTTTCACACCCCACAAAAGTTAACGAACCGGGCGTTTTCCGTTGAACAAGCACCTGCATGTCGCCTTTCCCTGTCCTCGGGGCTGTGTGTAATCGGTGAGGGTGCCCCCAATCTTTTTCTGCGAAGAAAGGTGATTGGCTGTATCTGATCTCCTGACCGATGTCTATTCCTTCCATGCATGTTCGATTGAGGAAATGAGTTCAGTTTGATGCATTAGCGTGTAGTTGGATCAGGCTGGTGAAGTCGTCGATGATTGCCATGCTGGGAAGACTCGCTCGGCGCAACGAAAGACGCTGATTCCCAACCTCGGTCTTGGAGGACAAAGAATAGTGATGCTAAGCAAAGCGCTTCATGAGGTGCTGTTCAACTGGTCGTCAGATCGGCGTGTCCAAAACGCGGTTTTGGGCCTTTTGAGTGTCGCACCTAGGATAGTCAAGATTGCGGCAAGATAGCAGCGTGTTCATCAAGAGTTTGTAATCATTCATACAGCTATGCGCGCTAAAGAGATCTATGAAAAACAGAGAGTTCGAAGAAGTGGTACAGGAGCATGCCGAAGCACGATGATGACTTGCCTCCCCAGCGCCAGGTACCTTCAAAAAATAAAGTAAAATAACAACAAGAAATCATGTGAACATCATCCTCAGTGACATGAAGCACACTGATCTGAATCAAAGCTTCGCTCTGATGTTCCTTTCTTTCAGCAGGTTCAGCTTCATCTTGAGACGTCTGATAAGCGGCCTTTCCTTGGGACCAAGAATGGCCTTCAACTCGGCAATGCTCATCTTGTGGTTTTTCCCACTCCTGCCTCCACGGTTCACATGTGTCCAGTAATGATCTCGAAGGTTGTCGCCCCTCGAGAAGGTCTTGACACACACTTTGCAGAAGTGACACCTGTCGTTTCCATGGACGGTCCTGACATGGCGTCGAAGGTGTTCCGGTCGTTGGAATCTCTTTGGACACGGAACCCCAGGATGCTCCTTGTCGTCTAGAGGACATTGCCAGTGCCTTACGTCAAGCGTGTGGTGGAGAGGGTACGAAGCAGGATTCTCGCCCCATTTCCCGAGCTTCATAACGTTGGCATTCGCTCCAGACCGCCTGAAGGACGAGTATGACGATCCATGCAACGAGGCATCATCATCGCTCTCAGATTCTTCCGACTCTGAGTCGCTCTCTTTATCATTGAATCCTGCGTCACTAGCTACTTCCTTTTTGAGGGGCTCTGGGTTAACAACCCTGGCAGCAAAGTAGGGAACCGGCGCCTGGTATGGAATATAAGCCGGGGCTACTGGAGGACCGGAGTGAGGAGTATATCCCTGAACCGGTTGTAGCGACAGTTGCTCGCAGACTGGACCACCGCGGTGGGGCAATGAGAATTGTTGCGAGCCCCATGTAGGAAGATCAGGGTAACTCGGTCTCCAGACATGTTCTGGCTCTGCTGTCCAGGCCTCGTGGTTGGCTGGGGAGTGGACATAATGGAACGCTGGGCTTTCGACTGTATCGCACATTGGCATGCCGGTGTATGGTGGCGTGGGAATGCTCTCGTTATGGCTCATCGAAGAACTTCTGGACATTGGACTACCACAGGCTGGTCCCTCGAGTAACCATGGATCGAAGGCGTCTATGGGAGCGCTCAAAGATCGCATAGATGATGTCTCGCGGGCAAGGTGTTGGAAAGACATCCGTTCATCGTACGATCCGTTACCATGATTCATGGGGATAGGCTCATGCGAGTCAATTCTGGAGAGATCCTGTGATCCAGGACAGTCCACCACGTATTGGTATGGGCTCGAAGTGAAGGACTGGACACGTCGTTGCTCCATCATGGCGAGGTAAGACTAATGCTCAGTCAGTGATGCTTACAAGCGTCGAGTACATAGACATACTGTATATATGTGATGTGAGTATACAACGAACAATGTGAGGGTCTTATAAAGACAAGAGTATGGCAGAGTGCTTTCTGGATCTAAACCTGAGTTTGATTGTTACACTGGCAGGACGAATATAATATAGATCAGATGCAATAGTGAGCGCTCAACCATGCCAAAGGCCCCGAGGAGTATTTTCATAGGGTTCAGCAGAGAAAGGAATGCTAACGATCGGTGAAAACGCCAGACCCAGCAGGTTGGTACCTGAGCGACTTGGCGTCTTCGATGCCATCATGCCACTTCCTGCGTGCACAGCCTGACCGCGAACGAACAACGGCTCGAGCTAGCATGGGTAGACGAGCTAGTGTACGGCGTAGTTCGAGCACTTGAGTGTTGAACGCATCGGGCTTTGTTAGACGACAGAAGTTTTGCAGGCATTTACCCTGGTCGCAGAGTGCCTCATGTTTTTCTTGATATCTGCTCTTCATCGAATTTCAGTAATCTGATTGGGGCCCTGTCGGACAGACGTACGCTTCTAAGGTGGTTGTTGGTAGGCATCCCACCAAATGTGTACAGCAAGCAGCAGGGGCTAAAATTCCGGTTGGCCACGAAGATCCATCTGATCAGGGTCTTGATGGAGGTGTGGTGCGCTCGCCTGGTGGCTTTTTCTCAATCGTTATTTCCCGTGGGGCAGCGTCAGATACATGCTTTGACGTGTGGCAAAGATGGTTCAAGCGCCAGAGTGCGGATGTTGTATACAGCTGACCGTGGTGAGTCCTTAGGAATGCAGAGGACGCACGCCTGTGACGAAGATAGAAGTATTGGGTTTGACAACTGGTTACTGGTCGCTGCTGCAGGGACCTACCCTCGCTTACCAATTGGGGTAGACTAACCTGGGCTTCCTGCATTGAAGGCCGTGCCCAACCCAAGCTCTTTGATGCTGCGGCGAACTTGTTTCAAAGGCGTATGCTACAGCCACGAATACTATTTGCAACTCCACCTATTCTAGATGGTGTTGGGAACCAATACTCACCACGATAGCTGGCATCAGTGGTCAACGTGGGAATATCTGGTCCTCCACATCTCTCGAGCTGGTTGGTATCTCACCAATGCGCCGTGCTGTGATTAAATCCTGATGGTAATCTGAAATATGTTGAATCCCAAAAGGTGGGGAGTTCCAACTGCCTGTACTAATTTGAGCAGTACCCGCAAAGCCACAAGCGCTCTTGCTAGAATGTTCGAGTTGAGAACCTGTAGAGTTAACGCAGATAATCCTATAGTTTGGATCGCTATGAGCTACAACCTGGCAGTCCCATTGGACGCAGTTTGTGAGATACATGCCTCCACCGCACTTCTGACCTGAAATGAATGACTACAATCTTGCATAAGGTGACGATGCGATACGAGCTGCAATGCGGCACGGTTTGGGGGCTCCGTCATCGTAGCTGAGATCGTTTCGAGTCAGCAGCTGATCAACACTTTACAAACCCATTTTGATTTCATCTTACGTCGTGGAAGCCCAGCTTAGCGGCGTATTGACCGCCTATTGCTTAGGCTATGCCAGGGCATTGGGGTAATCGACGTACATTGTGTACGAAATGAACCAGCCGGGTTCAGATAGATTGTGTACATGGTTCCCACAACTTGTCCACTTGTAGCCTAGAGTTTGAGTAGCGGACCAAACTACAAAGACTGTGAAAGCGGGAGCAGTGGGTCCTTGGGCTTGCATGACATCCGTCCCCAAGTATCGTATCGAAGGACCCAGTACCAAGATGGTAATTTCGAGCGAATGCAAAGAATTGGTCTGAGCAGCCGCGCGGGAACCGCTTGCCACAGGTAGACTAAGGCTAGCTCCCTGAAACGCCTGCCGAAGGCCCCTACCCTGGATGTGATGGCGACTTGACCAGTTTGAGTGGTCAATCCTTCGAGAAGATCATGCGTTCTCCGCCACTCATAGGGGCTTAAGCTGACGGCATTCAACAGGAGCGCGGATCGTGTACTGACACTCGCGAGAGGCGGTAGCCTCGTCACTGGTCAATTGACGCCACGCATGAACCAGCCCATCACGTGTGTGGGCTGCTCTAGATCTGATGCGAGCGTTTGGCTGCGCTCTCCACCTTCCGCTTCTAGCAGGGACGAGACGATGTCTCCGTCAACGCTAACGGGAATTATTCGAGGGGAATGCATCGACAGTAGGAATGGCATGGTGCAGCCGAGTCTCCGTTGTGTTAGGGCCGTGTTGAGCTATCCCCTGCGAGGCGTGATGAGTTCGTGCGCTTGAGAAGCTCTCTCACATGGATTAAGCCTTGATCTTAATCGATAGACGACACGTTGTTGTCAGGGCTGATTGTCCATCGAATTGGCGATGTGCAGTGGTAGCGAGATGAACTTGTTGAGGAGCGACTTTACTTGGTCCGTCTTGAGCAGTAGCTGAGCACGGGAGACTAGCAGTGTATCGGTACCAACGAGAAATGACGCCTGTTGCTGTGACCTCGGAGGAGTACAGTGTCCTTTCGGAATAGCCCCGTAGTCTAGCGTGTTTACGCCTGCGCATCTGAGAAGATTCCCAAGTATTCGGATGTGCCGTATGACTACATGGATGGCTTGTCAGCATCTAGTCATGACTCGTCTTGAAGATACAAGGCAAAGCGAAGTTTTGGAGGCTGTCCACAAGCCGTCAGACGCAACCGAAGCCACGAGCTCCTCACCCCCGCATTGATACCAGTTCGGAATGCTAAAAAGTGCACTGTCTGTTACCGCATCCCCGAAAGACGATTTTATCCCCGGTGCACATCATCGCGTGACAGTCCAGGATTGGTTGGTGATGTGACGTGATGGTCAGAGCTGCATACGCGCGCTTAAATGAAGGATCGCGACTTCGTGACGAATTTGAGGCCGAAATCTCGCTTCGCTGCAGCGAACCTGAGTTGGTTGAAATCGATCTCAGTAGGAGCTGTTGCTGCTAATTGATCTAGATGGAGTAAATAGAGCGATTGGCGACGTGATCTCGATGATGGGGAAGACGGAGGTTCCAAGTGCAGATTAGCGGAAGGCTGGGGTACGGTACCAGATGGCCTAACAAAGCCAAGCACACTAGCCTCGAACGGAAAGGACCTCTTTCCACGCAACAATCCCATCGATCTGGCTGTGAGTATCGGAGCTGTTGCCACCGGCTGATCTGTCTTTCCACTCGCATTCTGTCACGCGGCATGCGCATTTCCGAGGTAAATCTTGACTTGACACTCTAAGCGCAGCCTATAGGGTTTTGTTAGTGCTACATGTTACGGCTGATATGCCAGACTGCGGAACTTCGTCACGACAGAGTGCTCTCAAATATCCAGTCGTTCATGTCGTGGTTGGGAAGACGGCAATACCATTATAAAGGTGGCTAGTGTCTCGTACGAGCGAGCGCTAGATGACGATGCGGGTGGCTCAGCATAGGCTGTCGAGGCTCTCGATCGAACTGAGCAACGTGATCAACATGCCCCTTTACCGTTCCCACATGTACTCCTTGACTCAATTCGCATACAACAGCCCTCTGCGACTCATGGGCGATGACAGCGCTCTAGTAGCAACCCGTGTCAATCAGCTTCCGGTGTTTCCTGAGCGAATGAGCCCACATTTGGTACCAATCTTGGGACTGAGTGATTTACTGCAGAATCTCAATCTTAGTGGACCCATCAGTCGAAGGTCATACATTTGGAATTACCTGCTTGGTTATTGAATACAGCAGGACTGGCGCGATCGAAGTCCGCCAGCATCATAGAGGGATTAGATTCAAGGAGTACAGATGTGTCTGCTATGCCTTTCCATCTCCTCTTCATTCAGAACCTCTGAACGCTCATTCCTAGCTCCTAAGATTTCCAGCAGTTGACAAAGAAAGCAACACCATTGCAAACCCTCCGCGACCTCAGCACCACCCACACGTTCTATTCACTCATCCTGGCCAAGGGTCCAGCGCAAAACACACGAGACGACATTACATCGAGAGCCGAACAAAGACGGGTAGGTATGTGCCCACATACTACCAAACATGACTTCGTTATGGCTTCGTTATGACTTCGAACCCAGCGCCGCACACGATGGCCCGTACCGTCCGCCGCGTCGCGTCTTATCGCTTGTAGCCGCTTCCGCCCCGCTTCATCGTTCGCTCACCGATCGCATCGCCTAGCAAACCGTTGTATACGAGGGGGTAGCACCGAGGAAAGGGCCGACAAAGACACGCGAGAAACGCACATGTTGGAAAAGGGTGAGAAGCTTGGCGAACACCGGGGAGATTTTGTTCTTCGCTTCGACGAGCTTGTGCGATGTCTGCCGCTCGGCGTGTAGTCTTGTAGCGATTGTTGAATTTGTCTCAAGAGACTCTTCTCTAATATGAATGTATCGCATCAAAGCACGAGTACAAAACCCATACACAGCAAGAAACGCACTACCGTATCCATGAATTAGATCTGATTGTATTGACTCTGGGTAAAATGATGTGGGCGTCTCTACAACCTCACCGCGCCCCAGCCCCCATCCCAACGCCATTCCTCCTCGCATGAATAACAGCACAAAGACACCGACCAACCGCCTCCAGATCACCCAGAAGCGTGACGTGCCCGCGGTCGCTCGAGACGACACCGCCCCTAACCACACTGTATCCAGTAGGCACCATAGCCGCACGGGCGAGTACAACGCCGTCGCCGCTCGCAAAGGCAAGCTCGTCGTACACGTCTGCGCGCTTGATGGCTTCTTTGCTTTCTACCTTTGCGCCGTATACAGTCGGTGTGGACTTGCCGTAGATGAGTGCGATGGGCGGGTATGCGTTTGACGTTGTGTGTTCGGGCCGGTGGTCGAGTTCTTGTTTGAAGGCTTTGACTTCAGCCAGGGTTCGTGCGAGATACTCCACGGCTTTGTCGTAAGGGATCGTGACGTCGGTTGCGGGGTTCGGCTCTTTAGAGGTCTCGATGTTGTGTTCGTGGCCCATCTGTGGTCCCATGCCTGCTTGCTCCGCGCTTCCTTCTGTGACGTTGTTCGCGGCGTTGCGAGCTGCATCGGCTGCGTCTTTTGCGGTGCTACTCTTGCGAGCGGAGAAGGTTGGGAGTGACGAAGAGACGGCGTTCATCAGCCCACTAACGCTGAAATTGCTGTCTTTGGGTTGTTCGGGGCGAGGCAGAGGCGCTGCTATGCATGGAGAAAGGCGGTGTTCTTTCCAGGTGTTTACGTCGAAGAAGTCTACAGGATACTCTTCTTTCGTGCGCTTGTTGATGAAGCACTTCCCGTCAAGAGGCAGAAGAGCGTAGGATGTGCGAATGCTGAAGTTTACTTGAGCTGTAAGCACGCGTGAGGAGAAGAGGACATCGTCGCCGTTGCGGAATGGACCTAGGATATTCACGCAGCGTTGAGGCACACCGGCATATACAACACCGGCTACTAGATCGGGACGCTGATTGATAGCATGACGTGTGATCAAGCCACCTAATGAGTGTGCGACGATAACGGCACCACGCTTTTCTGGAGGGACGCCTGGCTGATTACAGGGCAGCGACTCTAAGAATTGTATCATCCTTCGACTTAGGAAGTGCGGAGAGAGCCGCCAGTCATAGCCGTAGTTGTGGACCCTGAGTTTACCATCCTTGACATTATCGCATGCATTCAGACGCTTGAACAGGCGCTTGGCTATATCGACGGGGCCAATGTGGGTCAGCATGCCGCTGGGTATAATGCTCTCCTCCATGCGCTCATCCGCATGTGGATCCAAAGGCACTTCCAAGTCTACCTTGCGTAGGTTCAACCCGACTTTGATGGGCACCCACAGCTGTCGATGGGGCGGTTCTGCTGAGCGCAAAATGGAACCTCGATAGCCCCCTAGCACGACCAAATCCCCTTCGAGCTCTTGCAGAGCTTGTGTGAAGTATGGATGCGGCTCAAACTCGCTGTCCCCACCTTTCGACGGAAGGCGCTTCTTCCTTGTCGAGTCGCGACGTGCTGCCGATACAGGCTCGCTTGCGCGGATGTTGTCAGTTTCGCGAAGTCTAGACGCTATACTGGCATTGCGGGTTCTGAATATTTCGCTGCTAGACGATAGGTTGAAGTTTGGGAACGAAGGGCTTGGCAGCTTGAAATTCGAGTCTTGCCAGCTGTCTCTAAGAGCCTTCAGCCTACTGTTGACCTGCTCTTGTACACTCTCGAAACGTGTGTCGTCGCCGAGCGAAGACGCAAAAGACCTTGTGCGATATACGAGTAGAGAGCCCTCGGAATTGGACCGCCGTAACTTGGGCGCCGGTCGATCAGTCGGTCTCTGGGGGGAAGGGTGAAGGGTATCGGTGCTGTCGTCGCTGAATTCGCGCTGGGGTATCGGAGCGGTATTGGGTTGCTGTGGCACCTGTACGAGGTTCCTCGATGCGCTCCTCGACTCTTGGGGTGTGGAGTGGCTGGCGCCATCATGCTGCGGTATGTCTCGGGCCGGTCCACTGCTGGCGAAGGTATCTCTCCTCCGCCTGTCAGAGGTGCGTGGCTTCTCCGTATCGAGCGAGAGTGCTGACAGGCTCGGGAGCGAAAAGTGCATGTCTTTGTAGGATTTGGTGATGGACGTGGGCAGGGTGAAGGGCATGTATTTGCGCATCGTGTCCCCCATGGAGCCGCTCGAGGATGCCCGCCGTCTTCCAATCTGTAGGTGCTCGCGGAGTATGGCTCGATGGTCGCCCGCCTTCTCCTTGTGGAATGTCTTGGGTCCTGCTCGCCATGGCGAAGGGAGTCGCGCTCGGGGGTCGGATTGTCGCTCGCGGTCGTCATTGCTTGATGTGTGCGTGGGTTTCGGCCTCACATCAGCTTTCTGGATATCTTTGCTCGGCTCTGGACGCGGTGTCGTCTTTTTCAATTCCGGTGTAGCATCGGTAGCTTCCTGCCAGCCATCGAAGAAGGCCCCGTCCTCCGTGTCCTCTAGGGCAGCAGCCTTTTCCGCTGCGGGTGTTTTCGGCGAAGTCAGACGCGTCTGCTGCTTTCCTATGCTGACTCCAATCGCTGACTGCGCTGTCTCGAGCCCAAACGCGCTTTCCTCCGGCGACTCGTCTTCGGAGGGTGTGAGGTCATCGTCGACGATGGAAGCGAATTGTATGTCGGCGAGGGCACTTTGGCGACGCTGATGGTGGGTAGGGGCTATAGATGTCTCTGCCATGGTAGGCTAGCCGTAGGAATTGGTAGGTGTCTGGGCTGCAAAAGTGGCCCGAAAGTTGGCTTGTCATGTTTACGGTACATGCTCCTCCCGCAGTGTGGCAGTGTCAGCTTTCCGCCCGCTGCCGAAAGCAGCGATATTCATGGCCGACCATCCCAGTCATCCGACCCAGCTTCATTTCCAATATCAAGGACGGACGAGCGACGGTCAATTGCAGGCGACAACGATGCAATGACGGTAAGCGCGACGTACATATTACCAAGGACAAACGTCACATCCAAGAGCGTGTCATGTGGATCGCGTCACGCCAGCCCACGCGCCACGACGCCACGTTTCGTCCTTAGTCAGCTCTTCACATGACGAATCACCCCTCATCCTTTGCAAACCATCCCGAGGCAGCGGCTCACTGCAGCACACATTCGTTATCAGCAATCTCAATCTCAGTCCTTTGTTATCTCCGCATGTTGACACGCAAGCGCTTTCCCAGTGCGATAGCTACCGTCCCTTTGTTTGTTGGAAGCTGCACGCGAGCTCTGGAGTCTGTCGCGCTACGAGATACCCACGGCACATGAGGCTCTTCATGGCATCTCCTTATCAAAGATTGAAATGGCTCTGTAATTCCTCGCGAAGCGGTCCTCCAAGATCTATGGAAAATCCTAGCATGCGGCTCCGCGTCCTCCCGCTGATGCATGCAATCTAGCCTTCCGAGCCCGAGGTCGGATCGCACTCAGGAACAAGTCAGCCGATGTCCATCAGACCACCACCCTGGCTGCATCTTAGTAACGCAATGGCAAGTTTGCGGGCTTTGTTCGCCAATTGAGTAACTTAACCCTTGGTGGAGCAAACACTGGGCCTCATAACCCTTTGTTAGCCGAGCTATACTCTCGCGCCGAAAGATCATCCCTTCCCGTACGACCGACGACAGGGCGACAACGAATAGCAGACGTCACATTGAACTAGCATCAAGCGCAGAAACGTTATGCTAACGCATGAGCATCAGCAGTTATGTCATGGTGCGACTGAAAGACTGGGCCAAGTCCACAGCGTTGAAATATAACTTCACAGCCGGTCTTCCCCAGCTCTCATACTTCACTGTTCTGCATCTCCTCATCTACGTCTTAGCTACTTACCTTGCATTAAAGTAGCCTAACCGATTCAGTCGCAGCCTAGAACGCAGATCCGTGTCGAACATGTCGCTTTTTCATCTTCCAGAACCACTGCCATCAACATCCATCGCCCTTGGGCAAATCACTACCAATCCTCTAAACGCTTCTTCCGACTTCATCAAGCCCTCAATACCTACAGACTTCATACAAAAGGCAAGCTGTTCGAAAAAAGAAAACGCAGAGTCCACAGCTCAACTTACCCTGACCGACCCATCACAAGTCTTCGACACTTTGCGCAACGACACCACAACGCAGGACGTTCTCCGCAAGCTATCGCAACAAAACAAGCCAATTTACTTCGTCACCGGTCTCCAAACTTCCAAATCCCCAAGTCACAAGCGCGCGACTGTGTCACACGAGCCCATAACCGAGGCTACCGAGACCCCGCAAACCCAAGTCCAACTACCATTCCGACGGGTAGACTCGGCATCTAACATGACATCCTCTGGCGAAGAAGTTTCAGTCGTTGCAGTCGAGATACTCAAAGTAAAATGCCGCATTGGCGCCGTGAATGAACCACATTGTATTTCGGATGTGGACTATGTTTGGAGCTACCATGCACTTGAGGGTGAAGACGAAGACTTGCAGCTATCTATTGGGCTAGGAAAAGCGGTGGAGGAACATGAGTGGAAAGCTTTGACGGGTAGGAAAGAAGAACAGGAGGAAAAAGACGCTGATCGCAACTGGTCTTACGATTACGAAGACAGCGACGATGGTCTCGGTGGGTTTTGAGCGGGGACTTCTGTAACCAAAACATCAATCCAAAATCTTACACCCACATAATCAACAGGACTTTCTTCCAAGTTCCTCTAATGTCTTCCACAATTGGAAGACCGTAGACCTGAGTATACTCTGCCTTCGCATCTTTTTCCGCATTCACCTCGTCACTACCGTTCCTTACGATCCTCTGCGTCAGCATATTGAGTATCACAGCTTGACAGTGCTCAACACGCTTGGCCTTGAACACTTCCAACTCCTGATTTTTCGTCTTGTAATCATTGATCTGTGCTTTCACATCGCTGACAGTGTTTTCCAAAGAGATCTTGGCTTCGGTCAATGCGCGGACCTGTTCCTCAAGCGCAGGAGTATCCGCGGCGTTGATTTTGGTAGTCAGATTAATGAAGTCGAGCAGGGACGTGCGGTTAGACGACGCGATCTTTTGTTTCTTATTAATAGCGGAAGAGATGGGCGCTGGGGTGAAGAGCTCGTGCTTCGGAAAAGTGGGCCATGGACTGGATGTGCGGAGCTGGTAGCCTGTTTCCATGATGTCGTCTTTGTCTTCGGATAACTCGATGAGATCTTGGATGAGATCGCCCGTGGGCGAATTTGCTTGCTGTTCGTCGTTGCTAGGCTGGGTGTCTGTAGGCCTTCGTTCTTGTCCATGCGCTGCAGCGTCTACAGCAGAGGCGTCTGCTGTACGGGTCTTTCGCGACTTTCGGTATCGTGGTGGCAAAGCTTCTTCCCGTCCATCTCCTTGTAGTGTCCGTCGTAGTCGTGCCCACGCCTTCTTGATCACTGCGACCAGCTCCTTGGATCGTGCGTCTCCCCGAGTTACAAAGCCCTCATCGTCCTGGACTCCCGCATCGATGAGTGCGACACGTACGCACGTACGAATCCTAGCAAGCCAACTTTGGATGGCCCAACCGTGTCTTTGCTCTCGGTGAGTAGCTGAAAGGTAGGCGCAAACTCCACGGCGCCGTCTAGTGTCTCGGGTAGCTCGACCTCGAATAGATTGCCATCGAAGAATCGCATGCGCCACTGTCCCGAAAGTGTCTGTATTTTCGCGATGGGCTTGGGGCGGTGGAATGCTGCCCATACTGGTGTTTTGTAGTCGTTGCGTAGATGGCCTAGGAGGACTTTACCAGAGAATAAGGCGAAGTACTCCCGGTTGTTGGGACCCAACAAGGTAATTGCTCGAGCTTAGCGGGCCGCCATGGGACGCGTCTGGAACCCATGTTCGGTGGTGATGATGTCCTTCAGTACCTTGATGTAGTGTGTCGCTGTAGTCCTGTGCGGTCTAGACTTCGACATATCAAGTGCGGTACTGTCCTTAACCTCTCCAGTGTGATCGAGGGCGGAATCCAATGCAGAAGGAGCTGCGATATGACCCGCAGACCATTGTATAGTTGGCCTAGCTGCTTGCGGTACGTTTCCCTGACCCTTCTCGACATCTTTTCGTATTGATTTAAGTAGATCGGCGGGTATAAGAGACACTGTGGCTTCAGAGTAGCCAGCCTCCAACATGACGATCTTGATCACTATCTTCAATCGCTCCTCCCAAGCTGAAGTACCAATAAGACACACATCATCTGCGACAAGGCGACACCATGGTACGAAATGAGACTGCGCAAAAGATGTATGGCCCTTTTCGTCGCCGCCGCAGTCGTCGTCGTAGTGAACTTCCCTCATCGCTTTATGGTCACTCTTTATCCTGCGCAGATAGGCCCACACGCGAGTGCCTGCCTTGGTACCGAGGAAGACTCTACCGGGGTAGAACGGGGGTCCATAGTAGTCAGTCATTGATATCGCGTTATGTAGTTGACGATGCCGGTCACCATGTCTTTAGAGTACCTGGGCCTGTTTGGGTGTTGTTTTGCGTTTGAGTAAAGATGGGACTTACATGGTCTCTAGGTTGAACCAATCTGCTGAGACTGGTTCAGCACTGGGGAAATAACTCCGTATTGTCGCGACAGTAAATTAGGGTTGTACTCGTGCGTAATCGAATTGATAGTGCAGTTCCAATCCAGTATGAGTTGCGAAGGAGACGGGGGAAGGTACTTAGGTAGGCGAAATGCGTCACTAACACGACTAGCGTCGTCGGATTACCTAGGAGATCATAACAAACGAGAATTTGCATTCACTTCAGTGCGCAAATTATATCGATAGAATATTTCTTGTCTATACGAAAAATTAGAGTCAACCTGTTCGGCTCTGGGGCACCCTGAAGAGTACCAGCCAAGTGCTACCCTAACAGTGGATAGAGAGGAAGTAGTAAATGCACACATTTGGAAAGCAACTTGAGAAGGAAAAGGACATACAGATGACTCCATAGCCTGCTGCTGCTGCTGAAACTGCGTCAATAGCATCCGCTGTGTCGTGTACAGACAAATAGGGCCTGGCCGACAGCCGAAGCACATCCAAAGATTACAATTCTCTTGTATCGTAAGCAACAACCAAATGAGAGCAGCATCGTCGAAATCGCTGAGTTGTCAGGAACTTCTGACACACTCATACCATCTCGTTCACCAATTTCGAAAGCCATGACCTTGAGTAGAATGTGCTAAGATGTGTGACATGCGCCTGCTTCAACTTGTGGAGACTGTTCATCTTCGCTTGTAACCCAGCGCCGTCTCGCTCGAGTTTCTCTATCTTCTCACGGGTGACGGCCAACTCATTTCGCAGAGTCACTGCGCTGACAGTTTCTCTTTGCATGATTCTTGGAGTTGTTTGTTCTCTGTCTTTCGTCGCTCGGCTTCGGCTTCGAGGGTCGCGCATTTCTTCTTCGACGCGGCGAGCTCGTAAGAAGGTGAGCCTGGCCCGGTCTCACGAGCCTTCCTGGGGAACTGAACAGATTGAGACATCTGACCAATTTTTAGAAGGATAATTGGAACTGTCGATGTGACTTACTGAGCTTACGGCCGGAATCATTCTTGGGGCTGGTGACGTGGCCAATGAGACTGTATCTCCAACTCCATCGCCGGATTTTTCATCCCAATCCATACGACGCTTCTTGAACCTCAACGTTGCAAGTGCGCTGCTAAGAGAACTGGCAAGGAAACTAGCGCTTTATGAAGCATCGATACCGCTGGAGGCTTCTGAATTAACGGGTTTTGCGGTGCTGATGTCAGGTCTTTCCCGGTTTTCACGGATGATCTCTGCGATGCGTGTTGGGCTGATTGGGATTGAGAGTCTGTCTCCGTCAATCATTCGCGCGTGAACGAGCGCTGCCCATACACAAAAGGCAAGCGAAGCCCTCCAGGTAACGCGTGTGTCTTGGTTCTCATCCTTGACATTTTTCTTCTCGCGTGCTTGAGGATTTCCACGATATTTGAACAGGCTTGTCGAATTCTATTTTACTGGCGAGGCGTCCATACTTCAAGCTCGCCGCTCGACCGTCGTCCCAGAAGCGCAAGATGTGCCCAGACCTCTTGGCGGATGCTCCTCCTTTAACTCTCGCCCATAGCTCCTGTGGCAAGCCGCTCAGCAAGCCAATTCCTCTCGACAGCGTCTAGAATGATCAGCCTGCAGGCTTCGGCAGACTTTGCAGACATTATGGAAAGTTTCACCAAGATATGGCCTTTCCATTAGTCGCATCTAACACTTATAATAGACCCTGAGGATTTCACCACAATATGGATTATACTATATGAATTTGAAAGACGGTTTACACCTCCAAGGTGTGATATAGCCAAAAGAAAACGAGCCTCTTGGTGATAGATCGTTGACTAGGATGCAGTGGAGTCGCTCTTTCCTCTTCGCGTGTGCACGTGCGGGGCAATGACAGAGCTTGATCTCGCCAATCACCGTTTATCTCCGTCTGCACCATCGCTAGTCAACTCATCTCTCGCTCCCACTTCAACACCAGGTCATCGTGTATACAGCCGTTTCCGTTGACCGACTACAACTTATTTGTCGTCATGCACGAAATCGTGACTTTGCAGTTCGGCAAGCAAAGCAACTACCTTGGCACTCACTTCTGGAATACACAAGTACGTCGCGAATTCTTGGCGCTCTGTCGCCTCATCTAATATACTCGAAGGAATCCTATTTCACATATCCGCCCGAGCCAGAATCGCCTGTGAATCATGACATACTATTTAGGCCAGGCGTTGCTCCGGATGGGTCCGATACTTTCACGCCAAGGACGCTCATATACGATCTCAAAGGTGCTTTTGGTAGCATGAGAAAGATCAATGCGCTGTACGAGGCCGAAGACGACAGGAGCATATTGGACCAGAACGGCGTTTGGCCATCAAAGCCTATTGTCCAGCGCGCGACAGAGACGATACCACAATCCGCCTATCAGGAGCATCTCGATGCCGGCCTACAGCCTCCTCCGCTCAGCACATCGTCTGTCAGATACTGGTCAGATTATAGCCGTGTCTACTACCATCCAAAGTCTATTGTTCAGCTGTCGGAGTTCGACGTCAACGACAAGCTCATGCCCTTTGAGAGCTGGGACGTAGGTATGGAGCTTTTCGAGAAGCTTGAGAGAGAAGTAGATCTGGTGGACAGGGATTTACGACCATTCGTCGAAGAATGTGATGGCATTCAAGGACTGCAGATCTTCACGGGTGTTGATGACGCCTGGGGCGGCTGGGCCTCGGGATGGCTCGAAAGGCTCAGAGACGAGTACGGCAAGATGAGCATTTGGACATGGGGCTTAGGTGACTATGGCGCCAACTCATCGACTCCTCGAGTAGGTTCTATTCTAGGTTCTGGAAAAAGTAAACACTAACACAGAGCAGGAAAGACGCATACAACAAGTGGCGAATTCGGCGCGATCTCTTCAAATACTTGGGGAACAGTCGTCAGTATACGTCCCGATGTCGAACAGCCCTGCTAAATTACCAGGCTATCTATCATTAGATGCAACTTCTCCCTGGCATATTGCAGCTTTACAAGTCATGGGTCTGGAAAGCATGACCATATCTTCACGTTTGAGAGCATCTTTAGGCGGACGCGGAACGCTTCAGGACTTGGAAAACACTATCAACAGTACCGGGAAACGACGTATAGCGAAGCTCGAAATGAGTGCTGCAGATCCGGAAGTACTGTCAGATAAGGCTTTGGATGAAGCCGAGAAAGCGGAAAAGGTTGGTTCTATGACATCAAGGCAGACAAGTGAGGGCGACGATCGACTAAGCCAGTTCGACATCGATACCTTCACTCGCGACTACAGAACGGCTACCAGGAAAGGAAAGAAAGAGCACGTTTTTGGGCGAGCGGAGGCTTCTCGTGGAGAGTGGGCCTTATCCGAAGACAACGAACGTGATCCTCATGACAGGTTCGATAGTGGACCGGCAGTGCAAAGGTATGCGTCATCCAATCGACAACGATGCGGTTCCCGTGTTGTCAGCGGCTACAATGTTGGGCGCAAGATGTGAAATATCTGCTGACGCGTTTTAGGTTCGCCGCACCGCTACTATTTCCTCTACTTGACAGCTTTCCTCGGTCCATGCTGGACGTTGGGTCTGGCCACTCCACTAAGCTTGCTGTACATACGGGACTGACGACAAGCACCACTGTCGCTGATCAGATCCGAGCAGTCGAGCAACTCGTCAAGCGAATGGGGGGTATTGAAGAAAAGGAAGCGCTGTGCAACGGCTTACAAGTCCTCGCGGAAGAATACGATGAAGGCTGGGATAGCGGAACAGAAAGCGATGACGATGATTAGTCGCGTCGCAACGGGCTTGGCTTGCTCACGCGTAGCTGACGCACAGTGTTTTTGTGGAAATGACAGCACGTCTGCTACCGGCCTCAATACATAAAGATATTTACACAGTCAGCCACGACCGTTTGACCTGCGACACAACAATCTGGTGACACCATTACAACACATAACTACGCACTATTTGAATCGGATGCGCCAGAGCCGGACTTCCAATACTTGGACGAATTCTAATCACTGAGCAAGCCCTACTACATCTGACGGATGGTGAGGTGCCGCCAGGGCGATGCAGGGAAGACCGAACGTGGAAAGATCAAACCCCATCGAGCTCGGCTCGGGAAGAGTATGCGACAAATACTCCATACTGACATCATACTAGATTAGTCTTGATGCATGGTGTTTCGTTACGCCACAGTTCGGGATTGATCGCCAGGGCAACGCATTGCAAGTTTCGCGCTGTTGGAAGACCTCTATTTCCTGATCGCAAGCCGAACTTCGAATTGAGCTGGATCAAGGCCGTGATCTGCTGATGGGCCAAGACATGATCTGATGATATTGATGAAGGTGTTACTGCTCGCGTGTATGCAGGGTGGAGCCTGCCGTTGAACCGTTACGCGTTCGCGGCCGCTTGTATGAAGCGCCGGGTAGCTGAACTGCAGGTGTGCGCGGCAGCTCTTGCTCGCCCGAACATCATAATAGCCGTCGTCTGGAACCCAACTGTGACTGCGATACCCGATACGACTGGGTCTCCTTGCTAGGCTGGAGGCCAGTCGCAACCAGCTGATTACGTTCCGGAAGGGCGGCGGCAGCTGCTGCAGGAACTATCTACAGCTGTACTGTAAGCTGACGCGCAGCCGGGTGTGCACGACGACAGTCAGGAAAATTCTGATTCTGACTGCGATTGCCATCATGATCAGTACCGGATGCACTGATCGGGGTAACGCGGGGTAGCAAAGGCAAGCGAACGTTACAGCAGTCTGCTGGGACACTACCAGCCTCCACTGAGTCCGCCAATCGCAACGCGCCGAAAAGTTCACGATATGGAAACACCCTGATTTTCAATAGACACATCTGCAAGCCACCGTCTTAGCTCCTGACAGTGGCTGGTACAAACGCTCAAAGCTATTGATTGAGACTGGCCACGCTCAGAGGAACAGCAAAGAAACGGAGAGTCCGCGCCATGCACGAATCTCCTCACTACAGCCCTGCCGCGTGCAAAGAGTTTGAAAGTTTGGTCAGAGTGTCTTAGTGCACGCGCAATTCTCGAGATGGTGTAGTAGAATCCTTGCTACGGTGCGTAAGTTGCAACGTTGTACAGCCCCTCAACAACACAAGCGAGGAAGCTTGTTTATCGCAGTAACGCTAAACAATAGTGTAAACAGTATTCCAAGATTCCGCTGAGACCGCCATCATTTGAAGTCCCATTGTCTTGGTGTGCAGGTCGTGTATACGGCAGACCAAAGCCCACGATGTCTTAGCGGTACTGCAGTCCGCGCAAATATACTTGGTTGAATGAATTCGGACTCATACAATGACCCTCGCGTTACCTGAGAATACATTAAATACAGCAAATACAGGAGAACGGTTCGATGGCGTTTGATTGGTGCGGCTGAAGACTTATGCCATGTTTGGACAGCGTTATGCCACTGCCACTCAGCAGCGTTTGGCGGGGTGGCTGGAATACAGCTGTAAGTTCCAACCTTTGTAATTACCAAAACGGTCACCAAATCAACATGCATGAGAAGGCAGGGTGTCGTGTTCTCCTAACCACCGATTAGCCTGGTAACTTTGCGCAAGCAGCTACAACCTAAGTAAATCGTTCGCTGACTAGCGACCTTTGGCGGTCGGTTGCTAGGGTAAACTTGGCCAGCGAACGTACTGAGAGACGTCTGCCATGCTGAGAGACTCTCATCCCGTGGTATGGTCTATGCTACTAATATGATCAACCTGTGGAAAATTGGAACTAACACCGTCCGCATGAATGTAGGGAACGACTTCGGAGCCCCTCAACCGTCGTACGTGGATACAACCCTGTTGTGGCTTTCCATGGGTAGGGCAAAGCAGAAGGCTGGTAGAATGCGAAGATCCGGCCTCTCCTAACGAGTATATTAGGTTGGTATTCCTTCTCAGTCTCATCTATCGTGCCTCTCAAGCTTCATCAAGTCTTCGATCTTCAACACAGCATCTCTTTCGTTACGGTTGCTCTGTTACTTTCGCTTCGCACCACACACCTAGTAATACACTTTACTCTCTAATATATCCGACACATCTCGTCCTGAACAAGATGAGATACTGCTTAGCAACGATGGCCCTTGTGGGTGCTGTCTACGCTGCCCCCTACGGTGGCGGCTACGGCGCCTCCAGTAGCGGCGGTTACGCTGTGCCTTCTTCCGTATGTTAACACAAGTACCGCCACCTATTGAGGCGTTCAGTTCTAACAACATGCAGTCTGGCTACGCTCCATCTCCCTCTGTGAGCAAGCCCTACGAGGCGTCTAGCACTCCCTGCGAGGAGAGCAGCAGCATGCCTCCGGTTGTGATCTCTTCGACATACATCCCGCCTGTCGTCAGCTCCAGCTACCCAGTCCATGAGTCTTCAAGCGTTCCTCATGTCAGCTCCGGCACGCCCTGCCCGGAGTCAAGCACCCCTGTTGTGCCGTCCTCCACCTACACTCCTCCCGTTAAGACATCGACCTACACGCCGCCAGTCGTTACGTCCACCACCATCTACGTGCCACCCATGAGCTCCAGCTCTTCCTGCCCGGAGACTGAGACCATCACCGTGCCGTACTCGAGCTCCAAGCCCTACGTACCAGACGTCTCTAGCACTACTGAGGTCACCATCACCTCGACTGTTGTCATTCCTCCCAGCTCCACTCCTTACGTACCTGAGGATTCCTCCACCCCCCACGTACCCAAGCCTTCCACTTACCCTGTGGTCCCTCCCGTCGTCACCTCGTCTGTACCCGTCCCGGAGGTTTCCACCTATCCAGTCGTTCCTCCCATCATCACTGAGTCGGTGCCCATCCCAGCCGTTTCCACCTACCCTGTCGTCCCTCCTGTCGTCACCTCGTCTGTGCCTATCCCTCCTGTTATTACCGAATCTTCCTCAATCCCGGAGACTTCCACTCCCGTCGTCCCCGAGGCGTCTTCCTCTGGATACGCCCCTCCCCCGCCTGTGGAGACTACTAGTGTCATCGTCCCCCCAGCTTCATCCTCCGAATACGCCCCTCCTCCTCCTGCTGAGGAGACTTCCACTGTCGTTGTTCCCCCTGCTTCCTCCCACGCCTCCACACCCGTCGGTACCGCCTCATCATCCACCGGATACGCCTCATCCGCTACCTCCCCTGGTTACCCTGAGTACACTGGCGCTGCTAGCTCCACCAAGCCCCTCGCTGCCTTCATGGCCGGTGCTGCCGCTCTCGCTTACTTCGTCTAAGCGGCCGACTTACACCACCACCCTTTGTACGACATGTACAAGAGCACACTTTTCGCTTTTTCTTACTCTCCTTCATCGCAAGACTTCACCCAACCCCCTTTTAATCCCCCACACAACGACGGCACGGATACATGGAGGATAGACGGGTAACGCATTACGACGTTCTCTTGTAATCACTAATGACCTGTACTATTTTTCTTCGGCGGCGTGGCCCGGTCATGGCGAATGCGTCACTTGGTTTGGCCATGAGCGTTTTGATTGCGCCCTGTCAGCAAGCATTTATTACAGTGTCCTGCGATATGCGACTGCGCGGAATGGTTTGGGGTAATGTAATGAACGAAAAGTAATGACGGTGGCCTTCTGATCTGTAATCTAGATAGCTCATGTAACTATAGCAGTAATCTATCACGAGGTCAATCGGCTTCTGAGAGAACATCCTTGGGTGCTTGACTTGTGCGACGCGCTTTTTGGTGGATGAGTCGATCGCGCTGGTTGTCATTACGTGGCTTGTGGCTTCAGTACTCTATGTCGATGATGGCTCGCATCTTTGTTGTCATTTCCGGGGTTTTCAGACGCGTAGCAGGGAACGCGCAGGTGCTGGGAGGCTGGTATGCTGGATCAAACTGATCGCTCCATGGGCAACACGCGTATACACACTAACACTGCCGTCGACACCAGTGTGAAGTTGCCCGAAAAGGAAGTCAACCGTACGTCATGCCGCAACACCCGGATGATGCCGATCAGCCTTACCCGCACCCCTCGACACATCCAAATCCCATGGCATACGCAACGCTTCTCCACAAATCTGCCCTGAAATCCCATGTTAGACCCCGATCAAGATGCAGGTCACGGCACCCACCCCCCATCTTTTCCCTACACCAGACCGCGCGCGTGAACATTTGGATCTCCCGGTCTTCGAGTCCATGAATCATCGACTCCCGCATCTAGCACCGTCAATTAACACTGTCGTCATCTTACGCTCACGCATGCACGCGTCAACATAGGCCAACACGTATATAGTGCACAACCGCGTCAATGGATTCAGCTCCTGATAACCCAAACTCCATGCCTGCAGCAACCAGTGGCTCTCGCTCCAAACTCCTCTCAACCAACCTCAAGAACTTCATTAGCAAACCCGCCCTCAAGCATCCTCAAAAAGCACTTACCGTGCAGCTGTGGAACGCAGAGCAGAAAGCCAATCCAAGCAGTAGCAACCCGCCTCCTCGACTAGCAGCCAGACAGCAAAGAGCAGAGATGTCGACTTCAACTAGCGGACAGGCCACTGGCGATATTGTCAGCAGCGCGAACTCAGGATTCCCCAAGACAAGCGATGCGCCCGGCGAGCAGTTTGAGCCCAGACAGACGGCTACAAGTGAAGACTACGAGCCCGACCCGAGCAAGAGCATCAAACTCAGCCCTCAACGCCAGGCCTTAGTCGACGACGTTAGTTCACATCCTCTTCCACAACAGATCCCCCGAACATAAAGACTAACACCCTACCCCCAGATCATCGCCCTCTACTCCTGCCAACCCACCATCGAACGCGTAAAACGCTACACGCCCGACTGCGTCTACGACGACCAATTCGTCTACGCCAACGACCGCTATAAAATGGCCGGGCAGTGGTTCGCCCTCCCCAAACTCTTCAACGCCTCCATCAACGAATCCTACCAAGTAATCCGCTCCGACGACGACATGATCCAATTCAAAAACAAGCAGTCCTGGACTTTTCGGCTCATCCCCAAGACCGCCACCATCACGGGCCTTGTATCACTAAGTCTGGATCCCGCGACGAAAGACAGCGAGTTCATGCAGATTAAATATCACAAGGATCAGGCGAATGACAAGGATTATAGTCATGAGGGCGTGGGGTTTAGCTTTAAGAAGTGGCAGGCGGATAATGTGGTTAAGCATATGAGTGCGCCGGAATTGAAGGAGTTTGAGGCGGATAAGGGGGCCAATAAGGAACATGTGAGGAAGTATGGGAGTGGGAAGGAGGAGGGGGATGCGCCGAAGAGGGATTTTACGAATTAGGCGGGTGGAGGGGTGTGATGAGATTGACGAATGAACGAATGAAGAAAAGCTTCGTTCTGACCTTCTAGTTTACCATGTTGTCCCATACATTGCCATTCGATCATGGACAAGTAGAAAACCCCTCAAGGCCCAGCATTCCGATAGCGACAGTTTGAGATTATGACGTTGTACGGGGGAGAAACAGGAGCGTTACCTCCTTCCCACGAGGAGCGTATTGCTCATCGTCAACCTAATCTCCACCTTGTATGAAGGCTACCAGATCGTCGATTTCCTTTTGCTGTGGTAAAGGCGCGTCTACCCATGTCTCTCGCCCAAGGACCGTGACCTCAGGTAATCCTGCGGCCGATAAATCTAAGAGAAGCTCAATCTTCTTAAACTCGTCCTCCGGAGTCTCGGTAGCAACCTTCACTGCCTTGGGGAGACCGATCGCCTCTCTAATAACGTTATTACCCTCGTAATCTCCTATGTCCCAGGCTTTTCTTTTCGCGTACATTTTGGCGGCGATGAGAACTACATTGGATTCAGCGTTGCCACTTGTAGGCTCGACATGCGAGGCCTTACGGTTGAGCTGTATCTTACCGTTTGAGTCAAGCCCAGTAGGATCAATTGTCCTAGGTGCTCTATCATCTGGGCCGCCTGTCACCCAAAAACTCAATATCCTTTCGCTGTCGGTAAAATCCCTGCTGGCGCTATCACCAGCCTGTGGGCCATTCTTCTTCACCCAACTTCGTCTTTCCTTTGCTAATTGTCGCTGAATTTGCTCGGTATCCTCTTCTCTACGCTGTATTAAGGCACCGTCTCCCCGCCAACCGCCGTCGAAAAGATAAAGGTAGATGATATTGGCCCATTGGGCGTCACACGTCCAATCAACACGACCGGCTGTCCAATCATCGACCTTTTCAGACTTCTTGTCGGGCCGGCAGAAGTAGAAACAGTAACGGGGGAAGTCACTCAGGCTTCGCATGAGACCCATTCTCGTAGGCATTCAGTTGATTACGCCAGCCTAGGCTGAGACAGGGCTGGCGTGAACCGTCATCCATTGCGCATGGCCAGGTTTTGTCGATCTGGTAACTCGTAGTCCTCAGTGGTTGGATCGGTGAGCGTAAGGTGCGTTGTACTTTGCCGATAGTCGTCAGTGGCTTTTCGTAGTTGTTCTATATGAGGGTGATCTACACCGTACTCTGCCTGTTGAAAGGAAGCATACGTTGCCGGGAACGCAAGAATTTATACTGACCTCCGACTCACATGAAGCCATGACCTCGAACAAGAAGACGCATTGAGAACCCTCGCCCGCCCAGGTTCTGTCGTAACCACCCACATCATGTATGAGTTCCGTCGCTTACCCGCTCCAGCACGGGCAATACGATGTCGGTAGCCAGGCTTCGAGCGGACCCAATAGTGGCATATATCGTCGTATAAGTGGGCCGTGTGAGGATGGCCACGCGCTATCGAGGAGTGAGAGCTGAGGGAAGCGTCATGTTGAAAAGGCAGCGGCGACCGTGTATCATAAGTATGCGTCAACGAAGCCACGCTAGCCGCTGCTTTTGGTCACAGCACGTGCGTGTTGGTATCCCGAGGTTTCCAACGGAAGCCACAGTGCTCACTCCTGGGTACAACAGAAGGAGCTACTGGCATGTTGTGGTCTGGTTCTTTGTTCTGCTTCTCTCGGGCCAACGGGTCGCAGTGACATGTGTGCTGGGTCGTTGGAGCTTTTCTCCTCAGTCGTGTCCAGTCATCGTGACCTCGATACTCATTCGTGGGTATAGACGTATACTGACTGATCAGTGGTTATCGAGCGGGTGAGCTGACCTCGGGAATCACGGCGTACCCGGAAACTGGGAAGAGGCACGGCTCGCGCAAGAGGGAAGACTCATGAAAACGCGTCAAGGAATGGAGTGGGGTGTCAGAAGATTTGGTCAGGTCTAATTGATCTATCAATAAAGGATATAAGTCTATGCAAGCGGGTGGTTGAGAACGCAAATAAGAAGACCGGAAACATGACTGCGTCTTCACAACTTGCTGTCGTTCTGCTTGAGTCGAATAAGACCCTGATGAAATTAGCATCGCTGAATGTATGGTTGAGGAGCGAGAGTCTTACCTCTTGTACGCAGGTCGCGATAAGGGTTCCATCTTTCGTGTACATCCTCTGGAAGACGAGTCCACGACCATCGCCAGCCCAGGGTGTCTCTGTCTCGGTGAAGATCCACTCATCGGCCCTGAAGGTACGGGGGTTGTGGAAGTAAATGGTATGGTCCAGACTGACCATCATGCCAATCTCTGGCACGTCATCCGCAACTTTCTTTGGATCCTCTCCATTCTTTATGCGCTGTATGCGCTTGATGTCGGCCTCGCTCACGGACTGACGCTTCAACTCGGCATCATCCATCTCCAGCAATGTCTTGAGCACGTCTTCGCCGATGCTGGACTTGGCGGCACTCTTGCGTTGTGAGGAATAGCGCCATAGCTTGTGGACGCGCGCGACAGTGCCGATGAAGTAGCTGTCGGACATGTAGGCGATGGCGGAGAGGTGGGCCTCGTGGCCTCCGGCAGGTGAGATGCGACCGCGCGCCTTCACCCACTGACGGCACTTCTTGGTGTGAGGTTTGTCGGAGTCCTCTGGACGAGGTTAGGGTAGGCCACGAAGCTTGACATGTGAAAGCACTCACCATTCTCGGTCGCCAGTCTCTGGCTCTGGAACGGACTGTGGCCGCTGGGGTGCATCTCCGAATCCGAATCCTCCTCTGGGCCTGGCACGTCAGCCATTGGGACGACATGCTCGACCTTCTTCGCTCCTCCGCTGTTCTGGCGCACGAAACTCATAGTTGTCGTGAAGATGACCTTGCCCCGCTGGCGCGCTTGTACTGTTCTTGTCGCGTAGGACTTCCCTGACCGCACTCTCTCTACATGGTATATGAGTGGTATCTCTGAGTTGCCCGCAAGCACAAAGTAGCAGTGCATGGAATGTACAGTGAACTCGGGATCAACCGTCTTCTGGGCTGCAGCGAGCGTCTGGGCGATGGCAGCACCACCGAAGATACCGCGCGCACCCGGGGGATGCCATAGTGGGCGCGTGTTGGTGAAGAGGTCAGGGTCGATGTCGGACAGTTGCGTCAGTTCGAGGACATTTTCGATTTCGGATTGCGACTGGTCTATGGGCGGCGGGCGGATGAGTGTCGCCATCGTCTCAGAGTATGGATGTTAGAGGAGCAAGTGAATAGTTGCAGCGACCGTCGGCCAGGAGAAGATAAGAAGAGAGCGTGCTTGTGATTACTTGACTTGACTCGGGCGCGTCCCGGCACACCTTCAGCTTCCTCGAGCCGAGGCATAACGCGCAAACCCACATGTCGCAGCAGGTACCACCACGTACAGGGGCAGCGGCGACGGCTGACTAAGGCGGCCAGTGAGGAAGGCACTGAGCGCCAAGAGGAAGGCGCGGCTGCTCTGGGGTAGGAACGTCATACTGGCTGTCTGGTGGTGGCCTGCGTACCTGACTTGTTTGAAGCCAATGTGCGCTTTCAGGCATTCGACGACAGGGTCTATTCCAATCTGGGACTCCCTTGTGGCCATTCTTCACGCGCGCATTCTCCCTGACCCCCTCACATTGGCTCACGGCGCCTCGTATCTTTACTTTTAGCATGTCGCGGATTGCCACCGCATAGCCTAACAACATTCGCTCCACCTGACTGCGCCGCCGGAGGAAAGAGACACCATGGCCGAGACGAACCCGGAGTTGCAGGCCAAGCTGCAGGAGCTGGACCACGAACTCGAGGAGGGCGACATCACACAGAAGGGGTTGGTACTCTCCTCCCGCATGCACATCCACGGTTGCTGCCGCTGTCGCATTCGCATCCTCCCCCACGTGCGCTAACGAGTCGCACAGCTACGAAAAGCGAAAGACGGTTCTCCTCTCGCAGTACCTGGGGTCCGACTTCTCAGCGCAACTGCAGAATGACCTGCGCCGGCAGAGCCCCGCCCAGAGCGAGGGCTCAGGCTCTCGCAGCGCATCCCTCGCCGCCCTCTCTGGGCCAAACCCACAGCAGACGCCGCACATCGAACTCCCACGACCCGACTCGTACGATGAGAGCTCACCGCAGGGCACCATGGGCTCGTCTGTGCACTACCCCAGCTCTTCGACGAGCACCGCTGGCGGCAACTCGCAATACATGGCATACCCACCAAGTCAAGTAGGGCGCTTCCAGGAGAAGCAGCTGGGCCTGCGCACCACCTCGCTGCAGCGCAATGCCTCGCAGCTGTCGCAAGGGAGCGAGACATTCATTCCCCGGCCGCAGACACCCGAGTACACCTACTCGCGCGAACCCACGATGATGGGTAACTATGCTTTCAACCCCGACACCCAGCAAGGCTTCGAGAATGGCTATGGGTCGCCAGGCGAGGCTAGCAGAAGGAGCACGATGCTGGATGTGAACCAGGGCTACTTCTCCGACTTCACAGGGCAGCAGATGCAGGACCAGCGCGACTCATACGGCGGACCGAACCGCTACTCGACGGGCGACGCCTTCTCTCCGACCGCTGCGATACCACCGCCCATGATGAACCCGAGCGACCTGCCCGTGGGCGCTGCAGACACGATGATGCCACTAGAACCGCGAGACCTGCCCTTCGACGTGTACGACCCTCACAACCACAATATCAAGATGTCCAAGTTTGATAACATCGGCGCTGTGCTACGCTACCGCGCTCGTACACAGCCGAGGACTACCGCTTTCTGGGTGCTAGACGCGAAGGGCAAGGAGACGGCATCCATCACTTGGGAGAAGGTGGCCAGTCGCGCAGAAAAGGTCGCCAAAGTCATTAGAGACAAGAGCAATCTGTATCGGGGCGATCGCGTGGCGCTGGTATACAGGGATACGGAAATCATCGAGTTTGTCGTGGCTTTGATGGGATGCTTCATCGCGGGCGTTGTAGCAGTTCCCATCAATAGCGTCGACGACTATCAGAAACTCATCCTCCTCTTGACCACAACCCAAGCACATCTCGCACTGACTACGGACAACAACCTCAAAGCCTTCCATCGTGACATTAGCCAGAATCGTCTCAAGTGGCCGAGTGGAGTCGAATGGTGGAAGACGAACGAGTTTGGAAGTTACCATCCCAAGAAGCATGACGATACGCCCGCCTTGCAAGTGCCCGAGGTAGCATACATTGAGTTCTCGCGCGCACCAACCGGCGATCTGCGTGGTGTCGTACTGAGTCACCGCACCATCATGCATCAAATGGCTTGCATCAGCGCAATGATCAGCACCATACCTGCCAACAACCCGGGGAGTCAGGATACTTTCAACGGCAACTTGAGGGATTCGTCTGGCAAGTTCGTTGCGCCAGTGCAGAACAGAGCACCTACCGAAGTCATTCTTTCTTACCTCGACCCCCGTGAAAGCGCTGGTCTCATCCTGAGTGTCCTGTTTGCTGTCTATGGCGGTCATACCACTGTCTGGCTGGAAACACCGACCATGGAGACACCAGGTCTATACGCACACCTCATCACGAAGTACAAGTCCAACATACTGATCGCCGACTATCCGGGTCTCAAGCGCGCCGCATACAACTACCAACAGGATCCCATGGCTACTCGTAATTTCAAGAAGAACACGGAACCCAACTTTGGTTCGGTGAAGATATGCTTGATTGATACACTCACTGTCGATTGCGAATTTCACGAGATTCTTGGAGACCGTTATTTCAGACCTCTACGGAACCCCAGAGCACGAGAGCTGATCGCGCCCATGCTATGTTTACCTGAACACGGCGGCATGATAATATCAGTACGCGATTGGCTCGGCGGCGAAGAGCGCATGGGATGCCCATTGAGCATAGTGTCAGAGGAATCCGACAACGAAGACGAGATCGACGACAAAGCCGCGGCAGCCAATGGCTATTCTAGTCTTATCGGAGGAGGTACCACGAACAACACCAAGGAGAAGAAAAAGAAGAGTCCAACGGAATTGACTGAAATCTTGCTGGACAAGGAAGCACTGAAGTTGAATGAAGTTGTGGTTTTGGCCATTGGAGAGGAAGTGGGCAAGCGCGTGAATGAGCCCGGCACTATGAGAGTTGGCGCTTTTGGTTATCCGATACCCGATGCGACGCTGGCCGTCGTAGACCCAGAGACTAATCTTCTGTGCTCCCCTTACTCGATAGGAGAGATTTGGGTAGACTCGCCATCATTATCTGGAGGTTTCTGGCAGCTGCAGAAGCATACTGAAACCATATTCCACGCACGGCCATATCGTTTTGTAGAGGGTAGCCCAACACCGCAATTGCTCGAACTCGAATTCCTACGCACTGG